AGAAATCTTTTGGCTGATGCAAAGACTAGACATGGCGTGCAATCAGCAAACGGAAAAAAACAATACTTGAAGAGGAGAAAGAACTCAGAAAATGGTTATCCTGAGATACCTGATGATTCCAAATCTTCCAATGTGCTACAGTCACATGCTGGAAAGGAAGAACGTGATGTACGTGCACCCCTGGCACTTATAATTGATGGGAACAGTTTGGTCTATATTTTGGAAAAGGATTTAGAATCAGAGGTAAGACTAATTTTTATTCTCAAGTAAGATTAACTACTCATGGTGTCTGTAGCATATTGTTTGGAGATGGTTCAGCCTTTGAATCTATTTTGAACTGGCTTTAATATGTGGATTTACTCTCCTTTTTTCCTCAACAGCTTTTCGACATTGCAACTTCCTGCAGGGTAGTGCTATGTTGTCGTGTCGCACCTTTGCAGAAAGCTGGAATTGTTGATCTTATCAAGAGCCGCACCGATGACATGACACTAGCTATTGGTGATGGTGAGTCTTCTTTTTGATAATTCTCTTTGCAGTTGCAAGTGAAGTATGTGTTTAGATTTTGCTCTAGAGGCTTCACTAGCTTCTATAGTTCGCATGTTTTAAGCTTGCAGTGATAACTCTCTGGTAATGACATTTTGGTAGGGGCAAATGATGTTTCAATGATCCAAATGGCGGATGTTGGTGTTGGAATATGTGGCCAGGAAGGTAGGCAGGCTGTGATGGCATCAGATTTTGCTATGGGCCAGTTCCGTTTTCTGAAAAGATTGCTCTTGGTGCATGGTCATTGGAATTATCAGCGTGTTGGTTACTTGGTTCTTTACAACTTCTATCGCAATGCTGTTTTTGTGCTGATGCTATTCTGGTATGTACCATTTTTTTTTGTTGTGAATTTGAGTTTTTTGAATTTCCTGGGTTCAGTGTTTGAAAGAAAGAAAAAAAAAAATCCTAGGTGATTTCCCCACAGGTCACTGTATTGGTAGTGCTGACAATACTCCCATCTAGATAACAATTTTACCTCCATTTTTTTGTTGTTTCTTTATCTTTTTCCTTTTCCAGGGTCATTCCTCTTTATAATTCTCAGCAGCCTCTTCCTCTAGAATTTGCTACCTTTTTCCTTTTGTTCTCCCCTCAGTGCAGGGTGGCCAATTGGTGGCATTGCTTCAGCTAGCTGTGCCCCTTCAACATGTCTCAAACTCTCCTTTTCACTCTCTCCTGTTTGATCTGTCTCATGTGTCTAGTGTGACTTTTCATTTCCTTTATCTTCTCTCAAAAACACAAACATGATTAAAAAAAAAAGGGAGGTTAAAATCCCCCTTTATTCTCCATAGTCATCATCTCTGAGTGCCACTAAACTCAAATCCTGCAAATTAACCCAAAATCAAGAAAGAGAGGTAAACTGGTAGCAAGCAACAGGCAGTGAGTGTGTGGAAAAAGTAGAGGAGGAACGAGTTAAGATAGGAAACATGTGAAAGGCAAAAAAGAATAGAAAAAAAAAAAAGAGAAGAAAAAGTTGGGTTTAGTGTGCCCCCACTACAACTAGATTGCTTTTGTTTTATCCAAAATGATGTTGATGTAATATAAGATTGGCTGCCTAACAATAAACACAATTTCTTTACATCCTCAAAATCTAAACATAGTAACGTATAATTCAAGCTGTAGGTCTTTACATGGGCAAACGCATAGCAATACAGTATCTTGACTATCAAGAAATATTGAGTTGTTCTCTCTGTTTTCTGCAACTTGTATGTTAATGGATGTGGGTTTCACATTGCTTTCTTTTCTACGTTGTAGGTACATATTATGCACAGCCTTTTCAACGACTTCTGCATTAACAGATTGGAGTAGCGTATTTTATTCCGTTATATATACATCTGTCCCTACTATTGTTGTTGGCATTCTCGACAAGGACCTAAGTCATAGGACACTCCTAAAGTATCCAAAACTTTATGGTGCAGGGCATAGACATGAGGCTTATAATCTGCAACTCTTCTGGATTACAATGATTGACACACTATGGCAGAGCCTTGTCCTGTTCTATATACCTCTCTTCACATATAAGGAGAGCTCAATTGACATATGGAGTATGGGCAGCTTGTGGACTATAGCAGTTGTTATTCTTGTTAATATACACTTGGCAATGGACATTCGGCGTTGGGTATTCATTACACATGCTGCGGTATGGGGATCAATAATTATTACTTATGCCTGTATGGTGGTATTGGATTCTATACCAATCTTCCCTAATTACTGGTTAGTTTTGCCGCAGAGTGTGATTCTTGGTCTTTAAAAGTTTTATTGCATTGAGTTTATATTATTCTTACATTTGGCAGGACAATCTACCATCTGGCAAAGTCACCCACCTACTGGCTCACCATTTTGCTTATAACAATCGTTGCTTTACTTCCTCGCTTTCTTTTCAAAGTTGTACATCAGATTTTTTGGCCTACAGATATTCAAATAGCCAGAGAAGCAGAGATACTACGAAAAGTGCCTCCTAATTTGAGGTCAAAGCCAGATGAAGTTTCCAGTTAACATGGACATTCCACCCTATTTTGAGATGGTTCCCCAAGACTATCCATCATACGGATGTCCTGTGGCATGCAATTGTAAGTTATGGTAGTGCATGTTCCTATCTTTTTGTGTTAAGTTTCATACACCTGTTACTAATGACATCAGTCACTATTTATAATAGATGCATCCTCTGTGAACGTTTTCCCACAATTACTAACTTTTAACATTGAAATGGAAAAAAAATCTTGGTTGTGATATATAAATGATTTTGAAATCTTTAATAATTTTACTTAAAATAGGTTCAAGGGAATATTTCGTTGCTAGTTTAGATGTTACAAATAGTCTTTGTACATGGTCAAAGCTTGAGTGGTATGTTTGGGAAGCTTAAATTATAGATACTTGTGTGTAAATACTGCTTCATGCAAACTTGGAGGCAAGTGTTAGTGTTGTGCTCTGTCAATGCCTTACATTGTTTATATGAAAAAGATGCTGGAAATTCTACTTATGGAGCCTTTCAAGTATTTGACCTATTGTGCTTTACTTGCCATTTTGGGACTTTGTTTGCATTAAGTATAGATTAACACACTGTACTCGCTGTAGTACTTATATGAGCAAATAAAAGATGGATATTGCTTAGTAGAGTAACCATAATTGAGATTGAAGGGTGTCTATCTTGGACTGGTTGGCTACCTTTTGCCAAGCCTGAAATGGAGTTATTTCTAATATTATTAACATAGTGTTTCATATAATTAACTTTTGAAATTAATGTTCAATGCTTATTTATTGAGATAAATACTGGATAAGCCATCCGACGTCATCTTTAATCTTTTCTTAATATGTTTGAGCTTTGAAGTCTGAATTTCAGGATCAAAGATAGTTTAGAACAAATACACGTTCTGATAAAATCCATTAAAACAGCATTACTATATTTAGTCATCTTGTTGTTATGTGATTTTGATTCCTCTGATGAGTTGCAAATTTTGATTTTGCACAAGCTTTTGACACATGAGAGCACAGCAGCATAATCAGTTTCTTTTGGAAAGGGAAAGCCAGAGGTAGTGCAAGAGAAGGACTGGCCTGGTTTACACAGCGCGTCATTTGGATGATTCTAATGGTGGAAAGTTGCCCCGAAGAGGAATCTTTGAAAATTTGAGAAAAAGTGAAAATCAATACTAGTTTGGTGAGTAAAAAAAAAAAAAAACTCCATCCAGAGTTTGTTATGGCGTTAACTATCAGCAGTCAGCAGAAAATGAATCAATTAAAAGGAAAAATATTGGAAAACTGTATATTATTATTGTTATATATATATAATAGCTGTGTATTTTTTGGCAAATAGAATGAGGTGTTGGGAACAAATACATTTTTTACATGATCCTCTTTGCTAATAATCTTTTACAAGTCCCTTTAACATGAAGCCTAACTCAAGGTTAAGAAGGGCTTCAACCTGATGCATGTTACCTCGGCCGGGCAGCCATGTTAGCACAGTATGAAGCAGAAGCTCGCAATGAGGAGTGGGTGTTAATTTTTGTTTTGATCATATATTTTTTTGGTCCAAGTTTCTGCTCCTTAATCACATAAGGCGAGAAGCTGTTGGATTTGTCGTAATGGCTATCACAAACAAAACAACGAGTGTGTCAATTATGATTCTTACTAATTGGTAGCGCAACTCCAATCTGTCTCTGAATTCCTTCATAAATAAAATTGTACGGCAAACATTTCAAATCTTACGTTTCTACGTCGGTAGTCCCACTGTCTCTCTTACATCCATCCCCACATTTTGTTTTTTTGTTGAAGATGAAGTGAACCATCCATTCATTCATTCATGGTATTTAATTCACTCAACTGCCAACTAATCTCCATGGTTGAATAATGATGATGAGGTTCTAATTCAAGGGCGATGATGAGGCCTCATCGCACAGTATCACTCCTCGCTGCATCTTTATCCACAATGAACTTAGTACATTACTAAACTAAACATTTTATTTTTGGGTGATTTTAAACAACCCAGCTGTTGTCGTCTTTCTCGCACCCAAATAGCCCCCCAAAACCGTCTCTAATTTCCCTCCTTCACCGCAAAAATCCATCTCGATTACCACTCTCATAGGGCTATTATTGTCTTTTCATTTAAAGTTCTACCAGTTAAACTGAAATACTTAAAAATATGATCAATATAATAATGATCAATTTGTAATTTTTATATTATGAAAAGCCAGTTGGCACTGCTGCTGACGATATAGGCATGACATATAATTTCTGACCTCACTACACTATCGTTATAGGCTCCAACCGCTCTCTCACGCGCCTTAGGTAGATTCTTTGAAATACAAAGTTAACGACCGTCACATTGCCCATACAATCCGTAAGGACTGTAACTAAAGTGGCCTTAACAACTTAAAATCGGACAAGTTTCCGTCCATAGTTAAGCGATTGGTTCAACCGGGCGTGGGCATCCGTAGTACTTAAAAGTCCTCAACTTGTGGAATTTTCCACGTTTCCTACCTTCTCTCTTCCTTGCATTTGCGCTGTGCTATGCTTTTTATTCTTTTTCGATATAAAGGTTTCTGTCTCCTCCTTTATTTAGGTTAACATTATCTCAAATTAACCACGCGCAAAAAAAAAAAAAAAAAAGAATCGGGTTGGTTGGAGAACATGTCGTCGGGTAACAAGAAAGCAATTGAAGAACTTGCTCGGGGCAAGGAATTGGCAATTCAGCTGCGAGATCTGCTTGATAAGTCTTTGGGAGATGAGGGTTTGGTGGGGAGTGAAGATCTAGTAATGAAAATCTTGAAGTCTTTTGCTAATACGCTTTCCATATTAAGAAACAGCGGTGGCGACTTTGATGATGAAGTTTCCCAGAATCCCAGGAACAGCAACATGGGTTGGGATGGTCGGAAATCCGAGGATTCAGGTGAGAGTATTAAGAGTTCAAAACAAAAGGATCGAAGAGGATGTTATAAAAGAAGGTAATTAATCATTAATCCCTATTTTCTACATTATTTTTCCTTTTTTTTTTTTTAAGAAATTATACACATCTAGGGTAAACTTTTTTTTTCCTAATGTTTACATTTGTTTGCTTTAAAAAAAGTAGAGACATTCTCATTGCCTTTGGATAAGAATTCACCCTCGTCTTCTTTCTCGTTTCTTTACAAAACAGCTTATGGTTTCGCTAGCGTTTTTGGAAAATTTTGCTGCTAAAATATTTTGTTAAATATCTTTTTTTTTTTCGTGTGTGTTTTTTCTTAACTCCTTTCCTTAATACAAAATCTAAAAAAAATCTTAATTATTTAAATCCAAGAAAAAATTATATAAATTATTTTGCCTTTTTTTACTCTTTTTTTTTTTTTTTAAATTTATTCTTGATTATTTTTAATTGATCTTAATGTGATTTTTTTTTTATAGATCTTTAATCTCAATTATAATAAAAAAATGGAGTTTTCTTATCAATTTGACATCTTTACTTGTTTGTGTATAAAATTTTTTTAAAGTATAAATATATATATATATATGTACTTTTCAGTGATAAAAATTAGATCTCTTGTAGTTCACTGTGTTTGTATTTATCCATGTTTTAATTAAATTTATAATTATTAATTAAAAAAAAGTTAAAATTCTTTTTCTCGTCATTTTAAAAGCATGGGTGATTTACTAAGAGTTTCATGACAACGGCCTAGGAGCTGGCTAACAGTGAATTGGAATTTATTTATAATATAGGAAGTGTGCAGAGTCATGGATAAGAGACACCTCAACTCTGATTGATGATGGCCGTGCATGGAGAAAATATGGACAGAAAGTAATCCTCAATGCCAAGTATCCAAGGTATTTCAATTTCCCCCTCTCTTTTCTCAACAATAAATAAATCATCATCAAGAATATTTTGTTTTTTCAAACCTTTTTTAATAAGAAATTGATTAATTAAATACTGGGGAGTACTTTCCTTTTTCTCTTATGAGTTGGATTTTATCCTCTTTTTTTCTTATGTTGGTTGGGACAAAGTTGCTATAAGCATGTTTTGTGCCATATATAACTATATTAATCTTATGTCATTTCATAAAATTGATTGAATTGAACAATTTTGTGTACATTAATCTTTATGCTAGCTTTTCTCATAATAAGAGAGATATATGTGTTTGTGTCCAGAAACTACTATAGGTGTACCCACAAGGTTGATCAAGGGTGCCAAGCAACCAAGCAAGTGCAGATGATTGAAGACAATCCTCCAAAGTATCGAACAACTTACAATGGTCATCACACTTGCAAAAATCTACTCAAGGGTTCTCAACTCATCCTGGATCCCACTTCCAATGACTCTTCCATGATCAGCTTTGCAAACAGCAATCTCACAAACAAACAAGAAAACTCCTTTTTCCCATCTTTCCCATCTGTAAAGCAGGAAAGCAAAGAGGATCATTTGCCAAGTGACATCACCTACAACCCTTCCTCATCATCCGAGTATCTTTTGTCACCTGAGCTAACGACGTTCGATTCATCAGCTCAAATGACAGTGTTGTCTGCTGATCAAGCGGATTTGATCTCTGGGGTGGTGGATTCTGTAGATTTAGAGGACTTGCTTGACTTTTAAGGCCAGAAGTAGCTAGCTAGCTAGAGAGTAACTAGTGATCATGAACTGATGATAGAATTCAGTTTCTTTGTAATCTAAATGTACAAGTATTGTGTTTTTAGCTTCTTAAGCTGCCAAGCGCAAACAGCTGTAAAATTAATTGCTGGTATGTTCTATTCAATATGTTTTACTCCATTAGCTTCATCACTTGCCAAAAACAAAACATGCACTTTTGTTATCATTTTATCAGTTTAATTTTTTTATTTGATTGGTTTTAGGAACGTTTTCGTGAACTTTGATCGGATAACTTCACTTAAATCTTGTCCATATATTTTCCTTCAGGGAAAGTGAATGTGAAACGTGTACTTGATAAGATAGAAAATATAAAGTGAAAAAAGAAAATTTAATCCATATATGATCTTCAAACAAATCATTACTTACGTTCACAGAGAACAAAATCTTTGAGGATGAAGTTCTTGAGAAAGTGACATGATTTAGGTTTGAACCAACTCGTTGGTTTGTGGTTTGCAGCTAACGACTAAAGACAGACACACATGCAGTTTTCACAATAATTTCACGAAAATAGCAAAAAAATCTAATTTGTTATCTGATAATATCCATTTGAGTTAACCATAACCAGACAAGGTTGAAAACTATTGAAATTGGGAAATTTTATTATTCCTTTCTTTTTCTTGAGCATGCTTACCTTCCTGTTTTAAAATCTCTTATCCTAAACAAATTTAACTTCGAAGGCTATTTCGTTTTCTATTTGATCAGCAACAACATTGAAATCTAGTGATGAAGCTGTTTCTTGCAACCAATCATAATCACAATTAGCTATAGTATGCCAGAATGGACCATCTTTTTCTATAAATCTATTATTTATAGAATAATTTTATATTTCAGGCCATTAATCAACAAATGCCACCTAGAAAACGAGAGTCACGGACTTTAAAAAACTATGGGATGGAGCCCATTAGAGGGAAAAAAAAAGGGAAGGTGGTGTTCATTGAGAGTGACATATATAAATTAAACCAGACAATTAAAGAACTGCATCATCCATTGAGAAGATGAAAATAAATGATAAAGACATCAATCTTCAAATTGCAAATTCAAATTAACCAAAGTTTACCTTTCTCACCAAGTCATAAAGCTGTATATGAATGTGACATATATATATATATATATTAATATCTATCGATATAAAACCCTAATTCTGGTTGTTGTAGTGGACCCCCATGGTTCAAGTATGTAACAACTTTTGAGAAATTACTTTCCTATGAAATTATCTTCTGGAAGGACATACATGAAAATGATCATGTCACAATTTTTCATACTAATAGTAAACTATTAACAGTTTTAATTATAATTAAATTTGGATTTTATTAAACATTTTCCTCGATTATCACCATTAATTATTGATGGAAAAATGGAGATTTTGAAAATTTTAGATCCTAGGTTTGAGTGTTTGATTATTACTATATGCATTTATGTTGGTTTGCTAGTTCATTTTTCGTTAGTTTTGTCTCATGTGTTAAAAAAAATGAGGCAAATAACAAATTGCATTAATTCAGAATATGAATTATAATCTTTGAAAAAATTTTGAACTAATCAAAATCCTCTAAATTTTTTTCTTAAAAATTTTGCCTTAACGGTCTAGACGATCTTGAACGAACCGTCTCAATCTCCTCTCGAAACTCAATTTTTTTTCTTAAATTCTTATGTTGAAACTTTGCAGACTTTGTTCTTCAAAATATTCTTCCCAGGGATTTTTGTATCGAAAGAGAGGAGACTTTGTTCTTCAAATTCTTTTTCCTTTCCAATTGTGTACGTAGATAACTTGAGAAGCACTACAATTATAGTAATAAATGAGGAAGTATTATAAAAACTTAATCTTTTTATTTTATTTCTAAATGTTTATAATTGAATTAAAACTAAATTTGATGGCTCACAAGTGAAATTTGATTGCCTAAATCAAGATTTTTAAAATTTTGATTTGCTTAAACCAGGTGTCTTTACATTGAATTTCCAAATGATAAAATTTTACCTCATCAATACTTAATTATTTGACAATTAAGTTAATGATATATGGAAATTCATAAATTAATTGATTATATTCAAAGAAATTTGGACAGTCCATGGCGTGCTCGTTAATGCAAAGGCAAGAAAAAAAAAAAAAAAAAGAGTTGATTACATAGATATAGACACAAGAAAAATCCAAAGAATGGTGAAAATGAAGAGCAATTTCATGGACATAAGGCTTTGAAAGAGAAAAGATGACAATGAGGTTGCATAAATCGACCTTTCGCCATCAATTCTAATGAAAGCATCCTTGGAAAAATGTTGCAAAGTGTGAAAGAGAGACAACAATGTGATGTAATGCTTCAAAAAACTGATTCTGAATTCCACCCCACATGGGTTTGGTGGGTCTCCCTTCTTTATCATCTTGTTTATGAATCACTATTTTGTTTTCGAGTTGTAAGTTTATATGCATGTGGGGTGGGGATGACCTGCTTTTCCAAGATTCCATGCCAATGCCAAATATATTATTAGCTGGGATCCCCTAAATTCAAGACAAAACCCAGTCAAGGGACATCAACCAACTAATTTTTGTTTACTTATGTAATAATTTTAATTCATTTAAATCTAGATAGATTATGTTTAATACACAATATTATAATAAGATAAAATAAGATAATGTTATGAATATAATTAGATTATATAATGTTATTTTATTTTATATTTAATACGAAAAAAGATTAGAATATGATCATTTATTTATTAGTTAATATTATCTTTTTTTTAAAGTTTATATAATTTAAATTATTGATATAATTTTTAAAAGTATAATAAAACATATAAATTCAATTTCAGTTATTAAAAAATAATTATTTCTATTTTAAAAAAATTAAATTATTCACAGATTAATTAAAATCATAATTAAGATCACTCAAGACCCTAAAAATAATAAATTCCTTTTCATCTAAAGAAATATCAAAATTCTTTGTCCTGTACTCTTTCATATTAATTGCCACTCTATATATAATTTATCTCTTTCATTTTCAACATAAAAGGTCTGTGCAAGTTGCAAAATGAAAAATACAATTAACCCTCCCCCACAAAAAAAAAAAAAAAAAGTGTCAGCATACAATTTATCTCTTTCTCTCTTTCCTTTTCACCACAACATAGGAATTAATGCAGATCTAGAAGCTGAACAAGATGCATTTAATCCAGAGTTCCTGCCAAAGTTGTTTTTCTTGAAAGGCAAAGGTTATTTTATTGAATAAAGAAGAAGAAAAAGAGCACATATATATGGCAACAAAGGGAGCAAGCTGCTACGTAAAAACATGATACAAAAGTTATGATCTATTTTTGGTCATACATAAAATCGCAAAATCTGCTTTAACCGACTATGATAATGTTTAAATTGTGTCTGTCTTTCTCCGATCTCTTCGAATGATGAATTGTGCTGTGAGTAAAGCCAAGGATCAAATTTCAAAGCAGAAATTTTTGAACTTGATTTAATGGTCAAAATGAAAGTTCTCCCACAGTGTCACTTACTCAAAGATTTGTTTTGTATTTGGCTCGTGTTTAAATCCATAACTACTTTTTTATTTTATTTTGTAATTTAATTATTAAATTAATAATTTTTTTATTTTCACCTGTTTTTCATCCTTCTAAGTTAGGGATATTAATAGGTAAGGTAAAGTATTTTCTTCTCCATCGTTATTTTCGAATTTTTATATTATATCTATTTTTGTATTTATATTTAACGAATATTTTAAATTTATTTTCATCTCCATCATTACAAGTATTTAACCAATATGGGTAATCCCCAAACCCATAGTTTTTGAAAAAAATAAAAATAAAAATTTATATTTTAAATTTTTTTTTTAGTTTTTATTTTATTTACTTAAATAATTTTTTATAAATATATACTAATAAATATTTTTTCAGTAAAAATATATTAATTTTAATTAACCTAAAATAATAATTTATATTATTTAATAAAAAATTATTTATTAAATATATAAAAATATATATAAGGTACGAGTACGGAACGAATATTATCTTACTTATTTTCATTACCATACATAATAAAAATTTAAAATCATATTCATTTTTATTCTGATTCTCATACTTAAAATATAATACTCATTCTTATCTCTATTCAAATTAAAAATCGAATTTTTCATTAAATATGAATAAGATTAACATTTTTATTCTAAATTCTTACCAAATATTCTAATATCAAATAAATGTAAATTTAAATATTATGAATATAAAATTAAATTAGATTAGAAATGAGCAAAAATCTCTCCCTAAATTTATTTCCCTTGTCATATAAACAATCGAGACACTTTTTACTACTGCGTATAAATTACACATATGATTAAGGACTTTATTGAATTTCCATGGACTATTACGTGCTTGATTTATCCACGAGATAACCACTTTGGAGTCGCTTTCAGTAATAATACCGGGCAGTGGATCGATGTTAGCTTCCACCACGATTATTTGCCTAATAACGCAATTAAAATTCTTCCACACAGTACATCATTTTGTTTGAATTTTGAAAGCTAATCCTACATTTTTTTTTTACCAGAAGAAGAATTTCAATCTGACACAAACATTACAATTACATTAAAAAGTAAAGGTACATTTAAAGCATAGGTTTTTCTACCGATGATGTCTAGTCTCAGTGTAAGAAGATACTTGTAGCCTTACCTAAGTCGAAGATCTGATGTATGAATTTTTTAGAAAGTTTGTTTTTGTTTCCGTTTTCTTATAATTTGTATCGTTTAATTAAAATTTTCTTTCATTTTCTATTCTTTATATATTAATGATCTCTATACGATACAACTTAAATTCTGAAGGCTAACCAGGGTTTTTTGGATATTCAATTTGCATTGAAGTCAAGTTCATACAACCCCCAAACCAACGCTGCCGTGGACAGTGCCACCGGCAACGGACCAAACATCCACAGCAACGTAGGAAATGATATGCAGAGCACCCGGTTTCCGATTAGGGCCAAAGCAAACCCTCGTTCAAATATGGTTTGTGTGTAGGCAGGATCGGATGAGAACTGATCATCACCAGAAGCATTTATCAAGAAATTGGCATCAATCAGATATCCCAGGGCCATTGAGTAGCATAAGAAGCTAACCAACAGAAACAGTGATGCTGAACCATACTTTAGAGCATACATCCTACCCGATTGTGAGCCGAAAATTTCACTGTTGAAAAGATGGTTGGCAGTGTATGTGTTGTTTGTCAAAGCAGCCAATGCTAAGTTAACCAGGATGGCTACGGAAGCATTGAGAATCGTGGCCATTAGAGTGTTTCTCAGGCTTTGGACTGCCAACATACCCTTCTTATCGTCACCCTGTGATAGATCAGATTTTAATTCATACCAATGATATAAATTAACAATCAAAATTTGGTATTAACAGGGTCCCCAGCTTACCTGTTTTATGTCTAGAAACCATGTTTTCCTCCTAAACTTGTCGAGACCAATTTTGGTAGTAGAGGGCTTCTGCTTGAAGCTTTGCCAAAGACAGGCATGATAACCCAATACAAGGAAGAGACTAAAGGGGATAAAGACAGTGTCTAGATAGAGGATGAGTCCCATTTTTCAATAGAATTAATGAAGGAAGCTATACATTTAGTAGCCAAATGAAGACTAAATATCAGAGATGGATGGTGACATATATAGTGGAATTATTAGGTCGGAATGTAAAGAAATTCTATAGTTACTCATATTTCTGTTGTTGGTGGGCTTAATTTGTGGAGGACATGTCAAGGGACATTGAGTTGGGACACGCAGGAGACCAAAGGAAAGCAACCCATTTTTTTTTTAAGTGGCAAGTCCACTAATAGCAACCTAAACCAACCTCAACCACATTGTTGGTGTCAACAAGAGAATATGCTTTGACTTTCCTTCACCTTGCGTAACATTCCCGACTTGGTTGGCAATGAGCTTATGTTAGTTGAAAAACATAAAACAACAAAAATGAAGAAAGCAGCACATAATTCCCATTCTAGAACGTACAGTCGTACAGCTTGGATACAAACTCCCCCGGATACTCTTACTGAGCAGGAATGTGATTGGATCACTAATGACTTTGGTTTAATTATAAGAAATTAGGCTTAGATTACATATATTGTTCTTGCTTTGCCTTATCTCCAAATTAAGAGTTTTTTAAGAGAAATAAATATATTTGACAATCTAAAATAGAACACAATGATATAATATAAAAATGATACGAATAAAAAATATGATAATGATATTGTTTAAAATTTTAATAAAAAATATAAATAACTTTAACAAAATAAAAAAAAATTTATATTTTCGTGTCGATATGAATTATAACACATAATTTTTATATAAAATATAATATAAATATATAAATTATCAATATTTTATATAACATAAATACACGAATTATGATGAGCAACAAAATCTGCTTCACTGACGGCAGTGCCACTAAAATAAATCTCCAGAGTCATACATTATATTCTCATCTAATATGGTACACGTATTATGTCACATTAATTCTTTATCAGCCGTCCAAAGAACACGTATGGTAAATGGGCTTACTTTTGGAGGGAAAAAATAAAAGCCATATTATTACAATTTTATGAATTTTTTTTTTTCAAGGATATGATCGTGACATCTAAGCACCATTGATTAGTTAATTAATAAAATTGATTTAGAGCTTCAAATGATATGATCAGTGAAATGTATACTTTGCAAGTTAATGGGCTCTTGACTGATGAGGCTGATTCATTTATATATATGAAACGAGGCGGAAGAAGCTGAGCCCAACAGAGAAAGGACAAACATAGGAATGACAAAGGCTGACGGGGTGGCTCTCGCATGGATCTAGTAAGCCCACATAGAAAAATATCATGATCCAATACAGGTATTGGGCTGATGAATAATAGGGAAATGAAAGGAAGGCGCCAGGTCGATGTCAATGGTTATTGTCTGGGACTCATCAGTGTATTTGCAGTTGTTGGCTGTTGCTCTCTCTTTCTTTACCAATTTGCAAAACACAATGGCAAAACCAACAGCATTCTGAGTAAAAGAATAGGAGCCCTGAACAAAACTGCTTAAAATATGAGGCAGAGAGAGTTTCATAGGGGAGGGATTACGATTACTATGTTTGTGTTAGTGGGTTTGTTTCTTTGGTTCTCAAATGTTGACGCTTCCATCCATGAGTATAGAATGGAAGCTTTTAGCCCAAAATCAGATGCATTCTTTTTCCATGGTGGCAGTGAAGGCCTCTATGCTTCTAAGCTCCATGAACCCACTTCCCCTTCTGAAACTAAACAATCTTTCAAGGGAAAGTCCATTATCAGGTACTTTACAATTTTCTGAACTCTTTCATCATTTGGTCTTTCCTTTTTGCCTTTTGTTTCATTTGAATATGCATCTCTTTCTAATTTGTATGCTGTTGGTGTTTGTTGCTTGGACTTTGATTCACATTATGAATCATCATCATTCCCTGTTGGAAATTTTCAGTTTTGACTCGGTTACCTTTGTGAGGCCGAAAGAGTATGCTAATAGGCAGAATGAAATGCAGCAGAACACAGGATTAGTGGAAGCAATCATACTTGATGTTAAGGATAGAGAAAGGATTGGAGGGTCTTTCTTAAAGTCTGATCATGTCATTTGCTGCAACAAGCAACTTTCAGACCAAGGGTCCTGCAAACTTGGTGAGGTTATCATCCATAATAACCCGAACAACCCCGGGTGGCCCAAACGCATTAAGACCTTTTTTCAAGGGAACAATGAAGAAGTTAAAATGGATCTTGAAACAGTTGAAATAAGCAGCACTGGGATGTACTACCTCTATTTTATGTTCTGTGATCCGCAACTCAATGGTACTCTTATTAACGGAAGGACTGTCTGGAAGAACCCCAATGGTTATTTACCTGGGAAGATGGCTCCTTTGATGACATTTTTTGGTCTCATGTCTTTGGCTTACCTTGTGCTAGGCCTTGGCTGGTTTCTAAGGTTTGTTCAGTTCTGGAAGGATATCATTCATTTGCATTACCATATAACGCTTGTCATTGCTCTTGGAATGTGCGAAATGGCTGTCTGGTACTTTGAATATTCTAATTTCAATTCAACTGGGAGCAGGCCAATGGGTATTACATTGTGGGCAGTGACCTTTGGCTCTGTTAAGAAGACTCTATCTCGCCTTCTTCTTTTGGTGGTGTCCATGGGCTTTGGTGTGGTGAGGCCAACTCTTGGTGGCTTAACATCAAAAGTACTTCTCCTTGGTTTGATATATTTTATTGCGACAGAGGCACTTGAACTAGTAGAACATTTGGGGAACATTAATGACTTTTCTGGGAAAACAAAGTTATTTTTGGTGCTACCTGTTGCTTTTTTGGATGCTTGTTTTATTCTATGGATATTCTCATCACTGTCAAAAACTTTAGAGAAACTTCAGGTAAGACTCTTTCCACTTAAACTATTATTAGTAATGCATAGAGATAGATGAAAGAGAAATGGTAGACATCAATGGACAATGCATATATCTGCTAACGTGGCATGAAGCTATTAGCTCAATTAGAAATCAAAATTCACTAAACCTTGCTTCTTAATTTGTAGTGGGTTTAGTTACAAGAAATTTCCTGGCAGCAGTAGGCTCTGTATAATAAGACATGATTTTCTTGTGAAAATTTAAATTATTCATAATGATAGTCTTATCTAAATTGCAACAACTTTTAAAATGATCCATTTCTTTCCATTTTTTCCTGTTTTTTCTTGGGTGTAGACGAGGAGAAACTTGGCAAAATTGGAGTTGTACCGCAAGTTTACTAATGCACTTGCAATGTCTGTGTTGCTTTCTATTGCTTGGATCAGCTTTGAGGTAATACTAGTTCTATCCATTTTAATGTTCTTTAGGTGGCTTGGTACATGGAATCTTGGAGACCCGGTTGGCATCTTCTTCCTAGGTATTTGAGAATTAGAAGATGCTTAAAAACAATGTACTTTCTTGTTGGTCTGACATAAACAACCTTGGTAATCTTTCAATAAACATTCCTGGGAAAGCATGCTAGTGTTTGATAACATGAACATTGTTGGTAATTTGGTATCTTGCATAATATTTCCAACATGCCCTTAATGTCGACTGGCAGGTAATTCTATGAAGTATCTATATTAGCTCAAATTAATGAATCAATTTCATTTGGCTTCTTACTCCAGCAAATAGTAATTAACATTATTTTCTTTTTTTTTTTTTGGTGGTACTTATAGTAATTAACATAATGAATCCTTGTTATATTCAACTCAACTAAAGCTTCACTTCAAACTAGTTGGGGGCAGGCTATATCATTCAGTATCTCTATATTGCATGATTAAGGGCTAAAATATTTGAAAGATTTAAACAAGCCAAATCCTTTGTGGTTCAACCAATTTAATCTTCAGTCTGCCTCTACCTCTCCTCATTCTTCATACTTAGATCAAATCATTCTTATGTGCCGGAGTATCTCTAGCTCCACATTGCTCAAGACTAAACCTTCTAAGCTGCCTTTCCCTCAGTTTATTTTCAATCAGTGCCGGTTTTTGCTTCAGAGTGTTTTCTGTTCTACCTCTATCATCCTCTCTCGTTCTACCTATGTTAAGATTATGCCCCACATTTATTAAGATTTGATCCTACTTAATCTAAATCCTTCAGAATCAACACTCCCCTTAGTTTCGTCTACTAAACAACATCTGCAAATGCAAATAATAGGCAGCACGGTATAATATCAAGCCCCTACCAATCTCACGAATCCAAAGTTATTTAGACTTCTAGCATGTCCTTCATATAAATCCCTTTTAATTGGAAATTTACTATTATTGATACCACTAGTTGTAACACCTGCAAAGACTCTTGCATACATGTCCTTAATTTGATCATTGAGTTTTCTAATTGAGCTCGAGCTTGAGCCTGGCACTTGGTCGGCTCTCATGGCTTAGCTCGGTCACACCCTATGCATCACAGGGTAAAGTAACATGCCAATCTCTCTCTGTGGGAATGACTTTCCTGCAAGGGAGTGAAAAGAGAGGTCTTGTGTACCCATTGTGGTATTTTAGATTTCTGCTTCAGAATTCCCAGGCATTCCGATGGATTCATGTTTCTCTGTGCCAAACATCAGCTAAGTGAAGTTTAACATTTTGTAGTTTCCTCTTTCCATCATATTTGTGGATACTTTATCTCTACCAATCACCCTCCCCTCCCCAGCCCATGCACACGCTCACAGACACCCAAAAGAGCTCTGAAACAGAAACAAAAGCAAACAAAAGAATAATTGAAGCTCCTTTGGTTTCTCTTGGCTCAGCTATACTTCAATGCGAATGATCCACTGAGTGAGTTTTGGCAAATTGGTTGGATCATCCCAGCTTTCTGGAATATGCTTGCATACACTCTCTTGGTGGTCATATGCGTTCTCTGGGCTCCTTCACGTAACCCAACCAGGTACTTGCATTGATATTTTCTCCTTGCAGTTTGTGCATTTCAGTAAATGATGGTTGGCACTTACATTTACCTGACAAATCTCTCTCTTATACAGGCAAGTTTTAATTTTTATGAGTTTAATGGTGACAAAATAATTTCCTTTTTGTGTAAACTGTAATATTTAAACCATACATTGTTTCTATTACTAAATTTTGATATATATATATATATATATCCTTACATGAAATGCAATTTTTCTTTTTACTTTAGTCTGATTCTATAGCATAGATAAATATCCATACATTAGATCCAGTGGGTCCGACTTTTACCCGGATTTCATGCATAGTGGGAGCTTTATTTCTCTGGACCTCTTGCATAACGAGAGCTTTATGCACCGGCCTCTTCCATAATGAGAGCTTTATGCACCGGACTGATTTTTTTTGGTCTGATTCTATAGCATGGATTTTGGTGAGAGGCAGATGTCTCATATTTTGTGTTATATGCAACACGAATAAACAACATGAATTATCTTTAAATAGCGAGCTGCAACATAAATTATGATTTAACTACAGGTTTGAGCTAGTACTTGATTTGACTGTACATTTAGTTTGTTTTATGGGTGATGTTTGACTTTGATTTAGAGTAGAAGGAAAAGTTGATAATAATTTTGGCCATTAATATGGTTGTGGGCTTGCAGATATGCTTACATGGAGGAGATGGGTGAGGAGTCTGATGAGGAAGTTATTGCATTGAGCAGTGGGGACATTGCAATGAAGCTGGAAAGGCAGGCTATTATTGGAGATGCTCTTGAAGAGGATAAGCGCCAATAGATGATATCTCCAGTCTATTTTAGCATACCTAGGAAATATCTGTAAATCTTTGCCATACAGTATGTGTTGCTATAGGCATGAACAGATAATAAATTTTATTTTTATTACTCCATCCATTGGAATAGATTATAATATGCTAACTTGATAATAACAATAATTTCTTGTTTGGTTTTTGTCCAAAAAAAAAAAAGAGAAGGGAATGGGGCAGTGCAGGCATGACGTGTTTACCAATCAGGAAAAGGAACACGTGTATTTCATGTAATACAATATACATCATTAATTCTCGTCCCTGGTCTTGGGTCCCTTCCCTCTCCTTTTGTCTTGATCGTTAGGGGAAATTACAAAATGAGGCAATGGAATCGAAAGGCAGTTGCCACAATGCCACTCCATTGCTTACACAATACGGTTCTTCAATGTATTCTTTTTCAATTATTGCCACTTTGTTCTTTCTTTTGTAGTCTACGATATATCCATAGATAATGTAGATAACAAGCCAAAGCCTAATCTTTTTCTCAGCATTGGATTTATCATATCAAAACTTTGAAAAAGCTTACGACTTCTTCAACGTCTGCTTCTTTTCTCTGGATTTTCTCTTTAAAATCAAACAAACGCCTTTTCTTACCACAGCAAAAGCAGAAGAGAAAGAGAAAATTCAGCCCCCAAGAAGGATTAGGAAACTTAACCGGCCAAAAAAAGGTGACTTTTATGCTAAGGTATTGATTGGAAGATTCCCCATCTTGACTTATTGTTAGAAAAGTTTCTCATTTTGGATCGGAGAAAAGATGAGAGAAAAATTTGGGTTTTTAATTTGCTTATGGATTTTGTTATGTGGGAATTGTTTGGGGAGGTTTGTAGTGGAGAAGAACAGCTTGAAATTGACATCGCCAGAGTCAATCAAAGGAGTTTATGAATGTGCGATTGGGAATTTTGGGGTTCCTCAGTATGGTGGAACCTTGGTTGGTACGATTGTTTATCCTGAAGCAAATCAAAGGGCATGCACGATCTTTGATGATGTTGATATCTCCTTCAAATCAAAGCCTGGAGGACTCCCCACTTTTCTTCTTGTTGATCGTGGAGGTCTGCCTTTTTTTGTTCCTTTCTATTTCTGATTGATGATCCAATTTTGGAAGTCAATGATTTCAATTATGATGGGTTTTTCTTTTACTTTCTATTAATGTAAATATGGTACTTATCTTAATTCAATGGAATTTACTCTTGTGTTTTTATGAGTTTTACACTACTTAAATATGCTGGCAGTTGGCGCTTGTTAAATTTAGCAATGCCTACTGTGTTGATTTAAACTTGTAGGTCTTAGGTATTTGAGTTATTGTTTCCTTGGTTTCAGTTTTGCTCTTCTCAACTAGGTTTAAAGGCTTCTGCTTCTCATCTTTAACGTTGCTGTTCTGGCAGATTGTCTCTTCGTCTTGAAGGCGTGGAATGCTCAGAAAGCTGGAGCTGCTGCTATTCTTGTTGCTGATAACAAGGATGAGCAATTGATTACCATGGATACCCCTGAAGAAGGGAATGCTAGAGTTGAATACGTGCAGAACATCACCATTCCATCAGCCCTCATTAATCAATCACTAGGTGACAGCATCAAGAAGGCCCTTTCTAGTGGGAAAATGGTTAATATGAATCTTGACTGGAGGGAGTCGCTTCCACATCCTGATGATCGGGTTGAATATGAGTTTTGGACAAATAGCAATGATGAGTGTGGGCCAAAGTGTGACAGCCAGATAGAGTTTGTTAAGAACTTCAAAGGAGCTGCTCAAATACTTGAGCAGAAAGGGTACACTCAGTTCATGCCACATTATATAACTTGGTATTGCCCTGAAACTTTTATTTTGAGCGACCAGTGCAAGTCACAGTGTATCAATCATGGGAGGTACTGTGCTCCAGATCCTGAGCAAGACTTCAGTAAAGGATATAACGGTAAAGATGTGGTGGTTCAAAATCTTCGCCAAGCTTGCCTTTTCAAAGTTGCTAATGAAAGTAGAAAGCCATGGCTTTGGTGGGATTATGTTACAGACTTTGCTATCCGCTGCCCAATGAAAGAGAAGAAGTATACCAAAGAGTGTGCAGATAAAGTTATCCTATCTCTTGGTAGGTTAATGCTTTATACATACTGCTCTCTATTATATTTGATTCTTTGAATAGGCCACACACGATAATGCTGCTGCTAGAGTGCTAAGAAGGTGCTAATGTTATGTTTTGATTGATTTTATTTCTTTAAGAATGGAGCATTAGACCACTGAATTGGTCCCCTTTTGTTTGGGGTAAAAAATAAGTAATTTATTCTTCCTGTTTATCCCCCAGTATATATATATATAAAATGTTTCCCTTAACTTTTTCTGCTTTATTTTTACCAAAGTTAATGAAATTAGATAGTTTTTGTTGTAGCACTAATTAATTTATATACATTTACATGTGCATCTACCTGTATGTGTATTTGTTATGTGTGTGTGTGTGTGTGTGTGTATATATATATATATAACTCTGATTTAATTGGGACCTATAAAAGCAAAAGAAGTCTTATTTTCCACAGGAAATGTTGTATTTACATCTGACAGGCGTACTTATGTTTAGTGTATTGGTCTTCCATTCTCTGCTTTATAGGTGTTGATCTCACTAAAATAGACGAATGTATTGGAGACACTGAGGCTGATGTGGACAACCCAGTTCTTAAAGCTGAACAAGAAGCACAGGTCAGGCAATTCTTAAACTTTATAAGTCCCGCAGTTCCATCTATGTCATATCTTGTCATTCAGTTTCTTATTTATGCTGTAATTATGGTTTCAGATTGGCCACGGCTCCCGTGGAGATGTAACTATACTGCCAACTCTTGTGATAAATAACAGACAGTATAGAGGTTTGAATCAGAATTTACTGCCATTGCCAGCAATTTGACTGCATGAATTACCTTTTGTAACCAATAACTTCTTTGATGGATGTAGGGAAGTTGGACAGAGGAGCTGTTCTCAAGGCAATTTGTGCAGGTTTTCAAGAGACCACAGAGCCAGCTATTTGTTTAAGTGAAGGTTATCATCTATTGCACTCAATTTACGAGCATTTTCTTCATGTGTTCTCCTTTGAAACTTACTAATCACAATTTTATTGCATAATCAACACATGCTATGCCCTCCTTTGTTTACCGTTGAACCAAATGACAGAGTTACTTCAGTGTTGTTGATTGGTAAAATGATTACAGAAACTGTCCTTTATTAGCTGCAGACCTTTTCTTGCATATCTGTTTTGGTGCTTTTGATAAGCTTCAGTAAAGTAATAGTTATCTCTCTACAAAGTTGTTCCCATGCTATTTTAGTTAGACTATGATAAATTTGTATTTGCGGGTAGAGACTACCATAGAGAGGATATTCATTAATTTATCATGAATTGTCCTTGGCAGACGTAGAAACTAATGAGTGCTTAAAGAATAATGGTGGGTGCTGGCTGGACAAGACTGCTAACATAACTGCATGCAGGGTATGTCAGCTACAGGAATTTTTTTGTAGATTAACTATATATTCAATTTAATTTTTTTGTAGATAAATATATATTCAATTTAACCTTTTTGCTGATGTCCTTTTTTACTTGTAGGATACCTTCCGAGGAAGAGTGTGTGAGTGCCCAATGGTTAACGGTGTGAAGTTTTATGGAGATGGTTATATGCATTGTGAAGGTAAATATTTTTCATTAGTAAGGAGGCAACTTAGTGTGAAATTGTTGATGGAAATGATTGGTGGTTACACTTAAGGGTTATAATCAATACTAAAACAGAAATTCGCATTTTAAAACTCATTTATATTTAGTTCCTATGCTATAATATCTTCTTTTTTGATTTAACAGCTTCTGCGGCTCTACATTGTGAAATAAACAATGGAGGATGTTGGAGAGAAACACAGGAAGGAAGGACATACTCTGCTTGTGTTGTGAGTGCCTCTCTCTCTGTCTCTTTTGCTGTTTCTCTCTCTCTCTCTCTCTCTCTCTCTCTCTCTCACATTTTTATTGTTTCTTAGTTATTTGGTTCTGGAATGGATTGTTCAGGATAATATTTCGCATGGTTGCAAGTGCCCACCTGGATTCAGGGGTGATGGAGTCAACAGCTGTGAAGGTACTAGGATTTCCTATCTGCTTTCTTTATTTAACATCCAGAGTCATGCTCAACACTGGAAATAGACAACTCATTGAGATTTTTGTTATCTGCTTTTAGTCAATGAGTTCATTTAATATTATGCATGGTGTTTTCCACTAATCTGTGGAACACATGTAAATTATAAGATGCTTAACCGCTATTTTCTGTCAGATTTGTGTCTACTAAGAGACAATAAAAGTTATCTATTTTAGATTCTGATGCAGTATCTTAATTTCAATTTATATTCTCGGCATCTAAAATGCTTTGATAGGAGTATGGTAAAGTCTCAAATCACTTCTAGACTTATGATATTTTCATTTTGGCAGAGCTTTTAACTTAAAGTGCTCCTTGATTGCAGCTGCATCAAATAAGTTTTAAGCTTTATGTTTGTTTATATCTCTGTTGGTGAACTATTTCTCACATATGACTGTCTCCCAGATGTCGATGAGTGCAAGGAGAAGCTGGCCTGCCAATGTCCTGGGTGCAAATGCAAAAACACCTGGGGCAGTTACGAGTGCAGCTGTAGTGGTGGTTCATTGTACATGCGAGAGCATGATACATGCCTCAGTGAGTATCTTTGGGGCCTGCAGTGATAGACAAACATTTTATGCCATCTTACTCTTTGTAGGATGGTCTCTATCGGCTATAAGTCTTTTCTTATAATGTGTTCCTGGATCTTGTACTATGGTAGGAAATGCTGGTAGTGGGTATAAGACTAAGCTAATTGTCCGTTTAATTGCTTGATTTGGAGATTGGCATTTAGGATCTCCATGCCCCTCTATTGCATTATTTTCTACTGCTGATATGTTCTATTGCAAACTACGTAGGTAAGAACGTTAAAACAGGGTTAAGCTGGGGCTTTGTTTGGGTAATAATTCTTGGACTGGTTGCTGCTGGAGCTGCTGGATATGCCATTTACAAGTACAGAATCCGGGTAAGATTGTTGTAGCACTAATATATCTGATGTTCCTATGTATCCCCCACAGATTATAGAGCTCATTTTAGAACCAATTGAGGTGTTCCTGATAAGAGGCATCACATAGTTATTAGATGCCTGAGTTGATATTGACACACGCAGACCTTTAGAACCTTATAGGTATTAATAGAAGGGTATTTTTTAACCAAACTGGAAATTCTGGTTTTAAAATATTGAAACCATACCTAACTGAAATTATGTGGAAAACACAAAAGGAGTTAAACTTAATTCCTGGTTTGACTCGGTTTCTTGTTTAGTTTGGCCTTAAGTTTAGAAACCAAACTACAATATCTGAAGTTCAAATCATATCAAACCCACTCAAATTGTTCCAAATAGTGCAAAGTTGTTGTTAGGAGTTAGGACCCACCTAAAAAGCCAAAGAAACAGAAGTTTCCTTATTGAGATGGTAGTGAATTAAGTAGGGTAGGTACTTTTTTAAGGTTGAGCCAAGATGGGGGAAATTGATTGCTTGTTTCTTAATTAACTGCTTGACTTGCATCTATTATTTTTTTACCCTTTTTTTTATTAAGGATCTGCTTTCGAGTAAAACAGACCAAATCTGGCTAATAGGACAGATTTGGGTTAGAAATTAATGCAGCAGTTTTATCAATTAGACTCCATTTTAAAACTGAAATGATTGACAGGAGGGCTGTAATTAATCACAATTCTAATAGCACTTTAACATTGTTTCTAGTAAGAAAAGGCCTAGATAGTCTAAAGGGGGAGCATTTTTTTTTAATGAATGATTGATGGTGAACTGAATTTTCATATTGTTCTTGGAACTTCATGCAGAGTTACATGGATTCAGAGATTCGGGCTATAATGGCACAATACATGCCATTGGATAATCAACCTAATGAAGTCCACCATCCAGATATCTAAAATAACAGCAGCCCGATGGCTGACAACTGCTGTGGGAAAAGAGGCACAAGGACTTATTTTAAAAAGCCTTAGGTGGCTGTCTGCATTCTCTCATTTCATTTGGTTATTATTAGGCGTAATACTTATCCAGTGAGAAGTTGTAATTGACTTATTTGAAACCATGATGTATTTACGAATGAAACTTTGAACTAGTAAATTAATAGAAATTGGATTACATAATTACTTGGAACAAATTTAATTGTAAATGCATAATTTTTCTCCTTCACCCTTCCAAAAATCAAAATTAAAGCATAGCAGTTTTGGATTAACAGTGGACAGAGTAATTGGTTTCTCCTCGTGCAAATTGGATTAACATCTTATGCTTTACTCTATCTTAATGTATCTGTATAGAATAATAAATGCTGGACCAAAGGTACTTTTTGCAATGCTCACATTATCAACTAACTCGTCTGCCAAGCAACTTCACACTCAAAGATGCTGAAAAATCTCATACGAAAATTCACCTGTGTATACAAGAATTAAGTGGAAAAAAAATAGGACACCTTTATTATTCAAAGCTTCTAATGGACATAGGGGAATAGCAAAATATTTAAATATTTAAATATTTTTAACATTATCATGAAGCATCAAACTTCATTCTTTTAACTACCTCTCATATCATCATATCCATATGGATTCACAACACAAAACCAACCAAGTCAAACAAGGACCTAAAATTCGGCATTCTTCAACATCATCAAGAGTTTGTAGTTTCTTCTTGTGGTATCAATTCTGCTTTCTTCAGAGCCAAAATGATGCTGTATTTAGATATTTTTCCTCCCTGGATCCAAGGAAAAATTAAACTTCTCAGAAAATGTACAAAACAACTGAGGATATTTCAACATTGGAATCAGAAATGGAAGTACCCTGACAGAGAAAGATTAAAAATTTACCGAGGGGAAGGGTGTCCATGCGTGTGTGAGGGGTGGGTGGGAGGAGTGAACTGGAGACCTCATGACAGAAGGTTTTGCAAAACATATTGAGTGCAGTCGCTTGAGAATTTAACATATGTTGTTATGTAAAGAAAAAAAATGAATGACAAGTATACATGTAATGGGCACATATATATTGGCCCAGGCTCAATTCCAACTCTATGTGCAGCAGATTCAGATCTTTATGATAAAGAAAAATGAGGTAAAGAATATAAAGGTTTCCCACAATGAACTGGAAAGTGTCCATAGATGGAGATTAGAACCTATTGTGCATGTACACCTTTTTTTTTTTGGGGGGGGGGGGGGGGGGGGGGGGGGGAGGAACCAGAAATTGAACATACACATCAATAAAACTAACCTCAAAAGAGCAAATCAATGTTCTGTCCCAGGTTCCAAGCCTGGCTTCTTATTTTGTAGAAGTTTGTAGATATAGAATGCCACCACCGCACCACTGCATAGGAAAGCAAGATGTCAGACAACATGTACTTTTCTTTACTGCAATAGCAATGCCTTCACAAACTAAAGCTCCAGCTATGAATCCAAATAAAAAAAATGAACTGCATAATATACCTGAAAGGAGTGTATGCCAATGAATAACACATGCAGGCAAAGCTAATATTTTCATGCAACTTTGAAAGAGCAAGAGACAGCACATATTTCCACGGGCAAAGATAAATTCAAATTTGTTATACATATTCATTCCTCCTTTTATGCCATCCTATAATCATGTTTGAAAATACGCAAGGCTTGTAAACTTATAGTCATCAATATTACACCCTTCTTAGCCGCACAGAAGTTAGAAGCAGCCTTTAATTTTCATGTATATATAACAGAAAATTTAAAATGTCAAAAGAATTTTATGAACCTGACTAAGGATGTAAGAAAGGTGCCCAGAGTTGATCTCTGCAAAAAGCATTGGAGCAGCAGAAAATTAGAAAAGAAATAGTAGCTAGAAACAAAATCGGTGGCAATTTAAAAACCAATAAGCAAAACAAAGTTACAGAGACAGAAGCCCCACCCGAACCAGCAAGCTTATCTCCCTCAAAAATAATACAGATGCGATGACTGCAGAAAAACATAATCCAATTAATAAAATATAAAAGATATGTAGTCTTGTATTATTTAAGTTGCAAAAATCTGCAAATTAAGAAAAATGTAGCAACCTGCTTGTCCTTTGGTGGCAAGAGGAGACGACTCTCCTCTATCATATGATTTTAAACTTGATACACTTAATGCCAAAAGAGCTCCACCTAGAATAACCCCGAACCTAACGGCAGATATGCTCCCTGTCAGCATGAAAGAAAGGAATCCCAAAACCGAAAGAATAAAACCTGCCAAAACCCAAAAAAAAAAAATAAATAAGTTTCAAGTTTTTGTGTATGAAATTAAACTTTTTAAGAAAATGAAAAATGGTGATCAAGTCATGCTGACATAAATTTATGTCTACATGTACAAGAAATATTTTCATAAACCAACTTAGAGTTAACAACTTACTCGTTCCTGTCATGCATGTAAAGTTTCAAGTCACTTCGATTCCTCTATCATTTCGATCGGGTTGAAATTTTACTATTATCAAACAAATACTTAGACAATTTGACATTATTTGAAATTTGACATGCATGATCTTGAGCATCTTGAATAGAGAGTAAATATTTATCATATAAGAAGATATAAAAGAATGTAAAATAAGTGGATCAATACCATAAGGTATCCCAACGTGAAAGTCGAGAACTTTGTTAACGTCCTTGAAATCATCTGCTGAGGAAGAGAATGTTCCAACAATTTCTTTGACTTCTGGAGGGGAATTCTCGGCTGCCGTTGAGAGGTAAACTTTGCCTTCTTCACTGATTTCTTTTACTATTTCATTCAAATCATTTTTGGCTTTTTCTGCTTGAATTTTAAGCAGCTCCGAAGTTTCTTTCATAATAACCAAAGCTTTCTCGCAGAAAAGTTCGTAAGCTTCTTGGGACACGCTTTTCATCATCAAAGCATTTTCTTTGAATAATTCTAAGGCCTGTTTCCATGCTTCATTTGACTCTTCTTCGCTTCCTATTTTCACTTCATCCTTTTCTCTCTCTACTTCCATTTCTGAATGCTTCTAAAAAAATTGAAAATTTAAAAATCATTTTATTAATATTATCCCAAAAAAAGAAGGAAAATTGTGAGTAATAAAATGTCATTGGAATTTCAACTCACGGATTCTTCGTGGGATGCTGCGAAAGCGACGACGGATTGGTTGAAGGATATCCGTCTATTGGGAGAGCGAAAATCGAGGGCTAAACCTTTGGGAGTGGCGATAGAGACTCTGAAAGAAGACGGCATCAGCCGCAGAGACGGAGACAAACACAGTGCCATCGGAGAAGCAGAAGCACGAGTCAGTCTCTTCAATGGCTTCAAGGCGGAGCTAGCGTTAGGGCTTTTGATCGATAACATTTCTTTGGATTGTTAAATTTTTTATTATTAGGGACAAAGAAAGCGAGAGGCCAAATGCACGAGAAATAATTTTAATTTGGCAGAGAAGGGGATTTAGGAATTTATTGTTGTTGCTGGGTGTCAAAACGACGTCGGTGAGGAAACATTGTCATCCTTCCTAGTGGTTTTGTCTGGGAAATAGGAAGTAGGAGCATTATGGCTACGAAATGCGATGCTTTGATGACACGTAATCAAGAAAAGGTTTTGTCCGAGGGGTCCCCACAGAATCGTGTTTGGTGATAGCTGTGATATGGTACATGGAAACTACGTTGTTCTCGCTACTCCAAGTTACTTTTCTTTCAATTGTCATCACGTAATCATGTGATTCTCGATTCTCGGCCGTTGGATAGTTAATTTTCCCCTGTTTCTATTTTTTTAACATAATTTACACTTTGGTATTTAAATTCAACAAATCAACTCCGACGATTTGGTATTTAAATTTTTTTTTGATAAATTTAAAAATAAAATTTTAAATGCACTAATAAATTATTAAAAAATTAATTCAGATAAAATCTTAAAATATCTTTGATCACATTAATATATATATATATATATATATAAATATATCTAATGATTTTTTTTTTCTTTGGTGTGAGATTGCTTGATTGGAGGGGCAGAGGACCGATACCTTTATGAAAGCTTAATTAAGATTAAGATCTGCATATATGCTAACTAAAGACGTTTATTGTCAGGTAAAGTGAAATGAGCCTATTTTTAATATTAATAATTTATATATTTATACAGATTTAATTTTATTTGACATTTTGATTTTCAAAATCTTTTTAAATTTGGCTTATATTAAAAAGATAAATTTTAAATTTATTTATTAAATTTAATTTATATAATAAAAAAATAAAAAAAATCTTTACTTTTTTTTGTTTGGGCTTAAGCCAAAATAAAAAAATTTTTAAAAAAAATTTATATATATACTTATCTAATTATAATATTTTAATAGTATATTTTATTCAGATCAAATATATCGGGTTTAGATTTTTATTTTTTAATCTAAATTTGATTCAAAATTTAAACGAACTTAAAAATTATGATCAAATTCTTTTAATAAATTTTAATTTTTTATCTAATTTTTTTTTAAATTTTGGATGGACTTTCAAATTTAAATGGATAATTTAGGTCTTGAACAAATTTAATTCTAAAACAACAAGAGGAAAAAGTGAAAGCTGAAGCAAATTAAAACTTTGAGGACAAAGTGAACATGGAAAATGAAAAATATGCATCTGCTCATAGGTGTTCTATCTGACACTTGAGCTTGTTACAGAACATGTGAGGTGATTCAAAGCAGATCATATCTCCATCATTTTAGTTTCAGTTTCTTGAACGGTTGTTGGAATTAATTTTAAGAGATTCAGGTCGAAGCTCATTGGTCTCCCTGAGCTCCCAAGTGTTGACAGGTTTAAGTGTATTCTATAGACTTTGAATCGACCACCTGCATGCTTAAGTTTGGCATTGCTCTATTGACAGCATCTTGGAAGCGGAAGGCTCTCGGTTGCACAAACTGTGCTCTTCAATCTTCCTGAGAAAAGAAAATTTACAATTGTTGACAAAATTGAACCATTCACACCCCGGGAGCCCCTGTATTATGCTAGAATCTATTTGGTACAGCAGATGGGCTAGTCAGGATAGGGTAGGATATCAGCATTGAATAAGTTCAGGTTTAATAAGAAAAAAAAAAAGGGAAAGCCATACAAGTAAAATGTGGGCAGATCCCACATTGTGGTTTCAGAAAAATTTTAAAGAAACAGCACTCTTCCCTGCAGGCCAGACCAACGCATGCATGCCCCAAACAAGGATGGGAAGCTGACAGAATACATCAAGCGTTTTTATCACATCCTATGCAATAACTGACAGATTCACACGTCGCATTATCCAGTTTACAAATCAGGCTTCGAGTTCAATATCGCCATCGAGTACAATAAGCAGTACAAGGCAGAAATAAATGGAGAAATAAAGAGGAACATATGTTTGCTGATCCTATCAAACAAGGAGCATTCATGACAAATCACCTTCTTCATCATCTATAGCGACCGTATGTGCAAAATGACTAACAGTTAAGTCCAAATGTTTACTAAAATTAGGCTATCAAGATTAAAAGTGCACAACCAGGTCACACAAGAATGCACGTTCTATTGAACTTATATAAACTCTTTGCTTATGAAGGAAAAGCAACAAAGAACAAAAGCAACCAAACAGTTCCTGTTGAGAAGTAACTTATATAAGTTCCTTTAAAATCAAATTACTTTCATTTCACTTGGCGAGCACAAAAAACAAAGCATGGTAAAGCATATATTTTCACTGGTCATCAAAGATCAAACCTGACGGCGAGCCTTGGAGTAATGGTAAAATTGTTTCTTCGTGATCGAAAGGTAATGAGTTCAAGTCTTGAAAACAATCTCTTTGCAAAAATTTTGAAGAAAGGTTACGTATCATGGACCCTTTCTGCAAAATTGCAATGGAAAGGTTGCATATTATGGACCGTCATCTTAACTCTCGCAAAGCGAAAAATTTTGTGCACTGATCTTTTATTAAAGTTCAAATGCCTTCAAAAAAATTAAAAAACGACTAAAAATTGGAAACCTTTTTAAAAACATATAAAAAAGACAAGTTTCACCCAAAAAAAATTCATTGCTAACGTCAAGTTTGGTCCATTGAAGTTAAAATTTGTGAATCAATTTATCATCATATGGTCATTGTCCAACCAAAACGTCAAACTTTCTCATTTATCCCCTCTAAAAAAAAAACTTACAATGTGGAAATTGATCATCAAATTGAGCTTGACTTGGATTCACAAGAAAACAACACAGTCGATATCTTGATTAGCCAGATTCAAAAGTGCTGTCCTAATCAGACTTTAATTTCTAATCTTGTCTTAGATCTATATGGGAATTGAAGGAGGTTCCATTCTATTCTAATTACTTTATTAATCGGCGACAAATGGATCAAATCCAACTAATTAGCACATGCATGGCGTTGGCATTGGGCATTGAAAACAGGAAATTCCACATTAATTCTACAAGTTAGTCTTCCTTCCTTTCTGCATGCCCCTTTTGATCTGTTGAAAAAATCAACTTAAAAGATTGAGACTCCGCGCCATTTACGCCACTCATATCCAATCTAATCAGTTCCCCAAGGCCAAAGAAAGCTGAAAAACTAAATGCTGATTTATAATTCTTGGAAGGGGCATTTAGGGTTCAAACGATAAAATGGATCTTTTATTTCATAGTATAAATCATCTGATAAACGAAAACAATTTAATTAATTTGATCAAGTTAACATGTCCGGTCAAAAATTTTGAATTCCATATCAATTTGGTCACCTGCTAACATATAAAAATATTAACTTGTCGTCTCCGATTAAATGGTAGATTGTCAGCTTAACTCAAACTTTCAACGTTAATCTTAATTTCGTTACTTGAAGCTCGGATCACCTAGACTCAGATACTCCTGTCGCACAAAGCTGCAAACTTCGTAAGTCAGCCAATGTGCAAAAATTAAAAAGAAACTTCAGAAGTCAGTCAAAAACGAAAAGAATCTAAAAGCACAAATCTTGGCTTGCAACGGCCAAAAATGTCAGGTTCCAAGCATTTCAAGACGGGGAAGAGACCAAACAACAGTAGATTTTTTGACCCAAAATTTTATTTTTTTATTACATAAACATAGATAACTTGTCATGATGATCTCCTCTCCCCCATTGGGTTTGCCGAGAAATTCCAGTGGACGTAAAGCTAAACCGTGTTTGTTCTGGAAGAACAAAGCATCAAGGGGTAGGCAGGTGTTGTCGTGTTGTTGTCTTTAATGTTGTACAATATTATTTTGCTTTTACAGCTTTGTCAGATGTTCAAATAATGATATGAAGTTTTCATTCCTGTCTGGGCTTGGGGTAAAGTTAAAAAGTGTGAGACCATGTGATTTACATTAAAAGTAGCAACCTCTTTTATATAGGGTAATGTCTTAATTTGAAGTTAAATTTCTTTACTTTTACTTCAGTATTTAATTATTTTATTTTCTATTATTCTTACTAAATAAAATTAAAAAACATTTTTTAATTTAAAAGACAAAATAAAATTTTTTTCTCGATAAAAAAATAAGTAAATAATTAAGAATATTTTAAATTTGTTATGCAAATTGATCTATCAAATTAGTTTTGATTTACGAGTCTGTATCAATTCAGTTATTTCATCAATTTATCAGTTAAATTCCTTTTGACATTATCTATCATCCTTTGAATGAATAATTAATTTTAACTTAGTTCAGATTTATCAAATTATCTTTACTATCAGGACTAATTTTGAACAATTTAATCTTTATTATTAGGACTAATTTCGAACAATTTAGATTGTTCAAAATCTTTTATTTTAAAAATATAAATAGGACCGTCTAAATAATATTTATCAATTTTATTTTCTCTACTCTTTATCATCTCTTATTTATTATTCTCTTTGATCGGTATTTGATTTAAAATATCTGAACATAAATGTTGATCATCTCAACTTTTATTTTTATTTATTTATTTATTTTTATTTTTTTCGGCACCAAACAATGTTAAAATTATTTAAAAATCACTTCATATTGAATTTAGAATAGTATTTGCTACTATAAAGAATCATTAAGGAATATGCTCCACAATTAAAAGTTTTTTTCTTTACATTATGGTGTTGAAAATAATTGTATTTTATGATTAAATTTTAAAAATTTAATTGGCATGACAATACTACGGGAAAGAACTTAATACTTTATGGGTGCTTTTAAACCAAGTAATTACTTTAAATCATGATTTGAAACTATTTTTTGACATTAAAAAAAAAAAGACCATAGAGAAATATTGACAGAAAATCATGGCGAGTTGGGGGTTGGCCAAATCAGATGGTAAAGCGAATCAGATGTACCACGTGTATGTCTCATAGGATTCTGATTTGACCAAAATAAAAAAAATAGAAATTAAAAAAGAAATAAATACATAAATAAATAAAAAGTGAAACCCCATTATTCATCGTTTTCCCCCCCAAAGCCCAAACCCTCTGTTTTTAGGCCTCCGGAGCTTTAATTGCTTCCCTGCTTTACTCTTCTCTTCTCTCTCATAGTCTCTTTATTACACCCAACATACCAACCACATCTACACTTATTTCCATCATTAATTATTATTCTTTTTCTTCTCTTCTTTCTTTCACTCCCCACTCCCTCTTTATTTCTTCACCATCGCCACCTTTTCAGCTAAGCTGACCTGACACAGCAGCAGCTCCAAAACTGTGTCTTCTCGCTTTCTTTTTTCCCACAGGTTTTCTGAGCTTGAGTTTCTAGTAAGTAAGTTTTAGCTTTGGAGCATTGGGGTTCTTTTTCTTAGCTGAAACTAAGAGGAAAAACCTTGGAAAGTGGTTTTGATTGAGGGAATCCGTTCTTTGTTTTTGTTTTTTTTGCTTTGGGTCGAAAAAGTTCTGCACTATCTATCTCTTTGTTTTGTTGAACCCATTTCTGACCGTCTTCTTTGTCCTTTTGCTTGCTTCATCACTTTAACTCTTCCTTCCCCTTCTCTGCCTGCTCAGTGTTCACACTCACACCCCAAAGTTTATCCTTTTCAAGCTTCCATTTAATCTATCAAGTAGAAATAGCTATAAAATACCAATACCATGGAGGCTTAGCATTTTTTTTTTTTTTTGCTATTGAGTTGAAGGGAAAAGAAAATGCTGTTAAAGGTCTTAGTTTTTCTTGTTTTGGTATCAGTTGTTGGAAACGCTCAACAGCAAACTTTCAACGACGATGTTCTGGGGTTAATCTTCTTTAAAGCAGGGCTCAAAGACCCATATGCAAAGCTCCAATCTTGGAGTCAGGATGACAACGATTCCTGCAACTGGATGGGTGTTAAATGTGACCCGACAACTTACCGGGTCACTGAGCTCCACCTTGATGACCTTTCTCTTTCTGGTCACGTTGGCCGTGGCTTATTACGGTTACAGTTTCTTCAAGTTTTATCGCTTTCGAATAACAACCTTACGGGAACCATAAACTCTGAGCTTTCTCACATTGGGAGCTTGGAGGTTATTGATTTAAGTGGAAACAGCTTGTCAGGGTCGATCCCTGATGAATTTTTTGCACAATGTGGGTCTCTAAGGTCGGTCTCTTTCGCAAGAAACAATCTTACAGGGCAAATTCCTGATTCTTTGAGCTCTTGTTCCACCCTTGTGGCGGTTAACTTGTCGTCTAATCAGATTTCAGGGCATTTGCCATCTGGATTTTGGTTTATGAGGAGCCTTCAATCGCTTGACGTGTCTGGTAATTTGTTGGAAGGAGAGATTCCTGAAGGAATTGGAAATTTGTATGATTTGAGAGAGATAAATTTTGGAAACAACAGATTCTCTGGGAGGCTTCCGGGAGATATTGGAAGTTGTTCACTATTGAAAGTGGTTGATTTTAGTAAGAATTATTTGTCTGGTAGCCTTCCGGATTCAATGCAGAGGCTTGGTTCATGTACTTCAATCAGTTTACGAGGAAATTCTTTCAGGGGACAAGTACCTGATTGGATTGGAGAATTGTCAAGTCTTGAGAGTTTGGATCTTTCTGCAAATAATTTTTCTGGTGGAGTTCCATTTTCTCTGGGAAATCTGCAGTTACTGAGGGAATTGAATCTGTCAATGAACCAGTTTACAGGTGCATTGCCAGATTCAATGGCTAATTGTTTTAACCTTTTGGCTATAGATGTTAGCCAGAATCTGTTGACAGGTAATGTTCCGTCATGGATGTTTAAGATGGGTGTGAAGAGTGCGTTGATTTCTGGGAACAAGCTTATTGGGAGCATGGAAAGACCTTTACTCCCTTCAAGAGTGCCATCTTATCAAGGCCTTCAGGTCTTGGATCTTTCTTCAAATGCTTTATCTGGAGAGATTCCATCTAACCTTGGGGTTCTTAGCAGCTTACTCTTCTTTAATATGTCCAAGAACCATCTTTTTGGTTCCATTCCGGCCAGCATAGAAGAATTGAAGAGTACACTAGTTATTGATTTAAGTGACAATATGCTGAATGGAAGCATTCCTTCTGCAATTGGAGGAGCAGTCTCGCTCAAGGAACTGAGGTTACAGAGGAACTTTCTATCTGGGAAAATTCCAACTCAGATAGTGAATTGTTCATCGCTAACAACTTTGTAAGTTCTTCCTTGCTCTTTTGTTTATTTCTTTTAAGGGCTTTATGTTGTGTTATATACATTGTTATTTAAACTTTAAAGGTTTCTTAATACTGAAAAAATTTGTATTAACACTTTAACTTTACACTATTAGGCTCTATCTAATTAATGTTAACCACTACACCTACTTTTGAAGCTGTTAGGGTGTTTTTATGGATGATTCACCGAGGGTCTGAGACCTTTAGTTAAATGTATCATGGCTAATTGGATTGGCACTGATCACCTAAAATCCATTAGTTCCTTTAATTTATCAAATAATATGCGGCTAAGTTGTTGTACAAGTAAATGGTATCTAAATGACCGTTATCATTCTCCAGGAAGATTACAGGTCCCTTGCTATCCTAATAGGCTAATGACTTGCTGTACATTGTTTGATTAGGAAGCAAGGCTGTTGCTTGCAATGCTGTAAATAGACAAAAATTGGCTTTGCTGCAATTGAATTGATCTGATTGATAGTAATTTTTTTCCCTTTTTCTGTAGTCTGAGATTGATGTTCTCCTATTTTTGGGGTCAATGTAGCAGAACTCATTATACATTCAAATTTTAAGCTATGACCTCCAGTTTTCTAACAATTTTGTTCTGGTTTCTATTTCAATGGTACAGAATTCTGGCCCGTAACAAACTATCTGGCTCAATCCCTCCTGCTATGTCAAACTTGAGCAACCTGCAGTATGTAGACTTGTCATTGAATGAACTAACTGGAAGCTTGGCAAAAGAGCTGGCAAATCTTTCTCAACTCGTTTCCTTTAACATCTCTCACAACCACCTTCATGGTGAACTTCCACTTGGGGGCTTCTTTAACACCATCCCTACTTCATCTGTCTCTGGAAATCCATCATTGTGTGGTTCCATTGTCAACCGCTCTTGCCCAGCTGTCCATCCCAAGCCCATTGTTCTCAATCCTAATTCATCTGACTCCATTGGTGGCTCCTCTCCAAATCACCACCGCAAGAAAATTGTGCTCAGCATCTCTGCCCTCATTGCTATTGGTGCAGCGGCTTTTATTGTCATTGGTGTAGTAGCTATCACTCTCCTCAATATCCATGTCCGTTCTTCTATGTCACGTGCTCCTGCAGCTCTCACCTTATCTGGGGGGGAAGATTTTAGTTGTTCTCCCACCAATGATCCAAAGTATGGAAAACTTGTAATGTTTTCAGGGGATGCTGACTTTGTTGCTGGGACCCACGCCCTGCTTAACAAGGACTGTGAGATTGGTCGTGGAGGGTTTGGAGTTGTTTATCGAACAATCCTTCGTGATGGGCGTTCAGTTGCCATTAAGAAACTGACTGTTTCAAGTTTGATTAAGTCTCAAGAGGAGTTTGAAAGGGAAGTGAAAAAACTTGGAAAGATTAGGCACCATAATATTGTAGCTCTTGAAGGATATTATTGGACTCCTTCCTTGCAGCTCCTCATTTATGAATTTGTTTCCAATGGGAGTTTGTATAAGCACCTCCATGATGGGTCTGGCAGAAGTTGCCTATCTTGGCGACAGAGATTCAACATAATTCTTGGGATGGCCAAGGGTCTGGCCTATTTGCACCGAATGAATGTTATTCACTATAATCTTAAATCAACTAATGTTCTGATAGATAGCTCTGGTGAGCCCAAGGTTGGAGATTTTGGCCTGGCAAGGCTGTTGCCGACATTAGACCGCTGCATCTTAAGCAGCAAAATTCAAAGTGCACTTGGTTACATGGCTCCTGAATTTGCTTGTAAGACCGTGAAAATAACAGAGAAATGTGACGTGTATGGCTTTGGTGTCCTGGTCTTAGAGGTGATAACAGGGAAGAAGCCAGTGGAATACATGGAGGATGATGTGGTGGTGCTGTGTGACATGGTCAGGGGTGTGCTCGAGGACGGTAAGGTGGAAGAATGTGTTGATGGGAGGCTTCGGAGTAACTTCCCAGCTGAGGAGGCAATTCCAGTTACAAAGCTTGGTTTAATATGTGCATCTCAAGTGCCATCAAATCGGCCAGACATGGAAGAAGTAGTAAACATTTTAGAGCTAATCCAATGCCCTTCTGATGGCCAGGATGAGCTGGAGTAAGCGATTAGAGATTGAGATCTTTGTGTTTCCCGGTGAAGAAGAATCCAGTTTGTTCTACAGAAAAAAAGATTTAAAACTGGTCATGAAATGCCCTCCGCCTCACTTTTCCCCCCAATTTTTTGTTCCTTAATGTTGTTTTTTCTTTGTGCCTTAATTTTTTTTTTACCCGTTCCTTTATGGTATTTTGTTACATACAAACAATTTCACTTACTGGATTCCTTTTCACCGGCTCCATATGGCACTTTGGATATTATTCAATATCAAAGATATTTCTGTTCAACCAGGGTCTCCACTGTTGCATTATCCTGTATTTGTTTCATTATGAATGAACTGTAGTTCTTGAAAGAATGAAGGAAAGCAAGGAAAAAATGCTGCCTGTAGGTAAGAAAAGGAAGAGGAAGTGAAATAAAGCAAAACAAAGCAAGCTGACAAGGTGGGAAATCAAAACCATAAAAAGTGAAAGCACAAGAATCGAATGGTATGATAGTAACACATGATGATGTTGAAGACAAGCACTCATTTGCTTTATTTACACTTTAATTTTTTTTAAAGCTTGAATTCAATCTTTTCTGCTTTTTCCTTTTTAGAATATTTGGCACCCTTGAGATACAACATGGTCAACAGCTTTTAGCGATCAAACCCAACACTCATGGTCACCCACTGATGCTCATTTTCTGCCCAAACAAACCCATTTCTTCCCTTTCAAAGTTGGTTACCAAAGTGTTTGGTTGTATCATAAGCATTTGATCCCCTGTTTTCACAATCTGGTCAATTATTAATTCTTCATTTTCAAGTTTTAATTTAATCCCTCAGGGAAGGGGCCTTGGTCATCATTGCATGGGGGTCCAGAGAAACATTTTTCTTTTGACTTTTTTTTTGAATGGTGGCAAGCAAGCAAGCATGGCATATTTATTTAGTGCATGAAAATCAAGAAATCATACCATTTCTGCCATGGGAGTCTCAAGGTTTTATTTTTTATTACAGTTACTCTTTTGAAAGAAATATTATACTAGAATTCTTTACCTAATTCATGCTGAAAAAATGTTTAAATTCTACAGCACAAATACCAGAGATAGAATCACATCAGCGGCAATCTAAGACTGAAGGTTTTAAAACTATTTTTAAATATCAACAGCAGTATGATTTGTTAATAAAATATTAAAATTTAATCCTTATAATTTAAAATACAGGAAAAAAATTTGTAAGTGATTAGGTTGCACCAGCTTCTGCCTGCTGCTAACTTGAATTCTAATGAGTATAATATATAGGAAGGAAGAGTAAACGGCACGTAGACAAATCATTACTATTATTATTATTATTATTATTATCTAAAACTTAAAAGAAAAGGCAAAGCTATATTAATGTATTCTTGAAATTTGTGAAATAATGTGTTCAAAAACAAGAAGAATATTATAACGGGTGTGTGAATGTGATTGTTCTTTGTTTGTGAGAGACAAAATGATAGACCCCCTGCGCGACTTTTACAAGGGATAATAACGATTTAAGTTAGATTAGATTTAATTTAATTTTTTAGATAATATATAATATTATAAATTTTTAAAATTTGATTTAAATTTAAATTTTTTTGAATCAATTCGATCAAAAATAAATTTTATCGATTTGATTTATTAATTTTCAAAATTTATTTTTTATTTATATATTATTTTAATAAAATTTTTAATATATTTAAATAAATTTATATATATAATAAATATTTTTATTTTATAAAAATTTAAAATATATATAAAATATAAAAAATATATAATTCGATTTAATTTATTTATTTTTTTTAATTTTAATTCAAAATTTAATTTAAATTTAATATATGTATTTAATATCTAAATTTAATCTAAATCCAATACAATAAATCAATTCAAATTGAGCAATTTCGAATAGATTTTCTTCTTTTTTTTTTTTTTTTCACTCCTAACTACCAAATCCTTCACAAAACGCAATATTTCTGCTTGCGGGGAACAATTTGATAAAAGAGAAATGGCAAAGGCGAGGCAGGGACACGGATACGTAGGAGATGCTTTTGAATAGTTGATCCACCATGAATGGCTGATCTTATTTTTGCAATCTAATCACAAAGTGCGTTGCAAATGCAAATTTGGAATTTCGACTGATCCAATGATTGATTCGACACCAATTTATGGGAGCTGCTAACAAAAAGGTGAACCGTACACACTAAACAAGCCTCTGGTTGGGGCGGCGCAGACTTACCTGAGATTCATGTTTCCACTTTGGTGTATCATAATCTAATACTAATATATCGTTAGCCATTGTTATCCAGTCAATTTGGATGAGGTTTCCAAAATGTAATCCTTCCTACAAAGTATAAATACATGAAATGGTTATTATTTTGTAACCCATTTCATGCCCTGGATTAAAAGAATTTATCACAAACTCCTCTACATGCAGGAAAAAAAAAAAAAGAGCAGAGCGACAAGAGAACATTAACTCAACAGAGAGTGGTTGGAACAAACAGCGCCATCACCCATGATAAAATGCAGAAAAACATATGTAGCTCCCTAGACAATACCTAGAGGCCCCTTTTGAGGACTTCCTATCACCATGATGACCACTAATGTTAGCAACTGTGTTGATGGACGAATTTACAGTTTCTATATCAAGTTGCCTGCTCGTCGTTCGACTTCGAGTGATTCACTTTCTTACCTTCATCTTTTCCGGTGAAAAACCTAATCATCCCAGTCATTCTCCCAGCCATCTCTGTTTGAAGACCTAGCAGTAAGACCATTTGCTGAGATATTCGCTGCATGGCGTCCCACTGGTGATTTCACTGCCTTGTCCTCATCCCAATCATCATCCCAACCCTGGTCCCAACCTTCAGCTGTTTCTACTTCAGCAGCTGCCATGGATTCTGGTAATCCCATTTCTAGCTCTTGGTAAGGTATACCATCATGCCGTCTCCTCTTCCGAAACATGCAACAAGCCCATGATCCTCCAAAAATTACAACGGTTACAATCAAGAAGTATGCACCATTTACTGGAGTCACCAACTTGTCATAAGAAGGAAGGTTTAAGAAAAAGTTTCCTTCAGAAACAAGAGGGTTCAGATGAAGCACACAATTTCCATTTCCAGCACTTAACACTAGCTCACTGCTTTTGACATCAGTCGAAGAGATATTAATCTGAAAACAAACAAGCAAATATACACATCAACTCTGGATACAAAAAGTACATGGAAACGAAGCATGAACACTTTTTGGGACATTGTTCAGAGTTGTATTCTTCAGTTCAACTATCTTCATCACTTATGAACTGAAGTTACAAAACACAATACCATTGAACCCTGTAAAGGCCTGTTAAGTGCTATTATCTAATATTAACTTCAGATTTGATGTGCATTTATATTCAGGTTTGGCCTCGCTTGTTGCCAATTGGCTTTAACTCTTAAGTAAAATGCTTAACAAGGTATCATACCAAAACTGTGTTTATCGCCTCATTTGTTAAAATTTTTGCTGATTTGCTCCTTATTAGTTGTTCACAAAAGAAGCCTGTTGGTTTCAGTTGTTAATATTGGGCCTCTAATTAAGGGTACCGTTAAGTATGTTAACCCATATCAATTGAGAAAGTTTTGTTGGTTAATTTAGGGGTTTTTTACTTCTGTATTTAGGTTGACCTCTGCTCTTATTACCAATTGGTCTTATGTAGGATGCTTAACAAAGTCCTTTCTAGCAAGTTTTTTAATCTTGTTATACAATCAATCAATCATGCAAGCTACACTAAGGGCCCCATCATAAACCAATAAACATATGAGGAATAACTTCTTATTTTTCCCTTTTTTTATTCACTTAGCTCAGCAATGATTTATTGGAAGTCCTAAAACTTAGGCAGATTAAAGATAACAATTTTGTCACGACAGTTTACTTTTTTGGGTATATTTTAATACGTCCAAGGGGAGTGAGGGAAACTGATATGCCAAGCCTAGGTTCTTCCTAACAAGAAATCAATTGATAAATTTCATGCCTAGTTTAACAGCTGAGTAGAATCAAGGAAACCTAGCTGAGATTTAGAACTTCTCCCTTTGTTTGGATGGCCACTGGCTAAAGCCCAACTTCAACTTTTATATTCTGAATCTTATTCCTACAAAAATAGGTCTCATAATGTCCCAATATTATGAGAAAAAAATGACTAAGCAGAAGAGAGATAAAAGACCATACCCTTTCAGTACCATGTTTTGGTACTTTAAGTCCCTTGCGAAATGATTCCACAGAAGGGCTAGCAAGATTGACTTTCAAAGTTTTTTCTCCACCATTGTGGACCAGAACAACCAGTTCTTTGGACCCTGGAAAGGAAAAAGGAATAAAATGAGTTACTCTCCCATCAGGAAATGTAAGAGATTAAGAAGTATGGATCACTAAAATACTATATGAATTCTTCATTGCCAACAATCAATATGAAAATAAAAATAAGCTCACTGCTTATCTCATCTTTTAGAATTAGAAAAGGAAACTGATTGGGTATCAAGCTTATTAAACAGACACTACATTATATAGTGCCTAAAATTTACACATATTTTAACTTAACATCTATACTAAGATCCATTTCTTAGCACTGGAGCAACAACATCGCATAACATAAAAATCCAGCCAGGATATTTTTATAGATATGAGAACATTTGTGTTCAAGAACTTGCTATCCCTTCTATCCACAAATGATTGTTCACTTAAAAATAACCCAACAATTAGGAAATTAATTTACAGGCATTTACAATGTGTTGCAATTTCTGCCAGCTTTTACCCTACAAAAGAAGTAGGATTTATTTCTCTTCATCCATAGTGGTAAAAAGGATACAAAAACATAAACTATTCCAAATTTGTCAACTAAGCACCTATCCTGTTATTGCCTTCAATTGAACCCCTAACTTATTTACAGACAATGACATGAAAAAACTAACAACACCAGCAGAAAATGTGTCAAAATTTTATAAAAGAAAAACATTGATGGAGGATAGAAAAATGCTTTGAGTTCAAGATAAAAAGATGAAGTACAGGTGGGAAAAAGAAAAAAAAAAACATGAAATTAAAAGAAATGGAGGGACCCTAGTGCTAGAACATCATTACCTAGTGGTGAATCAAGAGGAGGTAAAGGAAACTAGGGCAGTTGAGGACAAAAAGGTGATGAAGGGAGGTGATGGAGTGAAGTGGTGGGAGAGAAAGTGGTAAAGTGAACAAGTTTCAGAAAAATTCAGCAGAAAAGGGAAATTAAATGGAAACAGAAACAGGAAGAAGTTTTTACAATTTTTATATGCAGACACACAAATAGATAGATAGATAGGTTGATAAAGATTATAATTTAATTATAACTTAGCTAAAAAAAGCTTATGCTAATTGTACTTTTAATTATAATGAAGCTGCATACATATGAACTTGTCAATTGTATCTTTCAAAATACATTTTCAATAAGGATATTGATGGAAATTAACCCTAGAGCCACATTATTTATATTGTTAACCAAATATATCAACATTACATTCCTAGCAATTTAATCTACAACTATGTTACATGGACTCCGGTAAGGGTATCTGATAAGAGAATGTACCTGAGTGTTGGACTCTCTTTTGTCAAAAATTTTGGACTCACAAAGTAGGCTAAAAAGTATTCTAAAATAGGATATGGTAAGGGGATACGTATTCTAAACCAAACTCATTTAATTCAATAGCTCACAAAAATGCTTTCATTTTCGGAATTATTGTCTTATGGAATTAAATAAAACTAAATTTGGACTTTTATAATCTAGTTGGATTTTTTTTTGACACATATTCACGGTAATGAGGTTTATATTCTAATTGAATTTGTTTTTCTTTTTCTTTTCTAAAAGAAAAGCTAATTAAAGAGCCACAAAAGCCTAAACCCATCATGCGGACTTGTCTAGAATCTTCTTCTCATTTTACTCTCTTTTCCCTCTTCTATCTTTATCAAAGTGCACCAAAATCTTTCTCTATTTGAAACCAATGGAGGAAGGCAGAAAGCAGGTGGTCATGTAAGACAAAAATTAGTTCACCTCGAAGCTAATTTCAAGTTCCAGCCCTTTGTCTTCCATTTAATCTCTATAAAAATTCTATTTTCCTCTTAGCTTTCTCCTTTTCTTGATCCTCTTTATAATTTCCCAGACCAGAATAGTCCCTCAATTCCTCTTCTACCTCATTTTTTTTGGTCAATTTGTGGATTGGGCTTTGTCAATTTGGTGTCCAGATAGCTCACACCCATTGCTATCTCCGCTGATCACTCCCTTCGATTAGTGCTTGATTTGGTTCAATTTCTTCATTGCCAAGTCAAAATTACCAGCGCCAATTCTGCAGCCAAATCCATGTCATGTTGTGCCAACATTGGTTTAGTGATCTAATATGGAGAGTCCATGTAACAGAGATCTATACATTCACATGATTACTAAAACCATTAACCTTATATTCCCAAGAATTTAATCAGCTGCAATCACACGCCTCGCAATCAGATTCCCATTATTATCTATATTTCCTAATCAGGCACCAAACAACTCCTAAAAGGATATTACAACCCATAAAACTGTTCATGGTAATGAACTTCTTCATTCGACCTAAAACTTGCATCATAAAGAAGAATTAACTTTCCCACTATTTTTTATCTTAGTTAAGTATAAATTTTAGCCTCAAATCCCTTCAGCTGTTCCTATCTTATATATCACTGCGCTTTCACAAATGAATGAAAATATCACAGCATATAGATAATCTCTCATAGTAGAACATCATACTGAAAAAATTAAAATAGAGAAGTACCTTACAGCAACAACTTCAAAGCAACACAGAAGGAAAGTTATTTACTCTTGACATCCATGCTTTATAGAAGATATTGTCATCCTTGTTGCTAGCTACTTCTATTTTAAATCCAGGACAAAAAGAACAGATAGAAATATCTCAATACTGAGCTCCTATCTCCTAGCTAGAAGGCCTATTCAGACTTTGTTGCATAGGGTAAAGTGCAGACAGCCTTACTAACAGAACATGGGTTTTCTTTTTTCTTCTCTATTTGTTTGTTCTTTAGCCTTTGTATTAGTAGTTGATTTCCAACATTTTAAATAATTAATTCAGTTGTAATTCTATGTATGTTCCAGCAGTTGACAACTTACTCATTAAGCATTTAACCAACTGAGCACAACAAAATTCCCAACCTAAAGGATCAACCTAAATATAAGGCTACAACAAAATCCCAAAGTTGATAGACATGGTATAGCACCACTTTAGTATCAGATTTAATAATTTGTATATGGAGGGCCTAGATATATGCAAATTTAATAATTTGCGCATGGATTCTTCATAACCCTTTTTCCAAACATTTCCAAATATGCAACAAGCCTGGGCATATTTATGCTCCAATTGACAGAACCAAGAGCAAATATAATCGATAACATATTTCAGTGCACATAATTACTCTACAATGCAGCTAAGGCATACTCTTAAGTAACAAATATAAGCACGCATTTCTCTAATAAAGGCAACAGCACAAATCATTAGTTCATTTAAAGTTCCATTTAAGCATTAAAGAACTTAAAGAGCAATATGGAATTACCAGTTCCAAAACCCTTAATGCAGGCAATCAAGGAGTTCCCGTCTGTGCATTTGTTAGCTACACCATCACACGTTTCGGTCCCTAAATTGGAGTCACTTTCATCCCCATTTGTCTTCTTCTTCTTCTTATTCTGATCCTCCTTTGCATCAGCTCCCTTCTCAGTACTATTGGGATCCTTTCCACTATCTATTTTCTTTTTCTTCTCCTTATTATCCTCCATTGGTTTATCATTTGTCGAATTTGAAGTTGAACTTGAATTATTTCCATTACCTATTTCCTTTTCAGGAGACGGATTCACCTTCTCCGGTTTATCCGATGGTTTTGGATCCTTCTTGTCATCTGGAGGTGGAATCACAGAATCAGTTTTATTTGACGAATTCGGATCCAATTTCGATGAGCCATCCGGTTTAGGATCCGATTTGTTGACGTCCGAAACCGATAAAGGAATTGGTGACGGAGAACTCTAAAATCCCAACAATAAATAATTTTTGTTAATAAAAACAAAAATGAATATAGTAAATAAATAATAAATGATAGAGATAGATAGGTAGAAGGAAAGAGAAATTTACGGGCGGCGTTGCGGCGGCGGTGTTGTTCTTTGTAGGAGATTCATCGGCCAAGTATCGAAGCTTCCAAAACGACGACAAAGCATTGGAAACATCGGCGACGATTAGAAACAGTAAAATCGCCGTCGTAATTGCATTTCTATCCATCGCCGTCTAAAAAAATTATTATTATTGTTTTTTTGTTTCTTTCGAAGATTAAGATCTGGAAATTGAAAATTGTCTTTGAGCAGCTCCGTTGAATAAAAAAATTTCCAAGCAAAATCAGAAACCGACTAAAGTAACTAACTAAGAAATAACTCGGAAATCAAAACGGAAGAAATTCTACAAAATTCAGCTGAGGCTTATGTTTCACGCAATTCGCCTAAAAAAAAAAAGAAGGGAGACGCCGAAGATGATGAGGAATAATAATATTGGAATTTTGGGAGATTTTTAAATTTTAATTGTTCGATGAAAATTGAATTTCTGATTGGTCAACTCAACGAGTACACAACTTAGGCTCACTCGCTCACTGAATCACTCACATATTAGTACTAAATAAATGGTATAAGTCTACGCTGTATATCTATACGGCATTAGTATACGTATAATTTACTTGAACTACTTAGATTTCTTAATGACAACAATTTTACCCATAAAATTAAAAGTTAATATCATTTAATAAATTTATTTATTTACCTAATTATATCATAGTAAATATGTAGAAATCAGTTAATTTTATTTATGAAATTTAAAAATTATAATTACGATATGTAAAATAATTTATCTTAACATTAAACTAACAGAATATAGAGTAATTAATTTTTTTAAAAATTTAGAATCTGATTATAATTTAAATATCAAATGAGTAATTAATTTTTTAAAAATATTTTTTCGTATTGAAAAAAAGTATATTAAACTGCAAGGATAAATTGTTGTGGTTTTTTTTCTTTTTTATGGCACCCAACCAAATAGGAAAAATACTATAAACACTATCTAATATACTCGTTTCGTACACTCATCTAATATTTTGTTTTAAAAATGCTATTATAACTGATAAAGATTTTGGAAATTTTCACTTAAGTCCCTAGAATAAGATAATAACAGATAAATACAATATTTGAGTTCAATATTTTAATGCGTATAACATTGGCCTTAAAATATTGTTTAATTAACCTTTTTTTTTTTTTTTGGATAATTGGGAGTTTTATTTTAAAAACAATAACAGATACTGCTACGCAATCAAACAATAGAGGAAACCAAAAAAAAAATATAAGTAATGATGTTGGTCATAGTTATTTAATTTTAGAAATCTTTATAATTCGGTTTTAATTAAATTAATTAAATAATTAATGAAAATTATTATAAAAATTTTAATTTTTGGTTAATTTAATTTTAAAATCGAATTAATTAAAAATTTAATAAAAATATAACAAAATTTAAATATAAAATTGTTAGCTTTTTAAGCGAAATAGTGATCTAAGAATGGTGAATTTGATCTCTTTAATTCTTTTCCAAAAGAAATTAAAATTAATATCTACATATGATACAGATAATAATAAATTGATGAACTATAAGCAAATATAAATTATAATCAAAATAAAAAAAAAGAATAAAAAAATTAAACACAAAAATTTATAAAAAATTCGATCATTCTCTACAAAGTATCTATACACTATTTTTGATTGTCTATACCAAAACTTGAATACACTATTTTTTAATTAAAAATATAATTCTATATTTTTTCTCTAAGACTTAAGATAGAAATTTTATACTCTCTACTTTTTAGGCTGAGTAAAAACTTCTTAATCACACAAATTCAAAAAGATACCTCACTTCTTATTACAAAATCATTTAATAAAAATGTAAACTTAAAACACATCCTAAAAACTAAGTGTTTGTCTAATAAAGTATAAAGAAAATTTGATAAATGAACAATAATAATAATTTGGATATAACAAATACAAAGATGTAGACTTTTAAGCTCTAACAACTCTTGATTTTTTAAGAGAATAAAAATATAGTTTGTTGACTCTTGCTCTTTTGGTTCATCAACCTTCTTAGTGTTTTGGAATGTCCAATTTATAGAAAAATTAAAGAACTAGCCGTTGAGAATGGTTTGAAAGAAGAAATATCCATTGGAAGCTTTAAAAAAATTAATTATTATGCACAATCTAAGCAGACCCGATCGATCCTCTACCCAGGTGATCGATCTTTATAGGGAGGGGATCGATTCGATCAAGCTAGGTGGTAGTATTTTGTTTTACATTTCACTTACTAATTTAATCATATCTTGAGTTATATAAATTTAAATAAAAAATTATTTGTAGATTTAGAAACTAGACTTAAAGGTTTTTTATTCATATAAAATTTATCACTTAATTCATTATATACGAATTATAGTGAATTTTCAAAACTATCCCTTATATAAGTTTTAGATAAATATGGAGTGTCTAATAAAAATTCAAAATTTTTTTTAAAAAAATTTGGATTTTAATTTTGTTTAATCGATTAGAAAAGTAAACTTAAAGAGCTTTCTAACTATATAAATTTCAAATATTAAAATTTTGTGAATTAATACAGAAAAAATAAAAACAAGTTCGATGTTAAAAAACTTTGTTTTTGTAAAACAACTTTATTAAATTAATCTATTTATCAAAACCAATATTATTAAAATTGTATTAAGTCAAAAATGAATATGTTTACTTTAAAAACAATAATTGTATTTTCATTTAAGCTCAAATAAATAATTTTTAAAAATAGATTTAGTTTGAGAAATATAAAAATAAAAAAAGTTTGTTTATACTTAAAAAATTATATTATTTATTTAATATTAAAATATAAAACTTAAGAACATGTATTAAATAATTTTTTTAAAATCTTGATCAAATTTATTTAGCTTAATATTTTATCATTTCAAAATAAAAATCAAGTCGGGGCTAACAAAAATAAAAAATATATGAGATGAATTATTTTATTTCATAAACTATTAAAAATTTTAACATAATATTGATATTTAAATATTTTGTTAAATAATTTTATTTAATTTATTTAAAATAAAAAAATTAAAAATTAAAAAATATAATTTTAATTTAAATATATTTATTATTCAATTAATTAAAAAATTTAATTGAATTGATCAAATTAAATTTAATCGATTAATTTTTAAAATTAATAAATTTAATTTGGTTAACAAAAATAATATAATATAATTCGATTAATTTAATTTTTGATAATTGGATTTGAAATTTATCAAACTGACTTAGCGAATGCTCATACTTAATATAAACGAAGATCGTTGTAAATATATATTTTTTATACATTTGAAACAAGAAAAAATCGATTTTTTTTTTTTTACAATACGAAGTAGTTGTATATATTATACCCACTTTTGTGTTAAACAAGGCTCTTTGGAACAAAACATGATTTCTTTGTTGCAAGGAAGAATAAAGCGAGACATTTTTACAGTTCCAGCTTGGCTGAAGAATGCTTTAGGACAAGACCCATAGCTGCTGAAGAATGCTCCACTAGTAAAGCAGAAATTCCAGCTACAGTGAATAGCAATCAAATGGAAGTAAAGTGAATAATATTTTTATATTAAATACAGTAATTAATAGTTATGAAAATAAGAAATTCAATTCAAGCCACATAGAGAAACCAATAAATTTGTACATTTGACGCTTTGCTACTTTTCCTTGACAATTGAGTTTCTTTTCCTCCAATAACAAGCCAAATCGTTAGCTTGGCTACCCAAAACTCAGCTTTCCCTGAGCCTGAGCCACACCCAAAAGCAAAGTTAAAGAAAAGAGCATAGATTCCTTCACATGTATAAAAAATATCAGCCTAGAAATGTTATGATTATGACTGTTGAGAAGCTAAAGAGAATGGGTTTTGCAAGTGAAAACAAAAGCATGGACGAAGTATCAGTTGTTCTGAGAAGGTTTGGGGACGAGCAGAGCGCGCTGCTGGACCAATTTGAGAGGCTCTCCTTTGAGGTCCAGCTGAACCAAGCCATTTTGGGTAGGAGCCTATCGGAGCCAAGTCTGACTAAAAGGTCGCACTTCCAAGCTCCACCGCCAGCGGTGCAGCCACAGGGGCGTAAAGGGCGTCGTGGGTCTGGTTTCAACAGGGTCCTGAAGAAGTTGCTCAAACCAATTCTTGGCAGGAAAGGAAATGCTGGAAAAAAGCCAGTGGCTGATCCCAAAAATCCCATGTCTTGGAAAGCTTTCAGCAGATCTCTACGTTTCTGATGAAATAAACGTTATGTATTCGTTTTTCCATCCATGATATAGTGATTTTTCTTTTGTTATTGTTTTTGGCAAATGGTAACCAATCATTTTACGTGTTCATGAAGCAGATGCTGTAACTAATAGCTAAGAAATCATATATGACAAAGGATCAGGTCTAATCCGGTCCCACTTCGCAGATATTTTGTCTTTTTTTTTTTCTTTAAAAATGGAAAAATAGTGGCTAATTGAGAAGGAATATAAACTGTCTGGTCCAACTGCTTATCAGAACCAAAACGTGGCGTTTTCTTAGAGTGCTTTGTCTCTGGATAAACAGCTTTTCCCCGCCTACTCGGCTTCCTGCCACTAAGTTCAAAACTAAGCTGATTTTCTCCTCCATCTCTCCCTCTTTTTCTTTGTGATTATGTTTGTCATGTCTTCTCCACGTAAAGCTGAATCTCTTGTATTTGGCAATCCATCCATAATCCACAATCCCGAAAGAATACATCACAAGAAAGTCCAGCTTGCATTGATATCAGTGTCTTCCAAAAATGCTAGCCTCATTTCCTCAGGCAGAAGCTCCATAGACTTGGTTAAAAGAAGGAAGCTAGAAAGTTTGCATTCTGACGAGAGAACTGGTAGGATTCGGCTTGTAAATCTCCTGGATAAAATTAAGGCAATACCCTTTAAAGACACGAGTAAAATTCTCAGCATCATGGAGAAAGAAGCTGACACTTTGACCTTGTCCGATTTCAATGGTCTGCTAATGGCATTGGTTACAGCAAATGAACCTGATTTAGCTTTGGCACTCTACTCCAATGTAGCATCATCTGGTTTAGCTTTAGCACCAAATTGTTGGACATTTTCCATAATGATTAGGTGCTGCTGCAAGAAAAACGACCTTGATGAGGCTCAAAGGGTTTTACACCACATGATGGAAAATGGGTATAGTCCAAATGTGATAACATTTACAGTTCTCATAAATTCATTGTGCAAAAGAGGCAAATTGGAGAACGCTTTTGAAGTTTTTGAAGTGATGGGTAGAATTGGGTGCAAACCAACGGTCCAAACATACAATTGCTTGTTAAAGGGATTGTGTTATGTAGGGAGAGTGGAGCAGGCTCACGAAATGTTGATGAATATGAAGAAAGAATCGATAAGACCTGACATCTATTCATACACAGCAGTAATGGATGGTTTTTGTAAAGTGGGTAGAGCAGATGAGGCAATGGAATTGCTCAACCAGGCTCTGGAGATGGGGTTAGCACCAAATGTGGTCACTTTTAACACTCTGTTCACTGGGTATAATAAAGAAGGGAGGCCACACCAGGGTTTTAGAGTGTTAAAGCTTATGAAGGAGAAAAATTGCATGCCTGATAGCATTAGCTACAGCACCTTGTTGAGTGGGCTGTTGAAATGGGGAAAGATAAGGGCAGCGCTTGGGGTGTACAAGAAAATGGTGGGTATTGGTTTTGAAGTGGATGGAAGGATGATGAGCACTTTGCTTAGAGGTATATGCATGAAATCATGGAAAGAAAAAGACCTGATTGAAGATGCCTATCAATTGTTCGAGAAAATGACGAGTGGGGTTTCTGTCATTGACCAGAGTACCTATGGCTTTGTGATTCGAACTCTTTGTATGGGAAAGAAAATGGAGGAGGCTCTGGCTCATTTGCAGGAGATGATTAGAACAGGGAACGTTCCTAGGACGATAACCTTCAACAATGTAATTCAAACGCTTTGCATGGAGGGCAAGATTCGTGAGGCATTGATAGTCTTGGTGATCATGTATGAAAATGGTAAAATCCCAAGTAGAACATCCTATGACATTTTGGTTAAGGAGTTCAATCAACGGGGCCAGTTGTTGGGTGCTCGTAATGTCTACGGTGCGGCTTTGAAGCATGGTGTAGTCCCACATAGGGTACCACTACGATGAATGGATGATGGCAAAATTGTTCAACAAACTTATGCCAATAATTAGAATTCTCCAAGTCAAAAGTTATGAAAGGTTCATATATTGCCCAGTTCTTGTATCCACCAATATTTGATCACCTATGTTAATGAATAGAGGAACATTAACATTGGCGCCTGTGTCAACGGTTGCAGCTTTGGATCCACCTGTATCAAAATTTATTTCTCATAGTGATTAGACCAAAGAATACCAAAAGAGATATGTTGCAACTTGGAACAAAATCAAAATGAAAGAATCAAAAAGTGCGGCAAAGACAAAGGCTGTCACAAAATAGATGCATGGTCGTGATTCTTGAGAACATAATACAGCGTAGTCTTTTCATGTTTTTGGTTTCAAAAAATTAAAGGAGAAAAAGAGGAGTCATATTCAGGAAACAATTTATAGTCAGCTTTATAGCATATTAGAGCTCTTCAAGTGAACATATCTAAATTACTTTCAATTCAAGACGCTGCATTATGGCTTTACTCACCCTTTGCATCTTGCAAAGTTATGGATAGTTGCAGGTTTACAATTTAGAACAATTACATAATGGATTAGGAGTTGGGACCTTGAAGAGAAACTATATTACGTTACCTGAAGCTGTATCACCTTTGAGGCCAGGATCAACATCAACAGCAGCAAGCTGAACTGTGATGGGGAGTTCGAAACCAATAACCTACAAGAAAGTGCAGACAGATAAGCATCATCAATTGTATTGTAACAGCAGTAACAAGCAGCTACTAATATGGTAATAATGCAAACCTTTACTATTAATTATTGGAAACCATAACCTGCACATATACAGGCATATGAAGCTGATAAGACTGATGGCTACAAGAACACTGCTTAGCATATAACAGATGGAATTATCTTTGTAAGTGATATCGGGCACCCTCTTGACCACAGATTTCAAACAAGAGCACACATCTATGCATATCAAAAACTTCAAAATTCAAATAATGAACAGGAGATGCATGAACTAAAGAAATTATGAAGTACCTTTCCATTCCAGAAGAGCAAATTGCCGTCTATTCCCTCCTTCAACCACTGTCTTGTCCCCAACATCTGCCTCATTTAGACGGCTTTCCTCCTATGTTTTCTGTGAGAAGTTAAAACATCATTATAAGACTGACATGGGAAAGAAATAAGACAAGCATTTCAATACTATTGTTAAAGAGAAAAGACTAGATAGACTTAGTTATTGAATCTTTCTAGTAGTATGAGCATGACCCAATTCCTTTGCAAGTATCAAAGAAAGAATAGTTAACTAGCGATCATGCAGAAGATAACTAGTGATCATGCGAGAACAAATGTGTCCGAAAATGCTTCTTTTTCGGGTAGTTTTTTTTCCTTGAGTTGAAATTTTAGATGGTCATGTTTGTGGAAACAGCATCTAATTTAAAAGATATTACCCATTTTTAATCCGAAAGTCTAATAGTTTTATTTCACAAAAAATATTTTAAGTGTGGATTTAATATTTTACTTATATATTATAACAAATCATCAGAATCTTTGGATATGAAATTGAGGTATCATAAATTTTTCTCGTTAAATTTTAACGTTCATATTAAATCTAATACAAAATATAGATAAAATTATAGAATCGTATACACAAATTACAGAATTGTACACATAGAACAACAAAATAATTCAACACAAAGCACAAACAAAATCACATAATTGCACTTATAAAATCATAAAATTAAAATAAAATCAAACATTAAAATTTTAGAATTAAACTTTTATCATATAACACTTTAACTCTCAACAAATTCTAGATGTTGCTTTCACTACCAGCCTTTAATTTCTGTTGGACTGGTAATTGTTTTGAAGTGGAGAGCATTGCTTAGATAAGAAGAAGGCAAGTGTGAATGGATTGGGCTTTTTCCCAAATAATGTTTGGCCATCAAAACCAACCTCTTTTTTCTTGCCGCCTAAACATGTTTACAGTGGCCCTTGGACAACATTATAAGTGAATCAATCAAGGCATGCTGCTGACATTTCCATCGGTTGCTTTAACAAGTTTTTTCTTAATTAATGAAAAAGTTAAAGAATAAACGAAACTCGTGTTTTGTATAATATCTAGTTAGTGACCTAAGCCATGCGTGTTATTATTATTGTATTTTTTTAGGATTTTAAAAGAATACGTGACAACCGTGGTGAAACATTTTAATTATTAATTATATATAATTAAACTAAATCATAGAAAAATGTATATAAATATGTATAATGAATTTTAATAATTATAGTGAGATTAAAATCATAGTTTCATTTAAAAAAAAAAAAAAAAGGAAAGAAAAACGTGGCGGTCATCACTTTCACTTGTCATCGTCGTTATTCGTTAGCCGGACATTCCTTTAAACTCCTGGTTTAAGTTTAAACCTTTGGTTTTGTCCGAGAAACGAACTGGTTTCCTGTTCCATGCTCACCCTACGCGCACCTATAGGCGTGGAGTTACTCCGCGAGCACGACTGTTTGAATTCATTAGCGCGTGGGTTGGCGTTTCTCTTTCAGAGCGGTAGGTAAACGGGTATCCAGGTCACCAACTTTAGCGCATTATTAATATGACGTCATAAATAAACGTGAAAAAAAATCAATGGTGTAATGATCGTTGACAGTTGACACATGTGCAACGCAGAATTCCGTTGGACGGCGTGGAGATTCGAAAGACCAATTTGTCCAAAGAAAAATACGTGGGTAATTGTTATAAAGAGAAACATTCCGGGGTAATTTAGGAAATTCGCGTCTGATACTTATTACATGCGAGATATGCGTTAGGACTGAAAAGCGCCTAGTGGCGCACTTTACGGTGGTGTCCACACGCCGTATTTTTATACGCTACAACTTGTAGTTTTATTAAATACTAAAAAGTTTTTCATCACGCGCTAGTGTTTAAGTAAATACTACTAGTGGTTTTTTAACCAAACATGCCGATTCAGTGGGCCCCGCATCTGATCGAGCGCTTTCCATTGGCGATTATCTGAACAACACGCATGGAGCGAGTGGAGAAAATACTTATTTGTTATGTGAATGTAAATTTTTGACACAACGAAAATCTTTTAAATAGTACTATTACGGAAAGTAATTGATTTATTTTATATAAAAAATTGATTGAAAATTAATGATCTTTTCATCTCATCATTTTTTGTTTTTTTTTTTTAAAGAAATTTTTATGCATAAAATTTTTTTTTTTTTTCATACCGAAAACCTCTTTATATTTTAAAATTATATTTTTTTTTCATGATTTTCATTTTTAATATATAAATTTATGCAATATCAATTTTATAAAAAATTTAAAATTAAATATACTAAGGGCAATTTTTTGCTCAAATTCCACAAATATCAAAGATATAAAAACATTTTTTTTTTGTTATGTATGATTTTCTAGATAAAATAAAAAGTTTATTTTCAACTCTAGCAATTGCCTACTTCAAAATACAATTAAAATCAAAATTATTTTTTAAAAAGAATAAATTAAGGGTAAATATTAAACAAATTCTTTAATTACTCATTAATTTTCCTAATCCTTTTATGTAAACCTAAACATTAAGATATAAATGTGTATTATTAGATCTTGTTTTTATATCATCTAAGCTGGTCTAACCACTCTTGCAAATAAAAAATAGATTTCTTATTAATATTTTTTAATAAAAAATTTCAAAATCTAAAAACTATTGCGTGTGGAACTTAATGTTGCATTTAGAAACTTTAATTTGAAAAAAAAAGATTTAGATTCAAAATTAAAAAAAAAGGGTGATAGAACTCTTAAAACTTAACTTTTTTTTATTATTTTAAAATTCATAGATTGATAAATCACTATTTAACTATGAATTTGAAATATTTTAATCATTTAAAAATTAAGTTCATGTACTGTCATCCTTTTAAATATATAAGGAAATTGAATCTTAATTAAAGATAAGATAATGTTGTATTTATTTCTCATAATTTATATAACAAAATGGGTTCAAATCCCTTCTCTCAAATTATTATTATTATTTATTATGTTTTTTATAGACTCATTCTCCCAAATTCATGCTATGGATTTTTTTTTCATTTTAAAATTAGATAAAAAAATTTCATTCACATAAAAAATTAACAAAAATAAAATGTATTTGCATAATGCAACTTATAAATTTTAAATAATAATAATAATAGTGTTTGAAAAATAGTCAGCTTTTGATATTCAACAATATAAAATAAAATCCTTCAAAATTTTAATGAATAAAAAAATAAAATAAAAGGGAGAAAATTAGAAAAAGAGGGGTTCGCTGAGACTTGAAGTATCATCGACATCGTGCATGCAATTTTATTTTTCCCAAGGACCAAACTCTTTCTCTCTCTTCTCCCTTTGGTTTTCTTTTCTTCTCTCTCTGTTTGCTTTGCTTTGCTTTGCATGCACATGATTTGTTCGCTCTCTCTCACCATCGCCGATTCAACTCTTCCCTCATCGGAACTCACCGTTTGGTCCCTCTTTCTTTGTCGATTCTCTCCGATAAGTTCTTTTCAAACGCCGTCAGCTCAAAGTCTTAAATAGTTCAAAAAAAATCAACATGTTTTCCTTTGGCTGTGATATTCAACGTCGGTGAAACGGAAGCTTTTTCATCTTCTTCGAAAGGTTTGTTTTTTCCTTTGGTTTTGTTCTCTTTTTAAATTGATTTGTCTCTCTTTGTTTGACTGAATTTGAATCTGTTCTATTTTGCTCTTAGCTGGCTGCTTGATTTTTATCTTTTTTTGGGGGGATTTTCACTGGTTTTAATTTTTTTGTATCTTAAAAACTTTTGTAGGAATTAAGGTTGGAGCATGGCGTCAAAGAATTGCATGAATGGACTGTGCGGCGCGTCCACGTCGATTGAGTGGAGAAAAGGCTGGACTTTGCGATCTGGAGATTTTGCTAATCTCTGCGATAAGTGCGGGTAAATTGTAAAATTATAATCACTTAATCCCTTTTTTTAAGCATAATTATTAGCTAAGCTTGAGTTCATGAGTCTTAGACAGCACAATTGAATATCTATTAATTTATTTTGTGAAATTTTAAAATGTTTTGTACTGATTAATGAGGTTTTGTAATAAACTGTTGTATAGTGAATTGGTGTATAATTTACTTGAATTGGAAGATAAAGAGTAACGGAACATTTATTGAAACTATTGGATTTTTATACTTATATCACATTAGCTGAAAATTTGATTAAGTTTGGAATCATAAAAAGTAGCTAAATACAGAGGAAGAATCCAAACAAGGCGGAGTTTTTGCCCAGCTGATCCCATCAAATGAACGCCATTCTTAAAAACAATTCATTTATGCTTTATATTTGGTGTAGGTCTGCATATGAGCAATCGATATTCTGTGATGTGTTCCACTCAAAGGATTCTGGGTGGAGGGAATGCAGTTCATGTGCCAAGGTGCGTGACCCCAAGTATTTAGTTTCGTGCCTTGTCCTTGTCAATATTCTCATCAGTTCCTATACTAATACTATGGTACGTAAACTCAATGCCTTTGGTGTTGGCAGCGTCTTCATTGTGGATGTATTGCTTCAAGGAGCTTGCTTGAGCTTCTTGATAGTGGGGGCATCAACTGTGCAAGCTGTGCTAAAACGTCAGGATTTAACCCTGTAAGATCAACTTATTCGACCTTTACCATTTTCAAAAGATGTATAAATTATAATCCTGCTCAAATTATGGTTTTATCGTATGATAGTCTCATGCCAAATTCACAATAAAAATGATGCTTTAGGGTCTACGATAAAGAGAACCACCCTTTGATGGGGTATGATGATGCCTCTGAAATAATTTAATTTTCCCGTCTCAAATTGACTTAGTTGTTATCCCAACCAAGTAACGCAACCTTCTTTAGTTTGCAACATTTTAAGGGATTTGATCCTTTCTTTTTTTTTTTTTTTAAAAAAAAAGGTGGCTCCATATGTATTGTAATTTACTACCCTAGTTTTCTGTTCAAACTCTAAAAAAAAGGCTTTGTGTTGTTTTCATAGCACATTAATGTAGAATGACGTTCACACTGAAAAACCTTGGCATTTAATGATTCCAAATCTGACTAGCCTTTGCCTGGTTATACTATGGCCTGGGATCTGTGTACTTCTCTGTTGTGGGGGTAACTGAGGATAATTGTTTATAAAATGAGTGATATGTAAGGGAAAATGGATGTTATTTGTCAAAATATTGGCTTTTTCTGTTTGATATCTTTGGTATAGTAGTTCTATGATTCGATCTATTTCTGTTTTTCATAGCATTGGCACTTTCTTGCACATGTTGGATTACTGTTAGCTGATGCTTGAACTTTTAGGCCTTTATATGTGAAAGTTAAAATATTTATGATGCTTTTAAAACATATTTTTACAGATGATTGAAGATGAAAAACCTAATGGATTTGGGTTAGTAAAGGGTGATGCCGGTCAATTGCACTCAATCTCCACAGACAATCAGTTGAGTGGTGTCAACATACAAAACCTAAAGCTTATGCAGTTGAGCAACAATGCAGAAGGCATTGGGCTGAGACAATTGCTTCAGCTTCAAAATGATAACTCCGGTGGGTCTTTGGGGCAAATGAAACAGGAGGAAATTTTGCCTCCTGCAAGAGAAATTGGAAGCACATGCTTGTCAAATATTAATCAATCATCTAATGGATCTGTTCATGCTGTGAAACCTACCATTTGTAAAGCTAATATCTTTGAGTCACTGCCACAAACAAACTTGAGTATTTCTTTGGGTGGTTCATTAGGGAACCAAGATGTCTTTCCTGCTTCAGTTGTAGATGAAAAGGGTAAGATGTCTTCAGTCTTGCAACAGTCATCTAAATCTCGCCATCTTCTGCCCAAGCCTCCAAAGTCAGTCCTTGCAGCAGGTTTGGAGGTGAATGCAAGCATGGTACCCCAGATACGTGTTGCTAGGCCCCCTGCAGAGGGACGTGGACGGAATCAACTGCTTCCTCGTTATTGGCCCAGGATAACAGACCAAGAATTACAGCAAATTTCTGGAGAGTATCCACCATTATGTCATTATTGGTTTTAATTAATTGTTATGTGCACAAGCATGCATTAACTTTCTAGACTACAAAAATTTTCATGTCTATCTATTGACTGGGGTAATAAAATCCTTAACCATGTAATTCTCCAGCTCCAATTCCACTATTGTTCCACTGTTTGAAAAGGTTCTGAGCGCAAGTGACGCTGGACGGATTGGTCGTTTAGTTCTGCCAAAAGCTTGTGCCGAAGTTAGTTCCATCCTACACTTGCAACTGATATTTGATTTACACTCTGTTCAGAAGCCTTGTTGCATATTAGTTAAAAATAATGGATGAATTTGCAGGAATTTTTTCCCCCCATATCTCAACCAGAGGGCCTTCCTCTGAGAATCCAAGACGTGAAGGGAAAAGAATGGGTGTTTCAGTTCAGATTCTGGCCAAATAACAACAGCAGGATGTATGTTTTGGAGGGTGTGACTCCTTGCATACAGTCTATGCAGTTGCAAGCTGGAGATACTGGTATGATCCTGAACCTGGTTACGGAACACTTCAAATTTTTTTTTTTTGTTGTTAGCTCTCATTGAGTAACATCACTTACTGAGCAGTGGTTCTCTTATACAGTAACATTTAGCCGTATGGATCCAGAAGGGAAGCTTGTTATGGGGTTCCGTAAAGCAACAAACACTGCTACTGTGCAGGTAAAGTAACAGTCACTTTCATTGTTAGCAAACTTGATCACATTATTTATTTATAAATTATCAAATAAACAGGAAACCCTACCATCTGCCATTCCTAATGGCACTCTTTCAAGTGCAAGTTTCTTTTCGGGTGCTTTTGAGAACCTGCCCATAATTAGTGGTTACTCTGGCCTTCTTCAGTCACTGAAGGGAAGCACTGATCCTCACCTGAATGCACTGTCCAAACATTTAAGTTCAGCTAGTGGTGATATTAGCTGGCATAAATCTGATAAGCATGAGGATAGGACAAGGGAGGGCTTATTACTACAATCTATGATAGCTCCAGAGAGAAAAAGAACTCGGAACATTGGATCCAAAAGCAAGAGGTTGCTGATTGACAGCCAAGATGCTTTGGAGCTGAAACTTACTTGGGAAGAGGCACAGGATTTGCTCCGCCCACCCCCAAGTATCAAGCCAAGTGTTGTCACGATTGAGGATCATGATTTTGAAGAATATGAAGTGAGTACATTTATTGGAATATTTGGGTATAGCAATGCTTATATTGGGTGTTTTGCTGCACTTAGCTCTTCCCATCTATTTGACTTTTCACCTCTGATGAATGTTCAGTTACCAGTTCTCTTTTTTGATTCCAATCTATTGGATGCATAGAAAATACTCTTTGTATTGATAAATCAGAAGAAAAACTGGGATCCATTTTGCTGTAGGAAAGACAGTTGCCAATTCTATTGTTAGAGTTAGTTAATGTTTAAAGAAATACGGATATTGTCATCTTGTTTTGGGGTTGGGGGGTGGAGAGGCACTCATTAATGTGCCATTTAGTGATCTTTTTAATCTCACTATGTGATGTACATAGGATGGGCAAGTATTTATGCAGGCACATATTTATGGAGACAATGTTTCTCCTGGAAGAATTATAACATCTAAATAGTAAATTTCACCTCAATTTTCAGTAAAGCAGTGAGATTTACAATCTGATTCTTGATACACGTTTGTCCTACAGGAACCTCCAGTTTTTGGGAAGAGGAGCATCTTTGCAGTACGTTCTACTGGGTGAGCATTTGCATTTATTTTTACAGGATCCTCCAATGGTGCTTTCCTCTGTATTTTCATGCTTCTGTTCAATTACTTTAGAAAGTCTAATGATGTTAATAAACAACCATAGTATTAATATTGAAAAGAGAAAATGAATTAAAGTTAAAAGCAAGGTATCATTGATGTAATAACAGCTGGTCGTCAATAGAATGAGTTTTCTTATTCCTTTTCTCTTTGTGTGTGTGTGTGTGTGTGTGTATGTTTGTATGTTATGGAGTGTAAGGGGGGTTGTTAAAACATCATTTGTGTTAAAAAAACTTACACATGTGGGATCCAAGTGGAATTTATGCCAATATAAAATCTGAAAATAATTCATACAAATTTCAGAAATCTCAGTTTGACTGACTAAATGATCTGGCACAAAGTTATGCTGAAGGTTCATCATGCCAGCTCTGCTGGAAATCTTGAAAAGACTGGCTATTTCATACGATAAAGCAACTTATTTTGTCTCCAAGCAATTTTGTTTCCGTTAGTGTGCTTGAAAGGATCTATCTCTTCCTCAAGGTTATTTTTGGTTCTATCAAATCTTGAATTACTAAGCTTGATCTTCAGGGGACAAGAGCAATGGGCTCAGTGTGATAGTTGTTCTAAATGGAGAAGGTTGCCTGTTGATGATCTTCTTCCACCTAAGTGGACATGTGCAGACAACAACTGGGATCAAAGCAGGTCAGCGTTTTGGCAAATCATATTTCCTGTGCATTCTAATCCTTACTAATATCCAAAGGAAATCTTTTCATTTCCTTCACCATACTGTCAGGTCTTCATGTTCTGCACCAGATGAACTCACCCCAAGAGAGCTAGAAAATCTCCTTAAACTAAATAAAGGTACATTCTCTGTATATATTCCTCTTCTAAGATTTTATGTAACTATCCCAGATTTCTGCCCAATCTTTGTTCTAGTAGGGTATGATTGCCTGCAAACATATATTATAAGTAAGGGTGTAAACAGCAAAGCTGGATCCTACTATAGCTCTGAAAACTAGATATTCTAGCTTGGAAATTGCATAACACAGTGCTTGTGCATATTCATTTATGGAAGTATGCTAGTAAACTGCATATATTCATGTAGATGGTTCTCACAATGTAGGAAGCTTCTTGCTGGTACTGCATTGCAATCATTCTTAATTCTGGTTGGCATATTTTAAGGAAAAGGAGCTTATTGACTTTTCTTACATATACTTCTATTCATGAAACAATTCAAGGATCTCGCTATTGCCAATTTGGGATGATTCCATCCATGTGCCAACCTTTTTCTCTCTAGCTGGTTTAGCCATTCCCAGACATGTTATCAGCTATGATGTTGGGTGTTTGTGGTGAGGGCATCCCTGAGAAGTTTCTCTTATAGAACTAGGGAGCAAAGAAAATAGAAAATGGAATAGAAAGAAATTCTAGGGGTAAAAGGGAAAGAGCAGAGGAGCTAGAGGGGAAAGATAGAAGAATCAAGAGATGAAAACCAGAGAGAACGAGGGGGAGAGAATAAGAAGGCAGAAATTCAGTTCTTATCACTCAAATATCAATAATCCACAATTCATTTTCTCTAAGAATAAAATAAAATGAAAGAAATTCATAATATCTGAATTTTGGATGAAAATAGCCTCCCAAATTATTATAGCTACAAGCTGCAAGACCCTAACATGACTTCAAAATTCCAGTATATCCCAAATGAAAAAATAAATCCTAGGGTGGTTCTTCATCATCATTACGCGGAATTATTTTCATTGTAAATGTGTTAAACTTCAAGAGCCATAATATTGTGCATAAATGATCATAAGGTAAGGTCTGGAGTTTTTACATACATAGGTGGCTAGGTGTTGGTGTTGTCATTTGATGAGTTGCTGTAGGTATTGTTCCATATTCCACAATCAAACTGTTCCTGGCTACATATCATTGTTGAATTTATTTTTTATTCTCTGATTTACTTGATTGCATTTTTTATGCAACTTAACTGCTTGTCAAAGATTTCAGTAAATGATTAAGCTGTATTTTATTTATAGATTTCAAGAAAAGGAGAATAGTAGCGTTCCATAGGCCATCCCAGGAGCATGAATCATCTGGTTTGGATGCTTTGGCTAATGCTGCAATCCTCGGAGACAATGTAGATAGTTTAGGTAATACGACAGTGGCAACTACAACTAAACACCCAAGGCATCGACCTGGTTGCTCTTGCATTGTGTGCATCCAGCCTCCTAGTGGGAAGGGAAAACATAAGCCCACATGCACATGTAATGTGTGCATGACAGTTAAACGTCGATTTAAAACCCTCATGATGCGCAAGAAAAAGCGTCAGTCAGAGCGTGAAGCAGAGATTGCTCAGAGGAATCAGCATGCATGGGGCGCCAAAGAAGAAGCAGAAGTAGACAGCAGCTCTAAACATGCACCTTCACACCTCAATCCTTCTGAGAATGAAGCAAGGACAGTTAATGAGCTAGAACCCAAGGGCCAGAGCAACAATCTGGCCCCCAAATTGGTTGAAGCTAACAAGGGACAGATAGACTTGAACTGCGATCCTGATCGTGAGGAGGATTTGCAATTAGGTTCCACCTGTCCGAGCATGATGAATCTTCTCCAAGTAGCAAGCCTTCCATTGGAGACTTACTTGAAGGAGAATGGTCTTACAAGTTTGGTATCTGACCAGGAAACAAACTCGGTATCACATGCTCCACCACAGACCGTCAATGCCGGGAGTGAGGCACAAGATAATAGCTGTTTCCCTTCTGGTACTGAAGAGCGCGAGAGTAGGGACGAAGAAAATGGTGAAACTGGATCAGATAACGAGAACGATGCTTAATGAACTTCCTCTTCCTTTGTTTTTTTATGTTCTTTTTAACCCGTTGCTTTTCTTACAATTTTTACTCAAAGAAGACCCACAGACATGGCTGGTCATTATTACATGACATGTATACAACAAATACAATGAAATATCTAGAATATATCTAGGTTCCAGAGCCTGCCCTTTTTGATTATATATATGCCTCAACAATCATAATCTAAACAATATGGACTGAAAATTTGAGTTTCCTAAAGGCTGAATATATAGAAATTAAGGGAAGAATTTTTACAAAAAATGGATCTTTGTGTTTGCAATTACAAAAGTGACAATGGAAACCGAAAAAAAAAAAAAAACCACCAAAAGATGTGTCCCTTCAACTTCATAGATCCCCAGAGCCATCAACCAAACATGTCAAACAAATTCTATTTTATATTATACTTCTCAGAACTTCTTGGAAACTTTTCAATTGGTACTTCCTCTAAAGCATTCTTATCAACTTGATAAGACATCTTCTCCGACACTTTGCCATTCTTTTAGCAAATACTTGACCACTTGCACATCATCCCCGGATCGCCGTAGATGTCTCATCTTAACTTCCTTAAGATGTTGCAATAAGTAAGGCGCAGACCAGGGTGGAAGCCAATCAAAATTAACCTCAGGAACAAGTTCACCACCGATTCATCCACCGTTTCAATCAATGTCTCTTCACTTTCCTGATGAATAGCAAAAGAATTTCCATATAACTAGAGAACCACATGAACATTTAGCTAAAATATGTTAACCTTAGATAAAGACTCACCCTCTCCAACCCAAGAAATTCTAGAATCGATGAGTTTCTTAAGAAGTGTAGCAATAATTTCCATCCAAAGAAATGATCAATCCCCAATTCAAGATGCAGCAAAAATAGAAATATGGGCAAATCGTCGTTAAAAGCAAAGCTGAGAGCCTTCAATCGACATAGGAACAAGGGTCAGATAAATAACTAAATTGACAAAAAGAAAACACATAGCAAACAGCGAAAGAAGACCGTGAAATGGAATGAATATGGCATGTGCATGGCATAAGAATTTAAGATTGGTCATCAGGGACAGAGTTAGAAACATGGCATTTCTAATTCCTTTGAGAATTTCCATCACTCGAGGAGCTTCGTCCTAGGATACTTGATACATGTGGAAGTAAGTAGAATGGCCAATACTCACCTTGGCTTCAAGTAGGGAGGGTATTTCGTATATCACAAAATTAGCTGAGGCATCTTGAATGGTAGGATATTCAAGGTTTGGGGTCTGAAAAATGAACTGGTGATCCCCGCAACGCTCAAATTCGTCTACAATCAAGTCAATCTTCAACCTTTTCAGAGTTGGTATAAAAATTCTGAAAGTATGCTCAACCTCATCACCATGCTTAAGAGCTCCATAACAGCCAGAAAATACCCTTCTCAAAAACTCGCAATCTGGATGCCTAGCATCAACATGCAGGATTTTCAAACTGGTGAAACATTTCGTTGTTGATGGAATATCGAAAACGAAGTCGTTCCTCAGTTTTAGTAATACCAGTGATTTTCAACTTGAAAAGTTATCAGTCAACCTAACAGGAATTGTTTCCCTATTTCCCAACCCGAGAAAAAGATCAAGCTCCTTCACATTGTAACTCAGCACATAGTGAATCCATGCATTGACACGAGGTAAGTTGCTTTGCTTTGTGGTTGGAAATCATAAAATCCTAGACTGAACATCTAAAAAGCTGAGTCCATGAAAGCCAAGAACTCGGCCAACAAAGTCCATAAAATATTGATTTATATCTTCCATTTGAGGGAAATGACAATCATTGAAGTCAAGACTGTGCATATTAGTCCAAAGGTACCTTCATTTTCTAGAAAATACGGCGCCTCTTTGAACCGCTTCTTTTGTGGTAAGATGAGAGGATATGACCCACAACTTCATCGATCAATTTGCTGATAAAATCCAATTCTTCTCCGCCTTTCCTCATTATTGCTTTACCTTTCTTCAACAAATGGAAAAACAAACAAAAAGAAACAGAGATACTCAAAAAAGTTGTTTGGCAGTAAAAAAAAACATGCATGGTTAGACGAAGAAAACATATTTCCAAAAGTAGTAAAAAGATGTAACCTTATGTTATGATGCTATTGAATTAATCAAGAGTTAATTTAAATAAGAGAAGAAATAAATAGATCAAAAGAGAAGAAGATTACGACTAGAAAAGAGAGATATGAGAGCAAGGAAATTGGGTTTCTCATTCATGCTCCAAAATATGCATATACATGATAGTTTATAATTCATGAATTATAACCCACAATATAGACAATTGTTATTTTATTAACTACTATTCCTATAATCGACTAATTATTAGCTTGATAGCTTGCACCAAATAACTCTATTCTCAACTCCTTTGCATCATCTTTACTGCTAGTTTCCTTTAGCTCCTTACTAATGTCCTTGTCAGCTTATAACTTAATCACATTACCCTCCTCTTGAGAGCATCCTTGTCTTCATGGATCAAAAAGTGGAAATTGAGATTTAAGGACCGAGAAATTCTCCCATGTAGCACACTCTGGACTCAAATTAGACCACTCCGCTAGTAGCTAAGTGACTACCTTGTTATTTGTCTTCATCATTCATTTATCAAACACAACAACTGGATATACTAGTGGTTGCTCATTTTCGGCCACTTAGAAGGATTATACTAAGGACATCCTTAATGCCGACATTTTTCTTTAAGAAGCTAACATGAAAAACATGATGCAATTTTAAAAATCCTGGTAACTACAACTTATAAGCTACTTTCCCAATCTTTGCAACTACAAGATAAGAACCATAATACCTTGATGAAAGCTCTAAATTTTTTTTAACATAAGAGAGGTCTGGTTGTAGTTTCAAATACATCATATCCCCAATTTGAAACTCCCTTTTAGTCCTATTTTTATTAGCACAAAACTTCATCATGTGTTGAGCTTTTCTTAATTGGTTAACTAATAACTTACTCAAATTTTCTTGTTATTTAAGTAAGTCTTCCACAATTGATACTCTTGCTTCATTACTGACATTCCAAGAAAACCCAGGAGGTGGATATCCATATAAAGCTTGAAAGAGACTTATTTTTATGGCAGTATGATAGCTAGTATTGTACCACCACTTAGCTAAAGGTAGCCATTGAATTCAAGTTTTTGACTTAAGAAAGCACATACACCTTAGGTATTGCTTAAGGCATTGGTTCAAACTGGCCATTTGACTCTTAGTGATAGGCTATGATGAATTGTAAATAAGTACATAATAGTTTTATCAATTCTTGCCACACAAAACTAGTGAAAAGTTTATCTCTATTTGATATAACAGCCTTTGGAGCTCCATTAAGTTTATGAATTTGACTTAAGTATGCCTTAGCCACATCTAAAGCAATGTAAAGAACAGAACAAGGTAAGAAATATGCATATTTGGTAAATTTGTCAATAATAACCATAATACAATTGAATTTCTAAGATTGAAACAGTCCTTCCACAAAGTCCATGGTGATATCTAAGATAAGCAACATGCCCACCTTTATTCCTTTAACACGCATCACACTATTACACATAATCTTACACTTCATCTTAGGCCAATAAAAATAAGTTTAAGTCTATAATAGGTTGTTTGGATTCCCTCCATTAAGTTTATGAATTTGACTTAAGTATGCCTTAGCCACATCTAAAGCAATGTAAAGAACAGAACAAGGCAAAAAATGTGCATATTTGGTAAATTTGTCAATAATGACTATAATACAATTGAATTTCTAAGATTGAAGGAGTTTTTCCATAAAGTCCATGGTGATCACCAAGATAAGCAACATGCTCACCTTTATTCTTTTAACACGCATCACACTATTACACATAATTTTACACTTCATCTTTGGCCAATTGAATTGTAAAGAAGTACATAATAGTTTCATCAATTCTTGCCACACAAAACTAATAAAAAGTTTATCCCTATTTGATATAACAGCTTTTGGAGCTTCATTAAGTTTATGAATTTGACTTAAGTATGCCTTAGCCACATCTAAAGCAATGTAAAGAACAAAACAAGGCAAGAAATGTGCATATTTGATAAATTTGTCAATAATGACCATAATACAATTGAATTTCTAAGAGTGAAGCAGTCTTTCCACAAAGTCAATGGTGATCACCAAGATAAGCAACATGCCCACCTTTATTCCTTTAACACGCATCACACTATTACACATAATCTTACACTTCATCTTAAGCCAATAAAAATAAAGTTTGAGTCTATAATAGGTTGTTTGGATTCCCTCCATTAAGTTTATGAATTTGACTTAAGTATGCCTTAGCCATATCTAAAGCAATGTAAAGAACAAAACAAGGCAAGAAATGTGCATATTTGGTAAATTTGTCAATAATGACCATAATACAATTGAATTTTTAAGATTGAAGTAGTCCTTCCACAAAGTCCACAGTGATCACCAAGATAAGCAACATGCTCACCTTTATTCCTTTAACACGCATCACACTATTACACATAATCTTACACTTCATCTTAGGCCAATAAAAATAAATTTTGAGTCTATAATAGGTTGTTTGGATTCCTAAATGACCTATCTAGGGTGAATTATGAAGTAGTTACAATACTTAAGTTCTCAACAGACCCTGACTTTCAATATAAACCTTGTCTTCGTGTCACGTGTCAAGACTTAAGCTCCGACTCATGTGGCTTTAGGACCCCGACCATTCACTCATCCGACGTCTCAGATCAGCCTGACTATCACAATTTACACCTTTGTGAAGTATTATTCGCTTTGGCTCCCTGGCCTCACAATTTTATCCTACAAAAGGTGTCTTACAAGGAAAAGATGGTGTGAACCTTTATATACCCCAGTGATCTTCTTTTTATATTCGATGTGAGATTCGAAACTTCTCCTTAGGTCCGTAACATTCTCCTCCACCCAACCTCGTGACGTCCTCGTCACGGAGGCTGGCCACCCTACCTACCTCCCTTGAGGCGCTTGGCTTGGATCGAACGGTTTAGGGTTGACTCTGATACCACTTGTCACGAACCTAAGGAGGAGTCTTGAATCCCACATCGAATATAAAAGGAAGGTCACTGGGATATATAAAGGTTCACACTATCTCTTCCTTGTGAGGCACCTTTTGTGGGATAAAATCGTGAGGCCAATGGGCCAAAGCGAACAATACCTCACAAGGGTGTGAACCGTGACAGTCAGGCTGATCTTGGACGCTGGATGAGTGGATGTCCGAGTCCTGGAGCTGTACGGGTTGGAGCTTAAGTCTTGACATGTGACACTTGCAGGATTTATAATAAGAGCATTTCTTTCATAACTTAATTCCACTTCAGTTACTCATTTAGGCATAAGAATGGTTAAATGCAGAACATGCAGCTTTTTTTTTTCATGTCGTCTTAATAGAGCATCTGCTACTATATTTGTTTTACCCTTCTTGTATTAAATAGTGAAATTCGAACCCAACAACTTGGTAAGAACTTTTTTTTGAATAATGGTAATAGAACTGGTCATCCCTTTTGATTCTAGTTGAGTTTGAATTGTCTTTTTTGGATCCAATAGTTTAAACATTTGACTTATACGTTCATGATTTTCAATAAGTTGGGACTTAATAAGCTTACTTTGTTCTTCCCACCATTTTAGACCTATTGAGTTAGCAGTTGTTAGAGCCGCAAGCTACCTTTACATCACTCTAAATTGCTATTGTAAAGCATCCAGTTTCACTCTATTAGTCATGGTTTGTTGTTTATTAGGTTTTCATAGATTAAAGGTAGATCTAATAAGCTCTTATACCAAATTTGTAATAGAATGATGCTATTGAATTAATCAAGAGTTAATCTAAATAAGATAAGAAAGCAATAGATCAGAAAAAAAAGATTAAGACCAGAAAATAGAGATATGAGAGCAAAAAAATTAGGTTTTTCATTCATGCCCCGATGTATATATACATGACAGTTTATAATTCATGAATTACAACCCATAATATAGATAGTTGTTATTTTAGTAACTACTATTACTATAACCAATTAATCATTAGCTTGACAGCTTGCACCAAATAACTTTATTCTCAACTCATTTACATCATTTTTATTACTAGTTTTCTTTTAGCCCCTTATTGGTGTCTTTGTCAGCTTCTAACTTCATCATACCTTATAAGATTTAAAATAAAAAAAAAAAAACTTGGGAAATGGTTTTTCTTACTTGATTCCTTTTCTTCACTTAAAAAAATTCTCTAACATAGAAGATAAAATATCATCTAAAAGTTATTCAAGAACCAAGAGGAAATGAGATTGTTCAATTTTAAAGTAGTGACAGATAAGGGCAAAAAAAAGATAGCAAGAATTGTTGTTAATTAGAAAAATAATAAATGGAGAAATAAGGGTAAAAGTCACAATTACTTATTGCAAGAAAAAGAAGTTTTTGAAAAAATAAAAAAGAATTCTTTATATACCTATCGAAGAGATATGACTTTTCATGATATAATATGTGATAAATAAATGAGATTTTTCATAAAAGATAAATATTCATAACTTAATTTCATTATAATAAACAAACATAATTTTTCATAATTTTTTAGTTAAAAATTAAAGTTATTTGTCACCACAAAAAAAAAAAAAACTTATATAAAATAATTATTTTTTTAATGCAAAAAAGTGAAAAAGAAAAATCACGTATTAGCTAGAGAAAAATAATTTAAAAGTGATTCCATTATTAGATATAATATTATATATATTATTTAAATACGATTGTTGGATATAAAAATTTAGAATCTAAATATTTAGATTTATGTTTTTAATAACCAAATTGAATTATAATGCTTAGTTAAAAAAGTTTAGAATCCCTTCCTCATGAGCTATGCTCATCCTATGTAAAAAAAAAAAAAAAAAAACTGCAAAAGCAATCTCCTTAGCTTGGCTTAAGTGAAGCTAAGCAACACAGAGATTTACATAGTATTTGGTTTCAAAAAATAGTCATTTTTTGTTTTTATTTTTCAAAAAAAAGTAAAAAATATAAGTGAAAACATGTTTGATAATTGAAAATGAAAATAAATTTTTAAAAAACAAAAATAAAAATTAGTTGAAATATGAAAACAAAAAAAATGATGTTTTTAATTATGAAAACAATGGATGTGCATTACTTTTTTTATTACGTTTTACAAGTTATCATATTTAAACACTTTTTAATGTCATTAGTTAATAAATATATATTATATTTATAATTAAATGATATTAATAGTAATACTGTTGAATATTTTATTTATTTTCTTATTTTTGCACTTTAGAAAATAATTTTTATTCTTTGTTTATCAAATACATTTTTTAAAAAATAGAAAATAAAAACTATTTTCTAAAAAATAAAAATAAAAACAAAAACAAAAACCTTTTTTCTCAAACGAAATGGAGTCGAAAACATAGAATTTAAAGGAAGAAAGTTCTACAATTCAAAAGATGGATCATGTGTTTGCAAGCAATTACAAAAGTGACGATGGAAACAAAAACCGACAAAATTTATGTCCCTTCAACTTCATGGATCCCCAGAGTTTCAAGCAAGCATGTCAAGGGAATTGAAGTTCACAATTCTCAGAACCTCTTGGAAAGTTTTCGATCATATCTTTATCTAGCTTGTTATCTGTAGCATTCTCATCAAAATTGATACACATCTTCTCCTAGACTTTGCCATTTTCTAGCAAGTACTTAACCACTTCCTCTTCATCTACTGATCTCCATAAACGCCTTATCTTGATTTCCTTAAGTTGCTGCAATAAACAGTTAGGCACAGAGTCGGGTGGAATCCAACCCAAATTAGCCTCAGGTTCTTTGACTCCATGATCATCCAGTTTTTGATTCAATATCTCCCTACTTTCCTGATGAATATGTTAACCCTCCATTAGATAAGGACTCACCTTCTCCAACGCAAGGAATTCGAGATTAGATGAGCTTTCTAAGAAGTGAGGCAATAATTTCCATCCAAAGTAATGATCAATATGCAGCTTAAGACGCAGCAAAAATGGAAATGTGGGGAAATGATCACCATCAAAACTATAGCTGAGACCCTCCAACGGATAAAGGAGTAAGGGTCAAATAAAGGCGTCTTGTATTAACGAAACCGTAGCAAACAGCAAAAGGAAGACCATGAAATGGAATGAATATGCATAAGAACTTACAGCTGTAGTGCCAGCATGAAGATTTAGAACCTTGGCATTTGTAATTCCTTTGACAAGTTTCATCACTCACAAAGCATCGTCCTTGGATACCCCAGTGGAAGAAAGTAGAATAGCCAGTAGTCACATCAGCTTCTTTTAGGGTCGAGGGTATTTCATCTATCTCAAAAGAAGCTAAGGAGTCATCTGCAATTCTAAGAGATTCTAGGCTTGGGGTCTTACTGATGAACTTGTGATCCGAGCAATACTGAGAGTTGTCAACTTGTCATTAACCAACTCAATCTCCAACCTTTTCAGAGTTGGTATATCAATTCTGAAAGTATACACAACACCAACTCGTTCAAAAGTTCCATGCACAGACAAATCTTCCGGCACCGGACAGCTACGGAATAACCTATTCAAAACTGGGGAAAAATTCGCCTGGGGAATATCGAAAACGACGTCGTGTTTCAGGTTTAGTGTCTCCCGTGATTTGATACTTGACAACTTAATACGTAAATTCCTCGGATCCATTTCCCAAGTTAGACTTCGGATGCCTTGTAACTTACTCTGTTTGCTGCGTGCAACTGCAAGACCCAAAAAAAGATAGGGTTTCATGCAAAGGCAAAAACCATGCAAGATTTCTTCACCAAGTGAAAATACAAACAAAAACAAACAGAGACAGTCAAACAAGTTGTTTGGCAGTCAAGAAAAGCATGCATGGATACACTAAGAAACGAAAATTCAAGTAGTAAAAAGATTAGCCTTACAAGAACGAAAACAAAGAGAAGAAAAAAAAAAACAACCTTAGGAAATGGTTTTTCTTACTCTGATTTCTGTTCTTTCACTTCAAAGTTAATCCCAAACACGGAAGATAATAAAAGATCATCTAGAAGTTATTCAAGAATCAACAATAAAATGGGAAATCGTGACAGAAAGAAAATGAATAAAAAGAGAAAGGAAGTTGGTTCAGTTTTAAAACGGGTGAAGATGATGGAAAAAAGAAAGAAATGTAAAATTCTAGCGTTCTATAAAGATAAGAATCAAAGATTACTTATAAGGAACCAAAGTTTCAAAACTCTTTAAGCTGTAGGATCAGAATCAGAAGCACGCAGTGAAAAATGATCCTCAATTCCAAGTTATAATTGAACAAAAAGTTCCTCAATGTACATACTTCTTGAGAAGATATAAATTAAAATTAAATAAAAAACTCCCTAAATTATATAACTTTATGAAATAAACTTGATTACGAGTCTAAAACATTTATCATTCGAGTCTGACATCCTTTAAACTCTGATAACGATTATGAACATATTTATATGATAGCATTCTGGGTTGGAATAAAATAATGGGATCCGTTTTCAGATCAAGGCTTGCACTCTTATCTACAAAAACAGCTTCCCCTCTATTTCATCAATCTATAGATGGGATGGGAAGGTGGAAGAACCACATCTTTATCTTCTATATGTTGTGTTGAATTTAAAAGAAGAAAATAAACAAAAAAAAATGAAAAAATGCATACTATAAACAATCAAAATCCTTCAACACTTGCCCTTCTAAGGGTTGCTGATGATGATGATCTTCGACTTTCTTGCCTTTCTAGTTCCTCTAATGAAAGAGTAGAGGAACAAGCTCGTGGTGGAAGAGTCAATGGTAAAGCAGGAGGTCTTGTAGGAGAAACAGGAAGCCGGGCTCTTGATGGTGGTGATGGTGAGAAACTTAACCTGGGTGCTGGGGTAATAATCCCATTAAGACTCGGGGACCTTGACATCTGTTTTCCAGCAATTGCTGCGGGCTCTTGCAGAGGAAATCTGCAGGAATATTTCATGTCTTGGATGATTTTGAGATGCTCAACTATGTTTCTCATGGTCGGCCTTTCTGATGGGTCCTTCTGGAGACATCTTTGTGCAATGTCAGCCACTGTACGGGCAGCTTTCATTGGAAAACGACCTTTGAGCTGATGATCCATGATGAGTGACAATCTACAGTCATCAGCTAGGAATGGTCGGCTCCACTTCACTAGGTTCATCTCTTCCCTGGGATGACGGCTGCCAAGGTTTTTCCGGCCAGTAAGTAATTCAAGTAGGACAATTCCAAAACTCCAAACATTGCTCTTTGGAGTTAGCCATCCTCTCTCCAGGGTCTCTACTGAAATATTTGCAACAGCCTGCAGAGATGGAGAGATAATAAATAATCAATAACTCAAACAAGGAATTATTTAGGTGTAGAGAGATACAATGAAATCTAGTCAACTCATCACACCATGATTAAAAGATCAATTACGGGGCAAAATGACTTACAACTGAATTAGCGGAGATCTCTTCTGTCTCTGGGATATGACCAACGCACCCATATCCTGAAAGCTTTGCACTGAAATCTTTGTCAATCTGTATGTTGGCAGTTGAAAATTCATTGTACATTGCCTGCATATAATAGAACCTTTCTGTCATTATGCATGCATAAAATTGGAATAGAAATTGGGAAAATAAAAGCAAATTTCCAAAAGTTCCTAATCTACACGAACTAATATACCAAGAATGGGAAATTGGCTCATAACACAACAGAGCTTATTTCAAAGAAACTGTCTTCCCTTACACATGATCAAAGTTCAACTGTAGGGGCAAAATGATACAAACGAATCGGTTTTATTATCACAAAATGAAGATGCACATAGAGATTTGAACTACCTGAAATGGTCCTTCCTCATGCAAGAAAGTAAGACCCTGTGCAGAACATAAAGCAATTTTCATTCGGGTATTCCAATCAAGTGGTGGTCCATCCGATCTCCCATATAGAAGCCTGTCTAAGCTTCCATGAAACAGCCTTTCATAGACCAACATTCTCTGTTCTGAACTATCACGTGCGTGGAATCCAATCAATTTACAGAGGTTTGGATGTTGCAATAATGCAAGTGTATTTACTTCATTTATAAACTCCCTTAAACCCTACAAGAACACAGAAAGAAAACAGTGAGACCACAGAACAATATCCTCAAATATTTTTAAAATAAAAGCAACCATTTTATTTTTTGCAACAGAACAAGCACAATATTCGGTACTTGTTGAACTTTTTTTCATCACTATTGAGATAATAATAATTTCATTTTTCAATTATTGGCAGTCATACGAGGGAGAGTGGTGAATATCAAACCGTATATTTAACGAAGGCAGGTGTGTTAACTAGATGACAATACCAAAAGTATTAAAATTGCATGTCAAGAAAAATAAAATATAAAGGACTAGCAACACAAATGTTCCCCATTAAATACATCAACATTTAAGGATCGTGAAAATTGTGCAAAATAATCTAAATCACCAACAACTTCTTCTTTTAAACTGGAAACCATATCAGGCTGGCAAAGAATCAATAAGTAGAAGAATGTAAAAGAAAAAGAAAGGGATGCAATTGGGAAGTAAGTGGTTCACAAAACAGAGCATCCCATAAACCATAAATTTGCATTGGTAGAAATTTTCTTGTACCTGAGTGGATGGGTGAAGGCGAGTAACAGTAGCTTCAAACTTCTTTGAACTTAACACATCATCTCCAAAAGAAGCCTTATACATAACGGAAGAAAGACCCTCAGATGTACATTGATCAGAAGAGAAATGATGGCAAGCAGATGCAATTTCTTCATAAGCAAAGTTTCGTAGTGTTCCGGAGGGAGGTAGGGGCAACGGTCCAGATGGAAAGAGAGGGCCACTGGCATTCCCTGCTTTAAAACTTCCCATTGTCTTCATCATAGTACCTTGGGGAGATGGAAGTGGAAGAGGTTGTGGACTTGATGACCTCTGTTCCTTCACTACTCCGACACGATTCTTTGACTCTTCCTGTTCTTCAAATTCCACTGCTACAAGTGCATCTTGCTCAGCAGCATCAAGACTTGGTGGAGCAGAAACTGTACGTGACCTATGGCTGGTTGCCTTGTTATTAGGTTGAATTTGTTTTACTCTGGTTCTAAAACTTGGGGGTGCAGATTGTAGCGATCGGATCTGAACTTGGGGCTCAGGCAGAGTGGTAGGCATATGCTCCTTATGAGAAATGCGTTTTACAAAAACTGACTGCTCAGACTTTTTCTTCTTACATTTCAAAACCATAAAACACCCCATCTTATATACAAATCATAAACAGTATTTAGGTCTTCTATGTTTCTGCCAGAAGAAAATAACAAAGCACACATATCAACAGAAGTTTTGAATTGGCGACAACATATTTAATGTTAATACATAGGCGTAAGAACGCTATTGCAAACAGACTATGAGAACAACAAAAAGGGATTGGGGCAACAACTGGCTTACCAATATCAGACGAACAATTCATATTCACCAAAAAATTAAGAATCCCAAATACTAAGTGCCTAAACTACAATATTTGAGCCACCGACCATCTCTTTATGATAAAATCTAGGGTCATTTCTTAGACAAGTCACATAAAGTGGTCATTAATAGGATCATATTAAAAAAAAATAACCATGTTCAAAAGAAGAATGCATTGTAATTTACGTCAAGTACACATCAAACCAACCCACAACAGCATAGATTCTATAGCTATGGAATAAAGCCCAACTAGTAACATCTTGCCGAGCCAAAGTTGCTCCAAAATCAAATCTTTTATAACCAATTACAACAAACGACTAGATGGACTAGCTGACAAGCCGGTTATAACTATCAAATTGCATATTTGCTAAAAATCATTGATACAGCCCCATAAAAAAATCAATAACATCAGGCACAAAACAATGCAATTTACCTGGCAATAGAATTGCAAGGGAAATTCTGTTTTTCAAACTATAAAAACACCCATATCTCCACAAACCATTTTCATGGCCCAAATCACCATAGACACGACTAGGCAAGCATAAATTTGTAACAACAAAAGATAACAAATGCCTCAAGCAACGTCTGGGTAAAAATTCCAACCCCAGATCCAAAACAATCCAAACAAGAGAAAGCAAAAAAATTATATCTACCCATAAAGCTATTAGAATTTTCATTTCTGCATGATTGATATAAAGCAGAACATACCCATTAGAGCAGTAATAAAATCAAATCAGGCAAAAACACAATCAAAACGCACCCTGAAATCATTAATGAACTTTCAATGATTTCTAGCAGAAACAAAACAAGAGGAAAAAGGGTTAAGAATCAAACCTTGGTCATGCAATCTAAAAGAGAGAGGTTGAGAGAGGCAAAATGGAGAGAGATGAAAACCCAGAAATCCTACCACTACCTTGGCAAGTCAAAGAAAGCTAATGGTAAAAGCTGTTAAGAGTGATAGATTTTTGAGGGAATGAGAGAAAAGTAGGCAAAAGCCAAAAGATGAGAAGAATATTTACTATTATTATTATTATAGAAAGAAAACGAAAAAATAAAAATAAAAATAAAAAATTAAAGCAAAAATGAGGCCAATGAGCATTGGTCAAACCAACCAAAACCCAAATTTAATTAACAATTAAAGCTTATCATTATTGTTATCTCTATACATTCCATTTGACACTTTTGCCCTCCACTTCATTTATATACTATCCAGTAATGGTAATTTTTTCTTCAAAGTAAAAGAATTCAGAAAATTTAAAAATATATTTCCTTTTACTTTGAAATAATTTATTTTTAAGTACAAATGTTAAAATAGTTGATGGTCTGACTGTTTGAGGATTAAAAAATATTTATTTCTATATATTTTAATGAAATTATTTATATTTGAAATAAAAAGTTTAATTTATTTATATAATTAATTTTAAAAGATAATATTTAATAAATATAAAATTTAAATTTTTACATTTGTAATTTATTTTTTATTTTTATATTCTAATATTATTTATGAATAGTTGGATAACAAATAAATAAAATAACATTATATTAGTAAAATTTAAGTGATTTTATCATTATGCGTATTTTATTTTTTCAAAAAACATTTTTTGTTTTATTTTACAACAGGTAATGGCATGAAGGAAAATATTGGAATGATCGTGGGTAAAAGGGTAAATTAACAATATACCGCGATTTTCAACGAAGAGCGCCTCGATTGATGTGAGAGGGCAGTCAAAGTTTGAAAAATTAATTATTTTCAAAAGTATGTTTCCGGTATGGTCAAAGTGACCAACCAAACTGGGGATTTGACTATCAACGATGACCGTTCGATTCATTGTCTGTTGAAAGATCCTCGGTCAGGATCTAGTCTTTTAAAAAGCTTGGTGGGACCCATCGACATCTACAAATTTGTCCTTTGTCTAATCTGGTGACGCACACGCGGCCTGTACGCGTGGGGTGATTTTCCCGTAATCGGAAAGAAAGAAAACAATTGTGGGTCCAACCTGGGCCGCCTGAGGTTCGTTTTTCATTGTTCAATCTTCAATGAATGCCGTGGCGTCTAATGCAAGATTTTACGTGGGCTTGTGTTGGGCCCAATTTGAATTCAGTCTGGGCTCTGGCTCAAGCCCATCAATTTTTGGAAATTTATAAATTCCGATATGATTTTTTTAATTCCTATAGAATTTGAAAATTTGAAAATTAAATCAGTTTTTTTATAAACATGAATCAAGTTAAATTTTAGAAAAAAAAATAAATCAAGTAATTTTCCTTTTAATCAAGTTAAAATATAGAACATTTCACATTAAAAAATTTTCTTAGTGTATTGAAATTATTACGTGAACTATCAAATATTACATTTAATACAAAATTTTATTATAAATTATATTTTAACTAATTTTAAAGAATGCCTTGTCTCACGAATTTCATATAAGAAAGAGATGCGAGATGTGAACGGCCTTTCTCCACCTAATAGACATATTTTTGGATTGAAATATGAGCCCTCACAAATTTAAGCATTCTCGCCTCTAATTTTAATTTGATAGCAATTAATGTCTATTAACATGTTATTAGAAACAATGTTAGATTTAAATGGTATTTTAGTTATTTTTGGTCCGTAAAGGCTATCAACAAACAATTATGAGTATTTTTTATTTTTTGACTAATTTGACAAGTCAAATCGATTCAAGATCACGGTATTACCTTAACTCAACCACTTCATTAATCTATCCCACGGATCCGCTCGATATTAACTTGTCAATCTCTTAAGTGGATGGTCAATATCCAAATTAGCTTGATTTTCTATGTCACTTTTGACCGTAGAACTAATCTTGGACAACCTATGCTGCTTAAAACCCCACACTTTTTAATTATAAAATAAAGATATCCAAATACCATTCAAACCATCTAATAATCTTATACTCTCTTACGTTTTTTATTCTCCTTCCCATTTTCCTTTCTAGCCCATAACACATACTAACTCAAACAAACCCGGGTTCTCCTTGTAAAAAAATTACAAATTCTACAGCTACTTTATAAATAAGGCATAGTAATTAAATTCCAGAATTTCAAAGTAAAAGAATTCGATCTTTGTGTCAAACTCCACATCTCAATGCACAGAAAAAAACATTAACCTAAAAATGTTCAATATTTGTGTCAAATTTCTACATCTAAAACCATTTTTCTTTGAGCTTAGAAATATAGGAGAAGAAGATTTTGACAAGAGCGAAAATCACCTGGCAAGCTGCATACCAACACCTAGAAGCAGCATAGGCATAGCTCCATTCCATGCAATTCCAAGCATACTTTGAAACGTAGTCTTTGCCTAAACGAAACGCAACCCATGAACCAACTGTTGCTACAATTAAAACTATCCAAAAGCCGCTGGTTTTTCCTTTTGTGTGTCTGTTAAAATATAAAACCCAGTACATCAAAATAATTGAAGTATGAGTTATAATTCCCTTACAATCTTTTTTGAAGACTGATTGCAGCAGCAAGGCAAGAACCGCAATAACCAAAGAGCCTGCGCAGATTGATTTCTACAACCATATAAACGAAGATTCTACCATCAATTTTCATGCTTAATTGATAAACATAAAGCTAGGAAATGACCAATACCTTATTGGCAAACAGTTTCAATCGATTCAGAGCGGATTTGACATCTGGGTGTTGGAGAGTTAAGGTTGTCTTCGCACGGCGGAGTCGGAGTTTTTCAAGAAGTCTGAGGAAAGTGGATTTCAGGGTTCGTTTTTGTTGAGTGGAAATTGAAACTGTCGACCCTGGTTCCAACTGGAGTTTGAGAATGACTTTGTGGAGCCTAAGTAGGAGTGAGAAGCGCTGGAACTTCCCGGTGGGTAAGATTTTTGTAGCTTTTAGTTTGAAACTGAAGTTCTGGGCTCTGGCTTGAATGTTCACTTTCCAGGATTGCTGCTGCTCCTCTGCTTGCATTTTGCTTGCAGAGAAAGCGTATATGCCCAATGAAAGCAAACTAAACCCTCTTTTGTGCTTTTACTAGCCGCTGGACAATGATCCCTTGGGCTTAATGCAAACCAAGGCCCATAAAGAATTATGGTTTGCTCAATGAGATGCAGCCTACCGGTTTTAGGGTCCAGTGTGCCTATATTTTTGCAGTACATGCATTATTTTTATTAAATTCAAGATGAAAAACACGCATTAATTGTATATTTATTTCCTTAGACATCATCAAATTCTTAAAATTAAGAGGAAATATTGAGATTTGAGGTGTAACTTTGAGTGTCTCCTTGCTGACTACCACATTGAGTGTCTCCAATTGGGAATTGTAACATTATATTAAATTATTAGCAATCAATTCTAACAAAAGTAAATCGAGAAAACATAAGACTGTTAAAAAGAGTGCACGTCGCAAAATGGGGTAATATAAACCTTGAGATTAACGACAGATAGGAAAGAAAGTTGGAAAGTGCAAGCAAAAGGGTCAGTGCTTCAATAATTTCTAAAAGGACATCTAACTCATGTGCGCATACATAAAAAAGTTGCATCAGATCGGTTTAGTTGACTATAAGCTTGTGACTATTTTTTCATTTCTCTAGAATCTAGCTGCTGAACAGTCTATCTTGACTGTAACTCTGTAAGCATTTATCTTGTAACTTCGAACTTGTGGAACTTAATAAACAAGGGGAAAAAGTAAAAGAAACATCCAGCATTTTCAATTCATTTCCTCTCTTCTATTGAAATTCTAACAACTACAAAGTACAGTGAAGCTCTAACTCGACCCCCAGTCCTCAGACTGATGGTCAAAGTGTATTAACTTCCCTCTTGAACAACTACAACAACGCTGCCATGCTGATGATCACCTAATCCATTTTCTGGTGGTCGCCGGGCAGTGACTTCCTGGGATGTCTCGGTGTTTGATGTATCATGTTCAAGTAACGAATGCCGACAATTCGGGCAGGATGAATGTGACACCAGCCATGTGTCTATGCACCTCACATGAAATCCATGGTTACATTTTGGCAGCACTCTAACTTTTTCTCCATCCACGAACTCTCCGAGGCAAATTGGGCACTCAGTGGATGGAAAACTCACGCCTGCCCCATAAACAGCCACAGGAATTTGTTTCAAATCTCGTTTTTTTAGGCCTGTTGCTGCCAGGCGAGCCGCGACTTGTTCTGGAGTCTCCGGGGTAAACCTGTGGCTGCAACGCAGAGCGCAACGAATTATTGAGTTCAATCCCAGGGCACAGATCAAAGCACATAAAAGAGCTGCCAATATAATCACCATGTTGGTGTCAAAATTTGCCTCGCTAATGTAAGAACCAGGAATTCTGTTTCTATTTTCTGGTGGCAAGCTCATTCCTGTCTCAAGTAGGCGGCGATGCATATTCACAGTTGCTGGTAACATAGCTGAGCACTTGAAATATTGAGGAAAAAACAAAAACCAAGCAAGTTTGGTGAAACGATTGATGGTTCTGTTTGATGTAAAGCAAAAGGAAGGGGAAAAACCAATGAAGGAGGGTCAAGTTGGTTTTCCTTGGGCAGTGGGACTGAGGGAGGTTAATTCTTTTGGGCTACAGTAACGTTGTCAAGATTCCAACTAGAAAGAGACATAGAAAGAGCATCTTCTTTGTCTCTAGGATAAGAAAAAGTAAGGCTGTTATCCGAATCAGGGACCGTTTCGCCTGCAGGATTCCCCAGCTTCTTAATCAGAAACGGTCCTCACAGTACTGAAACATGTCTCTTCTTGTATCCGCAAGCGCAAAATAAAGCAAAAGATGATCCAGATTTGAAACAGGAAAGAAAATTAAAGCGTTACCTGTGTCTCTGTGTTTTTGCTCAAGGACATCAAATTCCTCCCTTTCATGGCCTGAAAACTAGAACACTACCTTCCCTATGCATTAGCAATAAAGAATGCAAGGCTAATAAATATCTAGCTGATCGTTGTCTTTGTGGGGGTCAGGATTCAGGAGATCCATGCTAAGATACAAATGGAAGATCCAGAGTTAAAAGTAGGATAAAATTGTGATGGTTGCTTTGCCTACCTATTCATGATTGAGCACTTAAAAACCTTTGATACTTGTACCAAATCCGATGATGATCCCCTGATTAAAGTTGTTTCATAACCTAGTAATTCCAGCGTGGTTTCAGCCAATGACAAAAGGGTTTGATCACACGAACGATTCAGGTTGATTTATAGTGGAAATTTTGCTGCCATTTTCTGATTTGGTTACTTATAAACTTTTGACATCATCATAAGTAGATAACTACTACTATGTAAATTATTCTTTGCCTGCAAAAAAAATCCTAACCTTTTTCCGTTCCCTAACTACAAAAGTGAACTGATGTTATCCTTTTTAATGACGAAGCAATTTCATGAAAAGAAAATGCAACTTGCACATTCTACGCCAACAACCAAAGGCATAAGAAAAACTGCAACTTTGCCAAATTACTCCAACACTCATCTTCCTGTCCCAAAATATTTATCAATGTATTGATTTTCACGGAATTTAAAAAAAAAAATTGATTCTAATGTATTTAATATTAAATTTTATATTTTTTATAAATTAAAATTTCTTGATTTTTAATATCAAAAAATAAAAAAATAAATCATAAAAAATAATTTTAAAATATAACAAAAAAGAATTTTACATATCCAAAAAAAAAAAAAACATAATTTTAAGACATCCCAATAAAAAAGATGAATAAAGAAAATGAAACAAATGAAATAATAAATATTTGGACATAGGTTCATGCAATTAAGTAATAAAAAATGTAAATTTGATGGCAGTTAGATAGATAGCATAGATAATCATGAATCAATAGAGCTAAATCTGAATTTTTGAATGTTTTTGAAGTTAGGTAACGAAGAATGTAAAGCAGCTGGCAGTTCATAGATCCAATAATTTACCATATGTGTTACTTATCAAACCAAAGCTTGGTCCCAATGGATGGCCTCAGCAACCAAAACCATAATTACCAAACCTTGTGCTTAGTTAAACTAACCTTGTTTATGGACATTGTCACATTGAACAAGGAATAAATGGTGGTCATTTCTAACACATTAAAAATGTTGAATTTAATGTAATTTTTGCTAAAATTAATTAAAACCTATGGATATGTACTTGCTCCATCTATTCAGAAAATGAATAAAAAAAAAAGAAACATTCATTATTTGTAGTAAAGAAATTAAAATAGAAAATCCATCTTAAGTTGAGATCTGTCCAATTATTTTATTAATAAATAATATGTTTTATTTAGTTTTAAAATTCTAAATATTAATATAAAAACAAACCAGGTATAGTGCGATTCATAAACATGCATGAATTTATGATATCAATAAACCGCAAGGGGTGAAAAAAAAATTCAAACTAACTTAATTGCTTAAACGACAGCGTTTGAGAAAGTATAACCATAATGGATGCGTGACATCACGCGCCCCCAAATTATCTTGTTTCGCGCCAATTTTCTACACAGTAGACATTTACAAGCTTCTCTGGCAAGCTTATCATTTTCAAAGTTGATAATAGCTATTATCTCTAGGTTTTCAAAATTTTGTTTGGTTTCTCTTCAACTGAAAAAGAAAAATCTACAATGAGGAGATCAACGAGGAAATCCTCCATCGGAATAGGATTAGGAGTAGAAGAGCGCCTCAATTCAAATCCGGTACTTTCACATTTCCCATCAAAAGTTTTCCTTTTATTATAATTTTCCAGGAAAATTACTGAATATAGAAGGAACTTCACATTGTGTAATCCTTTTTATAGCTTCCTATTTTTCAACCAATTGAAGAGTTAAGTAGAATTATAGTTGGATTTTCTGGGTCAAGTTTTCGTTTTTTTCTTCCCATTCAATTAGCAATTCTTTGGGTACTAACATTCCTGTTTCTTTAGTGCTTTAGCTGCTTGTACCTTGTGAACTATGATTATTTACATGCTACACCCTTGTTGTAATTCTACTATGGAGTAATGGAAAACATTACATATGATTGAAGCAACAGTTTTTAATTTTTAAGTGTTTGACTTAGCGAGGAAGAGTAACTTTCAAAGCTTATTTCAATGTTCTGTCATGATGCTTTGTTTCTTCAATTTTTTTTGTTGTGTTTAACCTATTATTAGGTAAATTAAGAAACCCTTGTGCTGAGATTCGGGTAACAGGGTCAATTGTTCATCGCATGAACAAGAAATTAAAACTTGATGAAGCTTTTATGTTTGACTTTCCGTAGTGTTTTTTGTCTTGTTGATATGCAAAGATGCATTTTTGAGGGTTTGCTATACAAATGTGTACAGATTGGGAGTTTTAGTACAAGATTTTCCTTGTCTTCGTTTGTTAAGCGGGTTGAGAAACTCACTGATGATCAAAGAAACGCAATAAAGAAAGTGGGTTTTGGCAATTTGCTTCTAATACCTAATCAGATGCTGAGCAAGAATTTGCTAGTAGAGTTGATGGAGAGATGGAATTTTGAGGAACGTGGTTTTATGCTGCTTCCTGGTATAATCAAAATTACACTGATGGATGTTGCTTTAATATTAGGGATACGTGTGACTGGTGATCCGATACTCCTTAGGGAGGATGAAGCATTTTCTGATTTGGAAAGTGATTATGGCGCTGCTTTATGGAAGAGAAAGATAACAGTTGCATCACTTGAAAGTAGACTTGATTCACTAGGGGAACTAGTTAATGAAGACTTTGTTAGGACGTTCATACTCTTCACATTTGGCACTGTTCTTTTTCCGAATGCAAATGGAAAAGTGGATTCCCGTTATCTTTCCTTCCTTAAAAATTTGGATGATATTGGTCACTTTGCGTGGGGTGCAGCTGTTCTAGAGGACATTTTCATGTGGTTGAACAAAAGAAAAGAGTCAAATGTGCAATATGTTGGTGGTTGTCTTATACTTCTTCAAGTAAGTTCCAATAATTTAAGAGGCCAATGAGTCATAAACCTGTACTTTTTGTGTAATCTTGATTCTTAAGGAAGCCTGTTAATCCAAAAGCCCTCAACCTTCCTTTCCTTCTACCATTGAAAAGGAAAAAAAATGGTTTTGGGGACTCTAGTTCTAGATGTGAGAACATGAAGGTTTCATCTTATGTAGGTCATCCTTAATTTACATGATTTTTGTTATATTATTCTAAATAGATATGGTGTTATGAGCACATTGACCTGGCCCGACCAGACTTGATAGATGGCCACTTGATGTTTCCCCGTGCATGCCGATGGGAAAATAGTAGGTCTCATCAGAGACAATGGTTCACTGCAAAATTTAGGGAACTGCAGGATCATCAGGTGCAAAGTTCAGTAATCTTGAATCTGTTTAAGTGTTTTCTAGCATTTGGATCCTAATTTTAAATTTGTATAACAGATAACATGGCAGCTTCAACCGACTTCTGAGGAGTTACAATTTGATGTTATCAATGAGTTATTGGAGGTCGAGAGTTCCAGCATAGACAACTCTTCAGATGGTGGTTCAATTATTGCTGTTAGTTCCTTGCTTTGTTGTACTTTTGCTAAAATCCTCAAACAATTATCAGGCTCTAATATTTGTTTTTTACTGTTAAAGGTTGTTGGACTCGAAATAGAATCAATTGGGCATTATTCTAGTAAAGTACAAGCACAACAGGTAAAAGAGATCGATTTGAAGAAATCAATAGTATCACAAAATAAACCTGAAGTGCAAACACCATCAACTTCATGTGCTTCAGTATTACACAAAGACGGCATGGAGCTATCATCACAATGCCAGAACTCTGATAAATTGACGAGAGTCAAGGTGAATTTTACCTCCTCTCTCTCTCTCTTGATATATATATATATATAGTGCGGTTCACTTATTGGTGTGAGTTTTTTGCTTAGTTGTACTTGTGCTTAAATGCTTAAACAGTTACTTGATAGTGTAGTTCTTTACTGTTAAAGGTTGTTGGACCTCACCTGGAATCAGATGGGAGTAGTACCAGTGAAGAACAAGAGTCCAATTTGAATCAGTCAACAGCATCGCAACATTTACCCGAAGTGCAAACAGAGGCCATGGCTTTTCCGTCAACACCATGTTTTTCTGAATTACAAAAGGAGCGTGGAGAACTACCATCACAGTGCCATTACGCCGATAAATTTATGAGTGGCACTGGCAATGTAAGTTTTTTTTCTCATCTCTAACTTACTATGTTACTTGTTTTTATTCCAAATTGTTACTTTAAATGAACATTGATCTATGATCTTTATTCTCCAGGAAGATGAATTGATTAAGAGAAATCGGATATTGGAAGTTGAAAATACGGAATTGAGGAAAGAGATAGAGGCTTTAAAAGCTGAAAACAGACAACTGAAAATGCATATCTGTTCCACAAATGATCTGGTGACTCGACTTGAGGGGCTTGTAATGGATGAGACAGACTCACCATAATTAAGATAAAAATATTTATCAAATGCTTCTTCTTTATTCTTTTCATCTGTATATATCAATTTGCCAAACCTGGAAGGTTAATTACTTAAATAACAAAATGCAAAATTCTAATAAATTATTACCTTGCATTTGATTTTTTTTCTTTTGTTTTATACATAGAAGCTTTTCTAGAAGCAAAACCTAAAAATTATCAAAAATAAAAATTCAAACATAGAACTTCTTGATCTTTTGATTTTTATTTGACTAATTTATGTAAGTTGGCATTTATCTAAAAATGCATTAAAACTCTTCATCAACTTTTATTGCATTCGTATACAGGTGCAAATAGAATTATTCATGAACAAATGCATATATACGAAGTGCACCGTATGCTATTTTCCTTGTATGTTACCATGGTTGGTTGTACGCCGTCATAGTTCATTTTCTTTCATTTCGTATCGAGCAAAACTGGATGCTGCTTAAAATTTAATATGCCCACTGATCTACCATTTGAATTCTTTCCATCACACCATTATGATGTTTGGCCTTGAAGGGTTATCCATTTTTAATTTTTCTTTAAATATTAAATTGGATTATTATTGATTGAACATTAACCCTGTATGATGGCACATGGTCTAGCTGAGGCTGCCCTTGTGGGAAGAACCCAGGAGCCTGATCATGGTCCAGCTTAGCAGGTAGAAAATTTTGATGATTATGGGGTATGGATCTAAATCAAATACCGTTTTCAAATGAGCCTTCATGGAAAGGTGAAATCCACTGTACTTGACACATTATTCTTTAGTCATTGGAAAAAGGCCATTTGATCATTAATTCAATTGAATTTTCCAGGACAAATAAAATGGGGTTTCGCTGCAAGTGAATGCATATGGCATAAGCAATTAGTAAAAATTAAAGAAAATGCAATCATTTTGAAATTTAAGACAGTGACGGAACTTAATTAAAGATTAGGATACACTCACAAACCGGATTCAGTTTCTTTTTCCAATTATGGAAAGCTGAAAACAACAACAAAGCAGCTTTCCTCTACCTAATAAGTACTTAACTTTAACATACTCTTACTACAGCTCCCCCATATAGAGAGAGCCCCTGGCGGACCCGCTTATTTCACCCTACTTGATCCTTCTGGCAACTACTTGTTACTCGCTCATGATCCATCAACTTCACTGCACCCTGCGACAATCAGAAAGCAAAATTGATATTAGATAGCTGGCGTAGCATTTGTTTAAGCTATAAAGATGAACAATGATGGTAAGCAAGGGTCTTACTTGCTGCAGTCGGTGGAGGGGCTGATCTTGTAAGGAAGATGGAGACCGCATTTGTCAGGGAGACCGGCGGCGAGATCAAGGTTAAAGGACGAGTACGAAATTCCCCTCACAGTTGATTCAATGCACCTGCACACATTCTGGCGATCACCTGAGGTCTGAGCCTCACCATAGAGTGTCTTCACCCCATTGCAGCAAGCATCTGGCAGTGGTCCACCGTTTGATACATAGGAAACGCATGGTAACAAGTGATTCACCACGTCGCTACACGTCACTGCTGCTTTGGCCACCAGGGGTGCACTCACCACCATGCATACAAGCATCAGGGAAGCCAACTTCCGGACTCCAAAACTAGCCATATTGATAACTCTGTTTACAACACTGTTATGTATATTTTTTCAAGTCTGAGTTTTTTTTCACTCAAAGCTGGTGCTTATATAGGAGAGTAAAGGAGGGATGGGTGGTTGAAGCAGCAATACAAAACAATACAATATATTTGTACATAGCTTGAAGAAGAAAGTTGGTTGGCAGTTGGGTTTAATTTATTGCTTTGGTGGATACCGTTGAGTAATTAAATGCTTTTAACAAAGATGGGAGAGTAGGATTCAATTCAATTACTGCGTCAGAAGTAAAACTTTTCAAAACAAATTACTCCTACCATGTCAGTAACAGTACCAAATTCAAAGAAATATGAAGGAAAGATCCAACTCAAAACACTTCAACTATTAGAACCTGAACATCTATTACAATTTATTGCTTTGGTTTTTCTTTTTATTTTTTATTTTTGGATAAGTTTTGGCCTTGGGTTTTGCCCCTTGAGCCTTGATTTGCACTTGGATGTAGGACTTCGGGATTTATCTTGTACGAACGATGTTTGGTGTGGATTTTAATTTAAAGTTCAGTAGTGCCCTATTCTTAATGCTATATGGAAAGTTGCTGCCACATGACCTGATGATAAGGGTTCGAATCATGAAAATAATTTTTTATAAAAATATAAGAAAAAATTATCTACAATAAATCATTTCTCGAACTTTGCATATAACGAAAACTTTATGCACTTTATTTTTTTTTAAGTAATGGCCTAACTTAAAGATATATAATATATTTCATAGTTTAAACGTTAGCAAGCATAGATATTTTTTATAATCTCATATTTATACTAAATTTTTTCTCTTGTCAATAACTATAGAAAATGGGTGTTGAATTATACTTTAAACATCATTTCTTTCTTTTGTGTGCATGGTTGTTTTATCATTGATCAGATTATTATTGTCGGATACACTATTAAGTGCTTCACATATACTTAATAAACTCATGTAAAGTACATCAACTAAGCTAATAAATAATTGCATATTAAAGAAAAATCCTAACAAAAAAATTTATTATTTAATTTGAGTACGACGAATTTTCGTCACTATTTTATAATTGTGGTGATGTAACATGTGTAATTAATTCTACACAAAATTTGAATTTCATGATTAATTCTATACAAATTTAAGTTAAGAACCTTAATTCTTGAATAATGTATAAGATATAAATTGATGATATAATAACACAAATTTTTAATTTTTTAAAAGAAAAATATCCGGGAAAATATATTAAAATAAATTCGATAGAAATTTTGAGAAATTAAAGATTATAACTCGATTAAGATTTAAGATTAAAAGTCTTCTTCAGAAGTTTTATTTTCAGTACTCTACAGTTAGAAAAGCAATTTTTTCTTAATCTTTGTTTGTTTAAGTAAAATATGTTAACTTAAACTGCTTTAAATGATAAATTAATTTTACAAGTGGTTTAGTCAAAAACAAAAAAAAAAATATATATATATATATATATATATAAGCTTGCGACAGAGCTTTGGATAAGAATTTTTCTTTGTCCGAATCGACTTTGATTGAGTTACAGATATTATTTAATTGTTAAAAAAATATTTTTATTTATTTTTAGTATTAAAATATATTTAAAAAATATTAATATAAAAATAACATTTGATATTTTAATAATTTTTTAAAATAATACAAACTAAATAAACAGATTTGGGATGATTAAACCTGAAATTAACATTTAAAGGTATATATCAATTACCTAATTTAAAGATTCACATTTAATTTATGAAATATTATCTATTTTATTTAAAAAAATTTACGATTTTATTCTATAAAAAATATTTCATAATCTACAATTAGAAAAGCAATTTTTTCTTAATTGTTATTTAATTAAGTAAAATATGTTAACTTAAACTGCTTTAAATAATAAATTAATTTTACAAGTGGTTTAGTCAAAAACAAAAATGTTTATATATAATTAAGCTTGCGGCAGAGCCTTGGATAAGAATTTTTCTAAGTCACTTTAATTGAGTTACAGATATTATTTAATTGTTAAAAAATATTTTTGTTTATTTTTAGTATTAAAATATATTTTTAAAAATGTTAATATAAAAATAATTTTTGATATTTTAATATTTTTTAATATAATACAAACTAAATAAACAAATTTGGGTTGATTAAACCCGGAATTAACATTCAAAGATGTCAATGATTTAACTGTAAAGCTCACACTTAATCTGTAAAATACTACTCATTTTATAATAAAAATTTTATGATTTTATTTTATAAAAAATATTTCATAAATATTATATTTAAATTTATATATATTATATTATATTATATTATATTTTCATAATCTTCCAACGTGGCATTAAGACGGCTGGCTAACTTGGTCATGGGCATCTTTGGTTCTGTCGTTGTTAATTAGGACATGTGCTTCTCTATTCGGCCAAAGAAGTTGGCCAGCTGATTTGCTGCTGATTTTTAATTGTGGGTAGCATGCACATGCAGTGAGTCATCTTTGGAAACACAAAAATAAAATGATTATATTGTTGGTAGTTTAAAACACGGAATATTTCACATTTGATAAAAAATTTTAATTATTGATAAATAAAATTAATTTTTATATTAATTTTATTTATATTTTAAATAATTATATTTGAATAAAAATAATTATCATATGATAAATGATCATAATTATTTGAATATAAATAAATTATTATTTATAAAAGTTATGATTATACAAAAATTATAATCAACTAAATAAAAATTTATGTATATTCATTCATTATAAATAAATATTTTAATATAATTATTTTCACTATTTTTAATTGAAAAGTTTGAGACTTTGTTGTATCCAAAAAACTAATTGCCTTTAAGAAATTGTTTTTCATATCTCAAAGTCAAAATTATTTTTTATTTTTTGTCTTCTCTTATTTATTTTTTCTAACAATTTAAAGGTAATTATGAGAAATTTATATTTCACATGAGAAAGATACAAGGAAAAGAAATTGACATGATTTGAAGATTAATATTATAGGAAGTTCAAGGTGTCAAAGGATTAATGTTTTTATGGACCAAAATATTAATTTTTATAAAGATCTTCATTTGAGATATGTATTTTATTTTTTGCATAATTGTTGATAAGAAGATTGACTGAATAAGATAAACATGTTAACAATTAATTTCATTAGTATGTAAAGTGAAAACACAATATGTAAAATATTGATTATATTGCATAAGATTATGCATATCCTGATATTGATTCCATAATTGGGTTTAATGAATTGTATTATATCTATTTAAAAAATCAATCCTTATAAAGACTGGGATAAGAAATAGCCTGAAAATATAAAAGAGAAAAACATGAATTGATTTACGACTAAAAGAATTATCGCTTGCTATCAAGTAATGAATTAAATTGGATTCTAATGGAATGACCGATTATTTAATTATCATGTCTTGGTTATATATAGAACATGCAATTTGTTATATAGTTTCTATGAAAACAATTGAAATAAGTAAAGGAATTTACCATAAAAAATTAGATGTAAGTGAAAAATATATGCAAAAAAATAAGATTTGATTGCAAGATTAGTTTTATTTTTAAATGATGGTACAAAAATTGAGATAATAAGTTGAGTCAAGCTATTTGTATGGTTTCTATCTTTGTTGGTTATTTATAAACCAAAGTTTTATTTTTTTTTATAAAAAAAATTATTATTGGTTCAAAATTTGACTAATATTCAATTTTCATGAAAATCAATTTAAATTAAATTGATTTATGTGAATAATTATTATTATAATATGGTGTTTTATAGGTGGATAATAAATCAAATTATTATTATTATCAAAACCATGGACAATGTGATATGTATTTTGCCTACTGGGTGTATTATATTAAAAGTGTTTTTACAAAATAAAATTTTATTGTGAACAATCATAACAAAAAAAAAATTAAGATAGAACTCAATTTGTGTTTGATGGCCAAAACAAGTAAGACAAATAAACTTAAGAATTTGGTATATAAATATTCCTGCTATATAACTATAATTGATGAAATTGGCTTACAAAAAGTAAGAGATTAAAGAGATGTTTGTTTAAAAAGAATTTATCAAATTATTATAAGTATGAGGTTTATAAAGGTCTGGATTCTAAAATATTATTCCCATTGATGATAGCATTTATAAATTGTTTCTATTTATAATGTAATAAGTTAATGCAAATTTATTATATGTAATGAATATATAATTCTATGAAGAATTGTGGCCAGTAGTAATGTTAAGTACATTAAGTATGTATATCTATGGCATCCCTATATTTTGTAAATTTTATGTTAGTATCACTAACTAAAATATGGCCAACAATTTGAGCTAATTAGATGATTGATTAAAAGAAATGGCATGTCATTAAAAAATATTAAAGCATTTGTCAGTTACTAACATTTTAGAGAATGCTCATCAATGGTTAATTAGCCATGTTTTTAAATTAAAAAAGAATATGCAAATTTAATGTTCAAAAGGCATTGGTACATGTACATGTTTTTTGTACAATTTATCATATATTACAAAAATGAAATGAATGGGATAGACTTATCTTTCTTGTATATATAAGAAAGATATAGACTGTAGAGATAGAATGTCATCATCCAATTAATATATTATTGGTTAAGACAATAAAGACATTTTTGCTTCTTATACCCAGAAAATGGCTTTTTGTAAGTTGTTAAAATGAAAATTGCACTAGTTTCCCTTGTTTTCAATAGTTTCATGACAATGGTAAGGAAGTGATTGGTTATATACTGTATTAATATATGGGTTAAAATAATAATATTGGCTTGTGAAAGCAATAAGCTTTAGAGTTAACCAATCAATGATTTAACCAATGCAAATTTATCATGAGTTTTTGTATGAAATATGAGTAGAACTCATATTATAATTATTGTGTATGCTATTTTATGAAAATGATTCTTTGGATTCATGTTTCATGAGTTGCATTGATACGATGATCTAAATATGAACATATTGATCACAAAATGATTGTAAAAGTATTTGAAATTGGAGTTAAATATACTATAGACTCTTATTATACATAAGCATATTGGTCATATGAGTAAAGTTTGAATTTATTATATATCCAAAAATGTTATGACCAATTAAAATGGTAAATAATAGGGATATATACTTCAGCTACATAATGGTGAAGAAATAAAGTTCTCATAAAATTTTAAAATCAAGTTTAGAGATTTCAATAGTCATGAACTTGGAATTGGCCATTGGGCAATTAATATATATTTTGGAAACTCATGATAATATTTGAGATAACTGATTTTTACCAAAAGCCATCACTATAAATGAGATAATTTTAATATTCAAATCTAAATGATTTGTAGGTATGATGTGAATTATTATAGTTGGCTGATAATAGTTATAAGTCAAAATTGATGCCACAATCTTGATGATGTTGTGGTAATTTTTTATTATGTATATGGTCTAATTTATGAATTGTACAAATGATTTATCTTCTATAGTTTTATATAGAGAATATTTTAAAGTATATTTACTTTGAAAGTCATGAGTAATTCAAAGATTTTATGAATATAAAAATTCTTATAATAGCAAAAAGAATGCTATTTGATCCATTTGGGTGATAAAAATGATTTTGTTTATAGTAATAAAAATTATTAATAGTATCTATAATGAAATATATTCATAATAAGTATTTATGAATTGACATAAAAAATCTTAAAAAGAGACTATAGAAGTATGACTATATTTAAAATCTGTTTATTGATGTAAACCTTTATATTTACATCTATATTTAGTTAATATATAAAAGTTTTGGAACTTTTATAAAAATATTAAGATATTTGCTAGTTATTTTTCACTAAAGGTAGATTTGGAGGCCTCCTATTTAAAAAAAAAAATCAAATAGTGAAAAGATAAATAAAATGACAACTTGATTAAGTAAATATGATATTTTGAAAAATAAATGAGACATTCTTTAATCAAAGAATGCATACTTACACATGGTAAGGGTGATACGAATACAAAAAAATAAAAATTATCACCATAATGTTATAAGATTTTAATATCATTTTATGCACAAATTATACAAACTAATAAGTTTAGATACTTATTAAAGTAAAATAAAAAAAAAGTCCTTAAAAATCTTAAAAGGACTAAAATGATTTCGTTTATTCATTAAGTTTATCCAATTGTACTAGGAGTATAATTCTGTTAAAGATGTATAAAAATATGAAAAATAGAATGGTTGAAATTTATGAGTATAAAATTGTGGTCACAACCAAAACCAACTATTTCTTAAAATACTAAGAACAAGGCAACAATGTCTAAAGCATATAAATAATATGCAAAATGAAAAGTTTGGACATATTAACCTTAAGTAATTATATTAAAATTTTAATTTTAAATGGGAGTAATTACCATAAAAAAAAATTGAATTATGAGATATTTGATTAGTAGTACTACAAATAAAATGGATTTAAACATTTACTATAAGACACTAATAATGGGAACTCAACTTTGAATTAGTAAACTTTAATTACAAAGTTTAATGGATAAAAATAAATTATTGTTATGCGTTTGTTAAGCACTAGCAAAATCCATTCAAAATTTAGAAATTGGTGTGATCCATTGTGTAGGGAGGATGAGTTTTTATGCTCTTAATAGAGTTTTAAATGTCTAAAGTGATAGAGATATAATAGAAACTTTACCTACATAAATAAAAAAAATGGTGTCACTTTAACAAGAAGAATTATGATTTTTTTTGTAAATGTTTATGAATAGGATAAACACATGGCCATAATAATGCTAAAAACGATTATAAACCTCTGAAAAAAGAATAAATAAGTATTATATGTGTTATATTTTTAATTTTAACACTAGAAGTTGAGGTTTAATTTGCGAATACCATAAACTTTATTAAAATTTTAAAATATATACGCTATTTAAAGATTTAAATCGAGAGATACATTTTTATATTTATAATATTTATTTGTGTGAAAGGTTAAAAATTAAGCATCAATATTACAAATTAGTTGAGGATTATTAGTAGTTTAAAATGTGGTCCATCTTACATTTGATAGAAAATTTTAATTATTGATAAATAAAATTAACTTTTGTATTAATTTTATTCATATTTTAAATAATTATATTTAAATAAAAATAATTATTATATGATAAATGATCATAACTATTTAAATATAAACAGATTATTATTAATAAAAGTTATGATTATATAAAAGATTATAATCATCTAAGTAAAAGTTTATGCCTATTTATAAATTATAAATAAATTTTTTAATATAATCATTTTCACTATTTCTGATTGAAGAATTTGAAATTTTATTATATCTTAAAAGTATAATTATTTTTAAAAAATATTTTTTATACCTCAAAACTAAAATTATTTTTTATTTTCTTTTATTTATTTTTTCTACCGGTTATTACCAAAAAAAGACAACTTATTGTCCTTTGTTGTTGGACGTCCCATGCATTTACTGGTAATCAATGCAGAAAATGAGGAGTAAGGTGAAGCTAGGTGAACCCCTGGCTCTACTGTTTCAGCTACCCGGTTAGATTCTTGTCCCAATCACATAAGACCCGCACCCACAAGCTTTCTGCCAATTCAACCTTCAATTACGGCCAACTGTTGCAATGCCAGCCTACCTGTTTAATTGTTTCCTTTCAAATTTCAGTTCAGTGACCCACCATTCCTCCTCTCCTTGACCCAAATGTTATGTTAACACTGTATTGAGTATTTTGGTACGAGATATTATTAAGTTTATTAGATATTATAATTTAATATTTGTACCATATAAAATAGTTATAATTTATGTATTTATATTATATTTTATATAAAAATTAAGTAATACATACAAAAAATATAAATATAAATATTTATTTATATTAAATTTATATATTAATTTTATTAAAATTTTAAATTATATTATTTTTATATCTATTTTTATATTGTATCATTTTATCAATTTTTAATAACATTTGTTTACAGATTTGAAGACTATGAATTAATCATAAATCAATAACATGTTCCAAGGAGAGAAAAAAACCCTGGCAATCTCTTAAATGTGCACCAGAAACGACCACCTGGACAGGAAGTGACAAGTGACGAGGTAGGGTAGGGGACTGACCCACTTGTTTACAGATTTTGTCATTATTAAATTTCAAACCCTACAACCTCAATAATTTATCTTTGTTTCAGATTTAAAAAGAAAAAAATCAAACCCTGGAAAGATTTATGATTGCTTTTAAAATTAATGATATTGAGATCGCATGAGAACTAGGGTGACAATGCAATTCGTCTTTGATAAATTTTAATTTGATTCAATTTCATAAGATTAATTTTTAAAAAATAATTAAATTTCAGATCAAATGATATTATTACAAAAAATAAAAATTGAATCGAGTTTGAATTTTAGATAAATTTGATCCGATCGATTGATATTTAAATAAAAATTAATTTTTTAATTTTTTATTTATATATATTTATAAAATTATATATTTAAATATTTATATTTTAAAAATAATATTTTATTAATTTCAAATCCGATCGAATACGATTTATATAATATTGGGTCGGATCGAGATTGAGTATGAAAAAATAAAAAAAAAATTTCGAATCGAATTCAAGACGAGCAAAAACTCATCCCGATCTAACCCATTGTCAATCCTAATGAGAACATATATGAACTCACGTGAGAAAATAATTAAAAGAATTTCAAATTAAAAGCCAAAGAAATGTACGTATAATGTAATGAAGTTTGAAATTAAATTTTGTAATTGATTTACAATGTATTAATTACTTAGAATACAAATTTATTATTTGAAAAAATAAAATTAAAAAACTTTCTATTAATTTAAATAATAACACAAAAAAAGAAAAAAAAGTATGATAGATTTTTAGTCAAGTTTAACTGTTCTTCTCTTTTTGGCTATGATCAGTTACTACTTCTATAACTAGCTTTGATTATATTTAATTAATCATATATTATCTTGTTGTAATTTATTTTTGCTAGTTAATTCAATTTCCTTATTCTCCCATTAACATATATACATTGCTTACCCTATCATGAAATATTGAATTTAGAGTTTAGTATAAATGATTCATCCGATTTTTAAAAGAAATAATTTTTTGTAAGATAGAAAATTCGATCTCTAAGATAGAAAGGTTTTTTTCTCAAATAATATTTTAACTACTCTTAATCAAACTCTACTTTAAAAATATATTTAATACATTATTAATCAATCAGATGATGATAATTTATTAATAAAATAAAATAAATAATAATAAATAAATTTTTTATAAAATTTTAATTTATATATATTTATTATAAAAATTAATATTTATTCAAAGTGTCATAATCGCGGTCACCATTTATCACAAAACTGTTATGATTTAGGTTCATATACTTGTGGATGTGGTGGCTCGATTTTGTTCTCAAACCTCACTCTCGCTTGGAAAGAAACTCCTCAATGATCAAATGTAAGCAACAAGTAAGACTGGAGGCTTAAATTAAATCCTCATGATTGAGATATAAAAACAAAAAAAAAAAAGAAAAAAAAGAGCATATAAAAGAAATAAATAAGTGATATTAATATTAATAAGTAGATAGAGAAAATATATATGGTCGCATAAAGGGACCTCGTACACGGCGTAAAACTCCAAAACTAGGAAACTCTTACAAAGAGTAATACACAAATGGATTTTTAGGATCCATTTTTATTCTCCATTATAATTTCTCTTCCATACATGAAAACCTTCCTCGGACGAACTTCACTTCACGCTGCAATGAAACAAAAAAAAAAAAAAAAAAAAGAAACCATTAGCAATTCAAGTCAAAAGCTCTAGTATAAAATTTTGGGCCATTTTCTTTGCTTGTAATTTCAGTGAATTTTTAGTTAAAATTAGAACGGAAAATCTACGGACCTTTTGCAGTCAGTGCTGGGGCTGATCTGGTAAGGGATGCTCACGCCGCACTTGCCTGGGAGTCCACTAGCGAGAGCATAGTTGATGCCTGATATGGTGGTAGAAGCAGCTTTGATGCAGTTGCAAGCCGTTTGTCGGTCTGGTGTAGTTTGGGCGGCAGAGTTAAGAGCTTTGATTCCATTGCAGCAAGGTCCAGGCACAGGGGAAGCACCGTTGCTTCTCAAGTAACTAATGCATGGTGCTAGAGAGGTTGTGACCTGACCACATGTTATGGCCCCCTGAGCCAAGGGTGCACCCATAACCAAGCACAAAACCACAACACATGCAAGCTTAAGGGACATAGAGGTAGCCATATCGATCAAGTAGAGGAAAATACTAAAATTTTACACACAACTCAAGTGTTTCAAGTACTTTGATTATAGTAAGGAATTGCTGATTGTTGAGTGCTAAGGCCTCGAGGGTTGAAGGGGTTTTATAGGGAAAAGTTGAGTAAGGGAATATGGAGAGAATTGAGAAATACGTATAAAAGGACAGCGGTAGGCGTTGGTAGTTGGCTCAATTCAATGCTAGGGTTCTTTCTTTCTTTTTCGTGTTTGTTCTTATGGATGCGTATCTTTAATGCTTTGAAAAAAGTTGTATCTACCACTGTCATCTTTGTAATTATGCTGACGTTATAATGTTATTTACTGTCTTGAATGTTGATTGATTGATCACCTACAAATTACAATCTGATTAGTTAGCTAGTAGTGTTTCCAGTATCCATAGATTTGTATAATTTGTAGTTAATTTCCCTATCAAAGATGCTACTATCAAACAGTTTTGAAACATTGATATCAAGGTAATGATATATATATATATATATATATATATATAAATAGATAGATAGATAGATAGATATCTTTTCATTCCTTCTTATTACTAGAAGCTAAAAATCTATCAAACAAATTTAAAATGCATAAGTATATATGTCAATTATTTAAAACTGCATAATTAAAATTGTTTCTCCATAATTTTTATCCTATCAAGTGAGATAAATATATAGTTGGAACAGAAGTATTGAGACCAATAGTACTTTTTAATTAAAAAAAAAAAAAAACAACAATAAAATGAGTATGAGAGCGCTTGGAATTCTAACAGTGAAATCTCGTACCTAATTACCATGTGAATTCACATGATTTTATTTTCTTTTTCTTTCCTTTTGGTACCAAGGGAAATGAATCCACATGGTTTCGATAACATATTTCTTGATATTGTGAAACAGCTACATGAAAGTGTTGCTGCTTTTGTTGTCAACCTGGAAAAAAATTCTTGTGGCTGGACATGTCCAACAAATATGTGAGACTAACAAGTTTGCTTAATTTTCCTGTTGTAAAGTTCTTTATATGTATTGTTCTTAACTAATGTTTCATTCCTTAAGATTACGTTCTTAGTGTCTCATCTATAGAAGGTTTTATTGCATGAGGATTAATTTGTGTAAGATAACTAAATAAAAGAATAAACTAGAGTAAATCCAATCTATTAGTTTTGCAAGATCACATTTCAAATTCTGCTATATATTTAATCAAGGTTACTGTTAGGGTTTTTTTTTTTTTTTTAAATCGTAAGAGTAAAATAAACATTTCTTTCATTAAAGAAAGCTAGCAAACAACTAAAGATATTTTAAATTTTTTGACTAAGCTAACATATTAAGTGGATCTTAATTTATGAATCCATGTTAATTCAACCATCTCATCAATCTACAAGTTGAATCTCTTTTAATGCTGACTTATCACACTTTAAGTAAATGAATTACATCTAATTAACTTACTAAGTCATCTATAGTACTAAGATTAACCTCGATCAACTTAAATTATTCAAAACCACTTATCTTGTAAGTATAAATAGTATCATCCAAATACTATTTTTTTCATCTTGATTTTTTCACTTTTTTATTATCTCATTTTTATTTTTTATCTTGATCAATTTCTTATTTGAATATCAAATTACAAATGTTAGGATCACTTTCAACTTTTATTTTTAATTATTTTTATTAATTTTAAGATTTTACCCCTCAAAAATAGCTCAACACCTAATAGTTAAATTGGATTTGGATCAAGGATTTTTCCCATTTGCATTAGGGACAACTATAATAATTAGGATAATGGGAGTATTATATAAAGAGTCTGCTATTCTATGGTAAAACATATAAATATTGAAAAGGAAAAGGTCAAAAATACTTATTGCCAATTTAATTAGGAAGAAGGATCGAAATTGCAACAAATTTTTGATACAATCTAAGCAGTCGGGGCAAAATCTACCATGCATTCACATGCTTAGTTTTGGCCTTAAAAGGCTGTTTCAGGTGGCATAGGGAGCTTTTGCTTCCGACAGCTCAAACCTGCCGACGGCCGGCCAACACTATTTTCATGGGGGGAGCCACTGCCACTCAAATGGATCACAGCTTCCTGTACGGACCACAGAGACCAACGTCCCTCGCTCATTGTTAAATTGTGGTCCACATATACATGGTGGTGATGCCACATGTATTGCAGGTGACAGTCTCTCTATTTTTCCCACCACATAAACTAAATCAATGCTTCGTAAAATAAATCTGGTTTCCTCTTTTTGCTTCTTAATTTCTTTTAGATATTGAAAGCTGATGGACACGTCTGCTAACGCCATCGGGTTGGCAAATTAGTTTAGTGGGTAAAATATAGTTGAAGAGAATTCAGAGCTGTGCGTACGATCGAGGAGGTATTGGTTAGCAGTTGGCTCCACTTAATGCTCTGTTTCTTTCTTTCGTTTTCAACCTTTGCTTGTGTTTGATCAACTTTTAATGCTTCCAATTTGTTGCTTAATGTTTAATTTTTAACTAGTAATTTAATTGTTAATTATTTTTTTATTAATTAATATATCATTAAAATTGATATTTAAAAATTATAAATTTAAAAAAATTTAAATACATAATAATTTTTTTAATCTAATATATAATAAGATGAAATGTTGAAGGGTACGCCGTAATATTTATAGCTTTATCATATAATACTAAATGTTTATCATAAAATAATTTTCGTATTTTAAATATGTTTAAAACAACTATAACACATTTAATTAATTTTTTCATGTTTAATGCAGTGATGGATATTATTTAGATTTATTATTGTTGTCTTAATATGCTTGATATTCATAGACATTTTTGAAGATTTTAAACATATTTTATGAACAATAGTATTTTGTTATAGTTTGCATTATAAATATTCTTAATTTTAAATTTGAAGAATGGAGTTATAGTTTTATTTTTATGTCAATTAAAATTAAATTATTACTCAAAAAATAATTTTTTTGGTTTAAATAAGCTATTAATTAAAAACAAATAAATAGATGAATGATCATATTATATTGTGTTTGTATAAAATTTAAACTTACTTGTTTTAAATGTGTTAGTCATGTCTTAATCATGCCACATGTATAATAAATATTTTCATGTTCATATTTAATTAATCATGTTTGTGTTCACGTTTACCCCCATAACTTTAAACAACCTATCTAAACACATATATTGAAAAAGATATTTCATGTTGATGGTATCATACTAATTTCAAATCAATTTTATGGTGTGACTGAGAATTCAAGAAACCTCAAAAGGGGTGGGGACTGGGGACGAATGGTATGTTTTACGCATCACCTGCCTATATTAACAACCGAATTAGATCTTGTCACATGAGGCTAAGCCTTTACATTTGAGCTAGGCGCCAGGTTCCCTAATTTGCGGAGAAATGTTAAGTGGTCAATAAATCAAAGAAGTTGGAATTGTCATTTTCATTATGTTCGTAGATTAGATTAGGAGTGTAATTGAATTGAACTGAATTGATACAGTGAGAAGTTTGAGTTTGAGATCGATCAAGTTTTAATTTTCAAATTCAAGCTTGATTTAAGTAAAAATCGAATTATTTAAACTTGACTGATTAATTTATTTAATAAGAAATGAGTTTAGTTCTCATATTTGATTTTAAACTCGATTATATGTTTGAATATAAATTTGAGCTCAAATTAATATATATATAAAGGTAAACTAATAATTTTTATTTAAAATTTCAATCAGGCTCGTAAACTATTCAATTAAATATTAAAATGTTTAAACTAAGTTCGTTCGATAAATTAAATTGTTTAAATTTAAATTTTATTTAATAATAATCAAGTTAAATTTAAATTTTATTTAAATTAAATTTAAATAACTTATGAATATTAATATATCATTTTATCTCTTTAAATTAGATGACTTTTCAACATGTTTCTTTGGGTTCTCACGATTTTTTAGATCCACCCAAAAAATCTAGAGTTGGTCCCAATGTGGCAGTGACATGACAAAAGATTGGTTCGGGCTTAAACAAGAAAAATAACGATTCAGACCTGCCCATTTGAGGCCCAATATTTTTATAAAAAAACGTGTGAGTCGTGATATAGAGGCAAAAGGGAAAATAGGGCTTAATCGTGTGATTTGGGCTATTAGTTTGCGTGGATTGTCTCAGCTTGTTAACACTAATTCCGTAGTGCATGATAAGTTTGAGCCGATCATTTATTGATTATTAAGTTTATTAAATATTATTTTTAAAAATTATTATTTAATTAATTAAATTAAAATTTATATTCAAAATTGGTTATTTTAGTTTATTAGATACAGCAGAAACTTAAAGCAAAGGCACTAATTACAATTGTGCTAAGGCTAGCGTGGACTACTTTTGTGAGTTTAAAATAACCTTTGTGCATTAGTTTGCTCGGTGAATTATGATGACAAGTGCTTTTGCTTTCCCTTATTTGATAGGTTAATCTATAAATTATTTTGTGATTTTATAATATTTGAGATTCATATGTAATAATAGATGCTAACTTATAATTCAACCATTAAATTAAAAAAATTTTCTTCGTGTCCTCTTTTTAAAGTTCTTACCAAACAAAATGTTAGTGCCTTCGGAAATTAATTCTACCGTCCTAAACCTTTGTCGTTGGAAGTTCTCATTGGAGCTAGGAGAATAGATTTTAATAACTTTATATTATTCCAAAGTTTGGCATCAATAATTATATTTCAATTACCTATATTTACCGATACTCAATAATAACAATAACAAATTAAGTTTTATATCCATAATTCTACGGTCGATTATATCAAAAGTAAAAAAAAAAAAAATTATATTAAGTCGTAATTTTAAACATTTTTATGTTATTAATTTTTATCAAAAACATGCTTTTCATATACTTGTTTAATCATCGTATTATTTTTTATTATTTACATTTATGTTTATTGTAATTTATCTTTAAAAATTTTGGTCTCTTTCAACTCAAAACACTTATTTCTTTTAATTAATGTATAAATAGGTGTACGTTTCATATGTATAAATCATATCAAATAATTCTCTCTTATCTTTCCTTTAATTCGAATTACTTCTAATTCTTTTCGAATTCTTTTATTTTTAATTTTGTCTCTTCCACCCTTAATTTTTTTGTCTCATACAAAAAATTTTAATTGAGAGGTTAAATTATTTCCCACACCACAAGGAGAACTTACTGGTTGTGTCTTGGAGAGTTAGCTACCTATTATAAGCTTTAGATTTTTGGACAATCTCTGGATATAAAATCATGGTCTATATGAGAGTGAATTGTTGAAAGTAGTAAACATATGCAGTGAGTTGAAAAAGCCAGAAATAGAGAAGGTAGGATGATTGGGAAAAAAAAAGTTTTAAATTTAAATTAATTTGCTTTTGATCCAATCTAACCATCAAAACATATATACAACTTCTTTTATACAATCATCAAGAAACATTTTTTTCTTTTTTTCTTCTTTTTTCTTCCTATCAAAAGTAATTTTGACGAAAAAATTGTGATCAAAATGAAATTAATGTTATCTCTATTACTGTTATTAAGTTAATAGTATGGTCCCAAAACTCAACTCTAGAAATATAGATAATAGGTTATTAAAACTCAATTTAAAAGACAATTGGTGTACCAGAATATTAATTACTAGTACTAACAGTCTTAAGAAATAATAATGCTCATAAAATTATTATTTATTATAATTAGGACGGCTGTAGAGAGGCAGGCATGGGCTTAGATCCCCAAAAAATTTATATTTTTTTATTATATAAAAATTAATCCCACCTAATTAGTGCTTTGATCCTTTTTTTTTTTTTTTTTAAATTATTGTTTGATTTATCTTTTATTAATTTTGGCCTTTTCTTACAGTTATATCATTTATAAGTTGTAAAAAGTTGAAAAAAATAATATTATACTTTTTATTTTTATTTGTGTAATTACACTTTTATCTTAAACATTTGTGTATTTTTCACTTTCAATCCTTGACTTTTAAAATTTGTTAAATCAATCCTAAACGTTATCAAAACGTAGTAAAGTTAGTTAGACCTAACGTTAATTTTCAAAAGAAAATGATTAAGAAATGGAGAACTTTATTTCCATCTTGCATTACGAATTGATTTATCGCAATAAGATTGCTAATACTTTTTATAGTGTTTTTTTACTCATATTCTGAAATATAAATATATATCAATCAAATTATAAATTAAGCTACGGATATCGATCTTTGCAATAAAAATATTAATTTGGTTGATTTAATTAATTTCGAATCAAATTATTTAAAATTAAATTAATCGAATTATGTTATTTCTTTTTTGTTAATCAAATCAAATTTTTTAATTTTAAAAATTAATGGACCAAATTAATGCAATTAGTTCAATTAAGTTTTTTGGTTAATCAAATAATAAAATATATTAAATAAAAGTATACTTTAAATTCTTAATTTTTTATATTTAAAATAAATTAAATAAAATTATCCAACAAAAATGTTCAAATACCAAAGTACTAGATTAAAAACTTTAATAACTTAAAATGAAATTAACTATTTCATATATTTTTAGTTCTATATATATTATTATATTTCAGTTAAAATTTTGATTAATTTAATTAATTTAGTTTTTGAAATAAATTAACCGAAAACTAAATTTTTTTAAAAAAATTATTTTTGATAATCCATCGAAATTAATTTGATGGTTAATTGAGTAATCAAATTTAATCAATTTGATCAATAATTCGATTAAAATCGAATTTTGAGCGCTCCTACTGATCTGCTGGGTAGAAAAGAAAGCAACGCCAAATATAGAATCAAGCGATCTGATCAAGTGGACAAAGCATAAACTTTTAACACTTGGTGTTTAACAGCCGATACATAGTTGACATAATTAGAGCTAAAACTCAAAAAGACAAAACAAATTATAAGGAGCCTTCGCCAAACCAAAGTGGAGACTGATTTGTATTTTGGAATCATGCCAAAATCTTTATTCACGCTTTCTAGATACCTACCAAAAGCTGTTGAAAACCCTTACTTCATCCCCATCTCACTTCACACTGCAATAAGTTTCAAAAACAAAGAAAATGAATTAATACTTAGAATTAGAAAGCAAAATCAAAAAGAAAAACAAAAGCAAGAAAAGAGAGATATACCGGTTGCAGTTAGTGGAGGGGCTTATCTTGTAAGGAATCTTGACACCGCATTTCTTTGGAAGGCCCACGGCCAAGTTACGTTTGATACCAGGGATAGTCCTAGCCGCATTTTGAAGGCACCTGCAAACACTTCGGCGGTCTCGGGTGGTTTTAGCCCCGTTGTTCAGGGCCCTAATCCCCATGCAGCAATTTGGTGGCAGGAATCCTCCATTCTGCAAGTATTTTATGCATCCACTTATTTGTTTTGCCACATATCCGCATGATATGGCAGTTGTTGCCATGGGTTCAACCACCAACATGCACAACAATAAAGCACAAACAAGTTTAAGAGCTGCAGCCATGGGTTTTGGTTCAGAAAAGTTTGAAAAAACAAAGAATTAATACAAACTTTTGTATTGGAGCACTAGAAAAGCAGGAAACTTCACTTGTGTTTTGAAAGCTGAGTGAGTGCAATAGGGTAAGGCCTGGGGTTTATATAGACTACTTTGCTTTGGACGAGAGAATTTAATTGAAGGGTTTGGTTGTTGGGTTTTAATTGAATCAATCCTCTCTTATGGTTCCTATTTCTGGTTTCTTCATGGCGTCATTACAGTTGACATATCTGATCTTTCACGTCCTATAATGCTTGTAAAGACCAAGATATGCAAAGCTTTGATGTTAATAGGAAAAAATGTGTTATTTTATTTATTTATTTTTCGGTTAATGTGATAATATTATATACAATAAAAAAAAGTTCTTTTTCGTCTTATATTTTTTTATTTTTTTGGATTTTGTTAACTAGAGCTTTTAGATAATTTTTGAAAGTTAATTAATATATTATTTAGAGTAATAATTTTGTATTAATATAATAATTAATAATTGGGTTAACGTTATAAATAACCCTTAAATTATAACAAAATGTTCAATATATTATCTAAACTTTTAAATTTTTAATATGATACATGAATATTATTTTGTTAACTAATATAACATTTACTTCTAATGTGACAAACTCCAAATAATGACACACAATGTACAAATAACTCTTTAAATATGAAATTAATTAATAAATTCATAATTCATATATTATATTAAAAAAAATTTTAAATTTAAATATCATATTAAATATTTTATTATAATTTAAAAATTATTCATAACATTAACCCTTAATAATTTTATAAATAGCGTTACATATATCATCTCATACATTCATTTCACACACTCACTTTTTATTATAGTAATAAAAATGGAAATAACTAACATTTATATGACCTATAATAAAATTTTGAGAATTTATATATTGTATGAGTTTATGCAGTATTAGTAATAAATATCAAATATCATATAGTTTTATATTCAGATTGGATCCCTTTATTTACTATCAATTGGTAGTAAGTTTGATATTTAATATAGTATCAAAGTCAAGATTTTTTTTTGTTATCCTTTCTAAATCTGTCATATGATAGGCTTATTCTATTTTCGCTTATGATAAGGTCATCAAAACAAGAAAACAAGATAAGCGAAGACACTCAATAAAAAAAATTTTCTTTTTCTTCCCCAACCCGATTCGATTCTTTTATTTATTTATTTTTTCTTGCGACACGATAATTTTGATTATCAGATTTTTTGAATAAAACATAAGTCTACATTTGATAATTTTGAGTCAATTGAAGGGTAAGCCTATTTATTTATGGTTCTAAGAGCAATAGTTCTAACGGTTGACTCCATTCTTTCAAATCATTTCTCATTATTAATAAAGGGTAACGAAGATAAAATATGAGCTTGATAAGAATCTATTAAAGTGATATTATATTATATCTAATAAATACCTAATATCTTGTAGTTTTATATTCAAATTGAGCTCCTTCACTTATATCAATTGATAGTAATTTGGATACTTAATATGATATTAAAATAATCTTTTTTATTTTCGTTTATACGTGATAAAAATATGTTAAAGTGATATAATCGTATATCTAATAAATATCACTTTAACATGAACTATAATAAAAAGAACAGCCACATCCACAAGTACACGAGATAAGGAAGAAATGAAGCAATACAATGATATACATCAAAAGAGAACATATGGCACCAAATCGTCCATCAACTCCCAATATGTGATTGTAGTTTTTTTTTTTTTTTCATATTCGACTTTTCATCAATGAAATGTGATTAAGCCATCTTTTTCAAACTAAAAATAAAAATTTAATGTAATTAAGTGTTCTAGGAGATTGAAAACTTATACTTAGGGTTTATAGTCATAGTCATATATAATTGTCAATGCATCAACAAATTAGAAAAATCCAACTATACATATTATTTATTTGTGCCACATTCATTTTTAAAATTTGTAAAACAAAAAATATAATTTTTTTTGTCCCATTTTTTATCACTTTTTTATGTTTCAAAATTAACAGCTTTTCATTAATGCATATAAGTACAGAAGTCAAGAAATGACAAATGGTCCAGGGTGAGCAACGACGGCCAATGCAAGACAAAAAAACTAGACTCCCCATTTAACCTTGGCAATTGCCATTTCTCTCTCTTTCGTCTAAAGTCGGCTGCTGCTATGGACCACACTCTTAACCTAATGAAATAATGCCACCTAAATGAGTTGGACTGTGTTTGGAATGGGCTAAGTATTGGAGTCCACATTTTTAGTTGAACACCATAGGCCCATAACCACTCATTTCTACCAATGTTAAATATTAGGCCCATATAGCCTATCTGGTACTTAAGAAAAATAATTATTAAAAAATTCTTACTTAACTATAGGAATAGACCTGTTCAAATCCGAATGCTCACTCAAGTTTTGGGAGAGTTTGACTTTTGAGAAGATTTAAATAAAAAATTAAAACTCGTTCAATGAATTTGGACATAACTTTTAGATTTATTTAAATTTCAAACCAAAACTTTAGATAAAAAATTTAAAATTCGACTTCGATATGATCCAATCAAATTTACGTATATTTAAATTTTTTATTTTTATATATACGTAAATTATATATAAATTAATTCACATATGCATATGTAATTAAAATAAAAAATATATTTTTTATTAAAATTAATTTTTATTTTTTATAAATATGTGAATTGAATATGATTTTATTAAACTTAATCTAATCATTTTTTAATATTTTTATTATATAAATTAAGTTTAATAGGTGTGTTTACGATTTTTTTCTTAATTTGGATCGGATTTAAAAAAATTTTAAGACAAAATTTTATGTTGATCTTGGTTTGAACTAATATATAAACTATTAATATCAAGTATAAATCAGACCTAATCCATGAACATCCCTATATAGAAGTGACTTGAAAGATATTAAACTTTTTTTGTGAAAAGCTATAATACCATTCTAATTAGGTTATTGTTTTCATTACTATTAAAATAATTTTCATGAATTAATAAAGTTGATCTTATTATTTTAGAATAAACAACTTTTTTTAAAAAAATTTCTTAAAAATTGTAGGAAAAAAACAATTAGTTAGAAACTTTAAGTGAAATAATTGCTTTGACTTCTTGCATTATTAAAAAAAACTTGTCAATTATATTTAGTTAATAGTTACATTAAACATATTGTAGACCAAAAAAATCACAGTTATATTTTGCTGTTATTCTTGTTTTGAATTAGCAAGATTTAGATGAAGTTCATCAAATTAAGATAATGATGCTCATCAATTAAAATAATTAAATAAAAATTTCAAATCAATAAATTAGAAGAATTTTTTTTATTTGTTACATAACAAGTACAAAAAATTTTAAATTTAAAAAATGTAAGATAATAAACTCTATATATAGCTCACCAACTTCTGCACGTTCATTGAAAAAAAGACCTGGTTGGCTGGTTGAAAATCCACCAACACATAACCTGAATTCCAAATAATTACATGTGATTAATGAATATAACAAACTCCTTTTTCATTTTGATCATGAAAGCTTTTTTCTATGAAATTAAGTGATGTGAAGAGGAATTGATGGTGATGAGCTGGTTGGAGTTATAGATTTTTGTAATGATTTCAACTGCAAGCAATTAGGAAACAGCGTTCAAAAACGCAGTCTAACAACTCAGCTACTGGCGTCTGTCCTCTTTGCACTGTTCAATCCACCACCCAAAGGATCTTTGCCGCCATTTCCTCTGCATACAAAGTCCAGCCCTACTCTCTTTTCCAAGTCCTCTAGGGTTTCACTTTGAAACCTAAGAGTATATATAGTAAAAATGGTTTAAGCCACTTATGATTTAACTATTTATAGGATTCATATCTTGAATAGAAAGGATAAAAACTGTTTATTTATATATATTATATAAAAAAGATGGTTTAAACTTTATTTAGTATGTTTCTATATCGAATTTGTACATAAATTCAGTATTTTCTCTCAAAATGTCTGATCTTTACGAGTATTTTACGTTGGTTTTTTTTTGTTGTTTTCATTTCTTTAAGAAACAAAAACATTAATTTGCATCTAACCATATCCATTAAAAGAAGGCGTTGAGAACATAGTGAATATTGTGGCTCAGTCCTGACCAAGTCCAAGAGGATCCGATGACTAAATTTTGCATGTGCATTTTGATGCATGCAATGCATAATTATTACCCATATTTAGTATCTTTGGCTGTTAGGTTGCTTTGCTAGTTGGCACTTGGCAGCATCCTTAGTACAAAATCTTTCTCTTTTCTGCTAACTTTTGTATAAATAGATACCCTTTTGCCCTCAAATCCTCAAAGCCTTGCTCCAAGCTATCAATAGAGTCACCCAATTGTTTCAGGCAGCTCTCACTCAAATTAAATGGCCACCACAGCAATAATATTGAAAATATTGCCATTTTTCTTCTGTCTGTTCAGTATCTGCAACTGCAGCTTCCATGCCACTAATGAAGATGATGATAATGGCGGTTGGCAAACTGCTCATGCCACATTCTATGGTGGTGCTGATGCTACTGGTACAATGGGTGAGTTTCAGACTGTGAGTATAGATGACTTGAATTTTCGTTTCTTAATTAATTTGCTCTAAATTTCTGGACTACATATAATTTGTGATGTTTGTTTATTTTAGGTGGAGCATGTGGTTATGGAAACTTGTATAGTCAGGGGTATGGAACGAGCACAGCAGCTTTGAGCACTGTACTTTTCAACAATGGCTTGACCTGCGGTGCCTGCTACGAGCTGCAGTGCAATGATGATCCCAAATGGTGCATTTCTCAAACCATAACCGTCACCGCCACCAACTTTTGTCCTCCTAATTATGCTTTGTCTAGTGACAATGGTGGGTGGTGCAATCCCCCTCGAGAACACTTCGATTTGGCCGAACCTGCTTTCCTTCAGATTGCAGAATATCGAGCTGGAATTGTTCCTGTTCTCTTCAGACGGTATCACCTGCAATTAATCAATCCCAATTTAAGACAATGTATCCATCAAAATATTGTGTGAAGTTCACATTTATACGTGATGCATTTGATGGACTTTTCAGGGTTTCTTGTGTGAAGAAAGGAGGCATCAGATACACCCTCAATGGTCATTCATACTTCAACTTGGTGTTGATAACAAACGTGGGAGGTGCAGGGGACATAACTTCGGTATCCATCAAGGGTTCCAAAACAGGGTGGCTACCCATGTCAAGAAATTGGGGCCAAAACTGGCAAAGCAATGCCTACCTTAATGGCCAAAGCCTCTCCTTCAAAGTGACTTCCAGCGATGGCAGGACTATCACCAACTACGATGTAGTGCCTGGTGGCTGGCAGTTTGGACAAACTTTTGAAGGAGGCCAATTTTAGGCAAATTGCGTCTACCGTTGATTATAAATCGGGCACATGAGCGTTTTATGCAGGGGTAGCAAAGTGGTTGCCCGCTGGCTTTATGTGTGAAATTGGCGAGCTAGTGCCATAGCCTTTATAGGTACATTACATATATAGGGCCCCCCAACTATTCAATTTGGAGGGAATAAGCTGAATTTTCCATAAGATAATCTGTCAGAAATTTGCTAATTGACCATAATATCTATGGTTTTCCAATGACTAAAATAGTTTATAAATAATGGTATCTGGTATCTCAAACAGTCAAGAGTTTCAAAGTCAGAGCACTATGCCTTCTCTTTCCAATTTTTATGAACAGATTTTATGATTTATCTGCCAATACATTAGTGAGAACTTTGATTCAAGATCATAGATAGAAAATGAAAATGGATTGGAAACTCTCTCTCGATTTTCTTTGTGGTTGGAGCTGCAATTTATTGTATCTTGACAGGGTTCCTTAACAGCCCACTAACAAGTAGAAAGATACTTTCTTCACTGTATTGGAGCTAGAGTTGGCAATCAAATTCAAATTCGTAGGTTTCGATTTTCATCTCATCTTATAAGATTAACTTCTTTTTAATCGAGTTTTGGATCCTGTTTTTTTTTTTTTTTTAAAAAAAACAAAGTTAAATTTTAGATAAATCCAACTCAATATATATATATATATATATATTATAATTTTATTATTTATTTAATTTTATGATTATATATATTATAATTTTATTTATTTATTTTTATATTTATATTTAAAAATAATAATTTATTAATTTCGAATCATATTATATAAATATACAAATTAAATCAAATACAAAAACAATATTTAAAAAAAAAATCAAATCAAGTTTGATTCAATAGGAACAAATAACCATCCCATAGTGACCCATTACATCTCTAATTGACGCCATGCCACATGTTTGACCTCAGTCACATAGAACGTATCTTTTCTAAATACCGCCTTTCTTTGGTGCAAAAATACTGGTTTTTCGCATGTTAGATAAAAGAGGCATCTTCAGAGTTTTTTCTACAAAATTCACATCACTTTTCCAAGAGGACAGAGAAGTGGAAGAAACTCCATGGCCTGCATACACATCCTCACCTACCCAAACCAAATTCATCAAAGCACAATTCTTTACAAGCATGATGAACACAAATGGACATTCAAAAAGAAAAACACCGCCTCTACTTAAAAACAGCCAAGACAGCACAAAAATCGTAAGAGATTCAATAATTCAGTAAGGAGTACTTCACCCTCAAAACAATTTTGCCTTTCTCAACACCAAGCTTTCCACCAGTAACCAACCAATGACCTGGAGGATCTTGCGGCCCTTTGCTCATCTCAGTCATATCAACAAATTTTGCCAACTTGTTTACAATGTCATCTTGTGAGCCGGAACTTGAGTCACCAGAGTTGGCAGTACCCGTAGTAGAAACAACTTTCTTTGATTTGTCATTTGGACTATGGTCCCACAATGATCTTCGTACTGTGCAGCCTGGAAGCCTAGAATACAAGAGCTTCATGTACAAGACATTTCTCGACCCAAAATCCCAGACTCCAAGTTGTGCCCCGGTGACAATGTAGACACCAGAGAGGTCACCTATAAAGGTTTCAGGGTTTTCAATTGGTGCAGTACTAACATGAGAGAAATTCTTCCATTTCACGGGTTCAAACCATCTGCTATCTTGCTCCTCAGGTCCCTGCCACTTGGGAGCACCAATTGCCACATGGGTGTCCCAGTGTGGAAGTAGGATCTTTGGAAGAGAAGCTAAGTGTTGAAGATGAATACTAAGACGGTTCCACTTGATTCCTTCTAGGCATAACCGCAAGCCTGTTACTGGCTTGCGTCCAACTGAGATCTGCATTTACATTGAGCCTAGATTAAATGCAAAATCTTGTTACAATGATTCATGTTACCACTCCCCAGTAACTTTCATGAAGCGATTTATGATCAATGCTCTACATTGAAAGACTGCGGAACCATAGCAAAGTTGTTTCATGGGATGATAAGCCCCAAAACCATGAATGGATTTTCGCAGATATTTTGCTTCTCAAGCATCCAAGCAATAGTTTTCGAAAAAAGCAGTAATATCAATAATAATCTTGCTATATCTAATAATGACGACTACAGTAGTTAAAGAACTCAAAATTTTCATACTCTAATAAAATTTAAGGATAGTAAAGAGACATTTAGCAAGTGCAAAAAATTATCTATAAAAGGCAATGTTACTGATAACTCAAAATTAAAAACAAAAAAAAAATCCCGGCATTTTAAGATTTCCCTTGACCATAATAATTTCATAAGGTTTAGAATTAGTCACAAAGGCCAATCAATATTTAACGACTAACCAAAGGAGTTGGCCCTCTTGAGATGTATGGCTCTTATAATGACCACTGACGTTAATGCAACTGCAAAGGAAATTCCAGCTAATGAATGAACAAGAAAAAAAAATGGAAGAAAACCATTCTATGAAGGGCCAATCAAGCTAGATAAAGCTTGATAATCAGGACAAAAAAGAACAGCTACGAAAGCTAGTAAAGTTTCTTATAATGGGAGATAAAAAAATGAAGGTGGCTTTTGATTATTTAACATTTCCAGACAATTTGTTATTTCAAATTTCCAGGAATAGCAACAACCGTCAGCAATCCTTTATCATATGCACACACGCATATAGTGAAAAAAAATCAAGAAACCTTGCCTTAATTGTGCTCTTTTGCCATTCTTAGGAACAAGTCTCACCAACAAGTGGAAGAGATTGAAGTTTTAAGATGAAAACTATGTTGAATAAACCTATACTTGCTCTCTGGCCAAAAAAAAAAAAACTATACCTGCTCTTGGCTGACATAAAGTCTTTGCCCCATCATGCTGAATTGCAAAGATGGGCAAATAGGTTCCTTCCTTTGGCGGCCAGGAATCTTGTCCCGTACAGGAGCCCATATCCTAGGAATCTGAAACTCTAGAAAATATCTCAGTTCTTCAATTGGAGGCTTGTCTGCAATCAGACCGAATATTAAGTTAGTACAAAGAGTTAATCATTAGCAACATAACAAATGAGAAAGAAAAGATTACATCCAATCAACCACAAAGAATTAGTTGAATTACATTCAAGATAAAGACTGATAGCACAAGTCAGATGCTCCTTTCCAGCTATCCCATCAAGTAGAGCAGTAATAGGATAGAAAGTCATTCCAATGACATCAGGAGAGGACCAGACAGTTTTGGCCCACTGGGTATGGTTTTGCTCCAGATCATCTCCTCCCCTCCTCCGAAAAATGACTGTAACATCCTGCAACAATAAGAAATCCAGAAAATGCAATCAAGGCTTCATGGAGATTAAGTGAAACAACATCTAGCAAGTTACATATCTGGAACTTACTACAAGGGTAAATGGTAAAAAAAGCACTAAAAGGCAATGATTTCCAGGTAGAAAGCAAATCAGTTTGCTCCATCAATCATGCAAATAACATATCTTGGCAACCAGAGGCAAGCTGCCATGTGTACTGGTCAAACATAAAAGACTTGCACCTACAACCTAATCCTAAAGCAATTCGTGCGGGAATATCTTTTGGCAACAAAAAAGCGATAAATTTTATATAATAGCCATTCCTGCATGCCCAGTCATGATCAATGATGCCATAACTGCTCAACATCATTGCCATACGAACATTTTAAGAGGAAAAGTAGGAAATACAACAAGAAAAATGACCAAACAAACAAATGCAGCTTTTTCCCACTACATGGTGTTGGCTACATGGATCGATTCAACAATGGAAAAAACAGTAAAGACTAAATCCACCCCAATAAAAACCATCATGAAGCTATCACATTCAACAAATCATTACCAAAAACAACCAACCATGCCAAACCAATTGGTACAAATTGACATGCTTAATTAAAGAGTTAGATAAAATGTGCAGGAAAATGCACTGGGTGATTGGTACAGTAGTTTCAGTTATAGATCCAAATAGCTATCTGCACTTGTTTCTCTATGTATGAGAAAGTCCTTATGTGTACAAAGAACAAAGGCTAACTTTATTTTGCAAATTAATTTTTCGATAATTTCAAAGCATGGGCACAGCATATAACAGAATAGCATCCCAAAAATATCGAATATTCCTATGCAAATTGATTTCCACTAACAAACTGTCAGGACGTTAGAATACCTCTTTCCCATTAAGATATGGCGCACTAGTAGGCTGAGGGTAAACCCCTTGACTGTTGAATAAGCCAGGATCAAGACCCTGTAAAGCTCAAAAATTATATTAAGTAAACAATGGTCAAGAAAGTAAGACAAATAAAGGATCAAATAAAGAAAATGAAAGAAATGATGGAACTAGCCTTATCCTTTAATTTGATTTGACCTGAACTTGTATGACTTTCATTGTCCGAGAATCTCTGATTTCCAATATCCTGCACATAGGTTTTAATCTCCGTGGTAGATAAAGGTGAAGAGTGATGTTGTTTGACGTATATCACATCTTTACCACCCATAGTTACAGAAGTAATGACATGTGTCCCAAAATTTTCAATGAAACTGTCAAATAAAGCAATTTTAGGACTTGAAACTATATTCTAAGAATTTTACATTTAACAACAAATGGTTCATACCTTGCCAAGGATGATGGGTCCCAAGCAGTTGGGATAGCCCGTTTAACATTTTCTTGCAACACTGATGGCGACTTTGTAAGCTGAAACTTGGCAAGTGGAATGTAAAATCCATCCATAGCAAGTGTCTTCGTGGTCGCAGCATCAATATCTGTTGAACCGGTAAAGCTAAATGCAGAATTGAAACTACCAAGCGGAAAACCACTGGACACATTAGCTTTTTTATTAAAATACTCCACCATCTGCAGTTGGTAGTTAACAAAAGTAAATTAGAAAATGTTAAAGCAATATAAATCATGTTTGAAACAAATCAACGCAAACCAAATAATTGGAAATAGTTTAATAATGCTGGTAAGATCAGATATGTTACTGATGTTATTTCTACATTTCATCATGATCACAGTGCACTTAGCAATTCAATTACCATTTTCTCTTTCTCCAAAAGATAATTAGGCACATCATAATCAAATTCAATGATCTTATGCATTGTCTTAATCACCAAAATACTCGATCTAAGAAGCTAACCCGTCAAACTAAATTTCAAACCCACAACATAATTTGAAATCAAACACTAAGAATCAAACATGACCTTATATACTTTGATAGGAGATAATATACAAGTCCAAACAGAACCAATTACAAGAGACTTTTAGGCTAACGATTAACATTAATGGACAATTGTACTTATCAAATAATATCTTAACAAATCACATTCATGAGGAACAGTCAATGATGATGAACTAGAGGAAAGAATGCAAGTGATAACTTCAACCCAAGTGGAGAAAGTATGAATGAAACAGAATGAGCTGTCATTGAATAGGTTGTACTTATGTAACAATCTACTGATAAACATAACCAAGTTAAAAGTTTAATATAAGAGAGGAATATATTTAATCAATCGCATTATGATGCAGACTAGACGCAGGAAAAAGAAGTTCAAAGAATTTTCTTTATCCTCGGGCAGGGTTAATTACCGGTACATGGTTGGAGTTTGTTCTATGTAGTTACATTCATTCTTAACCTCAAATATCAATTAAATTAATCTCAGTTCAACTGCCACTTCTGTTTATCACCAAAATAATAGACTCATGATATATTGACTAACCTTGTCATAAATCTCCAAACCTTTAACGCTAAAGTCAAGGTTTTACTATGCATATCTACCAAAGCCCCAGAAGAAGCACAAGAACATAATTGTAAATTCAAGCTAAACCCAAAAATTAACAACTAAGTAACAAGCTAGCATAATTAATGGACAAAACACCAAAAAACACAGAAACCAAACCCACAAAATTTACCTCATGAAAATTGCAAACCCCAGAACTTTGACGGCCAAAAGGCTCCTGGGAGTTCACGATATCTCTAGAAATATTGGGAAGAACAGTTTGATCGTCCAAGTAGATATCCCTACCATGTTCCTCATCAATTTCAACTATCCTAGAACCTGTCACACCTTTACAGTACAATAACCTCGTATCGAAGTTAACATCGAATCCCCTCCCTAACGCCTGCACAGCGTTCATCGCAGTGTGCATGGCAGCTGCATTTCCATTTCCATTTTCCCCCATTTTTTCATAACCAGAATTCCTCTTTGAATTCCACTTCAGCCTCCAACTTTATCCTTGATCAGATTCATACCCAGCTCACCAAATAAGCTCAGCTCAAAGACCCAATTCCCTATTATACTGAATTCCAAAGAAATCGAATGAATATTATGAGGTGAAGAAAAGTGGGAGATGGGGTGATAGTCAAAACCACACCGTTTGTTTCTGTCTTTGAGAATGCGAAGTTGACTGAGAGACCAATAACTGGGGAGAAAAGACTTATGAGAGAATTAAGAACTCTACGTTGTATTTGTAAAAGGATCTGAAAGATAACAATCTAATCTGATGATTTCTCTTGAAATTCATTTTTTCTTGTAATATTGGGGTGAAAATAAAATAAAAATAAAAATAAATAAATTTTCAGAGTTTGTATTCCAGTGTAGACTTTCAGCTATCTTATGAGTTACGATTATATTGTTCCAAAACCATTGACTCTGTCTCTCAAAGTCGAATTGTTTTTATCAACGAATAGACAAAACCGAAGGCAATATTACTTGTTTGTTTTATTAGGCCAAGATTCATCAATGCAGAATTAAGGAAAGTAGAACACTAGCTTTGGAAATTTTTTTTTTTAAATAGGTTGAACATTTTAGGAGGAACGAGAAGGTTAGTTTAAGCCTGAGCTTCAAAACTCTTGGTCAAAGCCCAACCTGAATCAAGTCAAGCCTATCTCGCCAAACCTTTGGACAGATCTCCTCTTTGCCACTTTAATATTTTATTAGAACATTAGTATTGAAATGGGATCTTGGGCAATCACTTTAACTAAAACTGCTAAAACCAAATTGCTATGTTGCACTGTATTAGCCTTTTTTCTGATGGAGGTAACATTGATATGAACTGATAATTTTCAGAACCGTGTATCTTCTTTACAACAAAGTCAACTAGATGATGTAAATGGTGCTCTATTTTTCTTTTATTTTGCCAAGGAGTTACCCCACCAACATCCTTCCTACATTTCCTTCATTTGATGACAAAATCATCATTAAAGGTAACTAATAAGAGGTTCAGTTAGAACGTATATCTACTATCACATGCCAACTTTCTTGAGTTGGAACAAGGCGTAACTTTTTCAAAATTTTACCCTCATTGTAAGTTCCTTGTCCTCTTGGCATTGAACAGTTGGCGAAGGAAAGCAAATTTCCCCTTTGTTCGAACGGATAACTCAGTTATGGTTCCGTTACTTGTTTCTGCTGTCTCGCTGGTGTCAGATTCAGGTATGGATGGTGGAGGTGTAAGTGTGAAGAGAAAAGCATTCAGCATACGGATTATCTGACTGAAGCTGGGCCTCATGTTAGGGTCCTCAACCCAACATGATTGTATGATAAATGCCAGATCAGGGGATATATCTTCTGGAAGGCCGGGTCGCTCTTGCTGCATACTCATGGCATCAACCTAGTTAGTTATCTGTTAGTTTAAACATTTATAATGCATAACAAATATGTGCGTTAAAGACTCGCACCTTAAAAGCAGCAGCATAAGCTGCCTGCAAATTGGACATGCCTTCAAATGGCATGCGATTGGTCAACAATTCCCATAAGACAATTCCAAAGCTGTAGACATCAACCTTGTTATTGTAATGCTTTTTCTCTCCCTGACGCAATGTCACCGTGCTATACAACTACAATAACACAGATTCACAGTAAAAGAGTGACAACCGAGTAAGAGGAATTGTACACAAAAGTTAGTCTACTCGTAGTGATTAATTTTTCTTACAGCAACGAACCATAACAATGCACCTACATTACTGCCAGCTGTTGTACAAAACTACAACAGACTAAAAAGTGGTTCAAGAATACTTTACGTCTATTAATCCAGGCAGCTACTAAATATAATGCTATTAAATGATCCTCGAGTCTCTGGGTAAGAAATACATAAATTTCCAAGGTAAAAATATGCCAAATCTCCTTTGAGCCAAAATCACATATCATTTGTGCATACTAAAAAATAAATTACCTAAAGATGGATTCCCATGCAGTCTGTTAAGCAAACCGCAGAGATTGAAAAATTTTCGCATAAAGAGTAGGTTACTCTGTCTGCAGCTAAGGTATTCGTTATCAATTGAAGTATTCAAATATAAACATATGTGTGTGTGTGTCGCCATCACAACTTCTCTTCTTGATTAAGACTTGATGACTTTCATAACAGATGTAATTCAAATAATTAATATTCTAGATATTTGAAACCACACCAGAGCAACAGAAAAGACTTATGGCCTCTAAAGAACAACCAATGAGTTAAGCGGGGGTGATGACATTGCCACTTGACAAGAAATTGCAGAAAGAAATTTAACTTTTGTAACTAACAAGATGAAAACAAAAACAAAAAGCTGTCTGTTTTGCTAATAAATAGTGGCACAAACCTCAGGGGCCATCCAGCGATAAGTCCCAGTCTCTGCAGTCATCATCTCTGTCACAGATTCTTCCCTTGCAAGACCAAAATCTGCAAGTTTCACAGACCTATGGTTTGCTGTAAGCAACAAGTTGTCTGCATTAATAAATTTCCAAATGAACTTGCAATTAGTCAAAGGAATCAACAACAGATACTGAACTATGAACAAATGTATTACATCAAAGAGGAAATTACAATCCACATTCTGCTTTCCATGGCAGAGATTCATTCAGATAAGACATCAGCCACTGCAACTCCCAACCCAAAGCGAATACATTTAAAAGTATAGGATAGTTGTGTAATTGCAAATTCAGGTGTTCCGATTTTGAAAGTTTTCACAGCAATTCCAATATAAAATTGGAGATAATATTGCTAAATTGAAACACAGGAAACAGTCACAAGGAAAGAGACCATTGCAGCGGCAAAGAATTCCAAAGAAAAACATCTAAGCCACTAATGCACAGAAAATAAAGAAAAGAATTAGGAATTAAAGAAAAAGGGGCAAACTGTGTCCTAGTTAGTATATAAACTTCAGTCTCTGTACACTTATGAAATTATTTCACAGCTGTGAAGACATCATGCACACATGCATTAGAGGGAAAGAGAGAGAAGAACGAGATGCTGCTATAAAAGGAATCATAGCATGGCCTTTGAATTCATACAATCAAGCCTTTCCAACCACTAATTAATATTCTATAAAGGAGCATTCTGTTGTAACTGATGAAGTATGTTCAACAAGTACCAGGCTTTAGATCTCTATGTATAATCCCATTGGCATGCAGACAATCCATGGCTCGAGCAATGTCCAGTGCAAAATTCAAAGCCACATGAAGGTCTAAAACTTTTGGACGGATGCTAATTAAATACTTGCGAAGAGACATTCCTGGTAATAGTTCAGTTACTATCGCCATCAGTGGGTCCTTACAAGCTCCAAAGAACTGCCAAGGCAACAAATTCCCTACTGCATGTTAGAAACAGATAGACGATAGATTCATTTGATGCAATAGTCATATGAAAAGAAACAAAGGAAAATACTGCTGCACATTGCATTTCAAGCTTTGAACAGACTACCTTGACAAGATTCTCGTGTTTAACTCGAGACATCATGTTAACCTCACGAGCAAAACGACTCTCAAGTGCAGCTCTTTCCTCCACAGTACTCCCACGGTGAAGAACTTTAATGGCAACAATCCGATCACCATACCTGGAAAAATATTAGACTCGCCCCTATGTAACTAGGATGGTACCCTTGATCCACAACCAAATTTTTTACAATTTATTCCATCACATTGTTTCACTTCACAAATTTACAAATTAAAATACTTTTTCCCCCTAACACAATAACAAATTATTATTTCTACAAAAATCTTATACAAATAATAATAATTAGAAAGGAATAACAATGTTCAATATATATTGACTTCTCCTGTTACATCCATACAAGCATATAAAATATATTTTCTAATCTCAAAAAAAAAAAATTAAACTTGTTAATTTGGGGATAATTAACTACAAAAAAAGTTCAGATTACAATAAAAAGATTAAAAAAATGAATCTTTACCACTAAACTAACATGGCTGTTTTTCAATTTTTTTTTTTTATTTTGGCGTCTGAGAAAATAATTATGAGTAAATTAGTACAATTATTATTTACAGAGGTGTTTGAGACTGACCTTCCTTCGTAAACCTTGCCATGAGCTCCTTCGCCGATTTTGGAGCCGATAAATATCAATTTCGGGTCAATGAGCAAACTTTGATCGATGGTCAACTCTTCAGCAGCCGTTGTCGACCCATTTGAAACGACGACGCTTCCCGTTTTTTCTTCTCTGCAACTCATAGTTGCAAATTTTACAACCTTTGTTTTTGTTTTTGGTTTCTAAATTATTCCCGAATTCCTCATTTCAATTAAATTAAATTTTTTTTCTCAAGAACCAAACACTTCTTTCAAACCACCGAACCTCGAAATAATCCTTTCGATTCCTTTTTCTTAAATTCCGCAAAGATTTTATAATCTTTTTTTCTTTGTATTTCGCTTGAGCTCCAAGTTTCGTCTTTGAAGATAATAGCCAAGAAAAAAGGGAAATGAAACCCTAGAAAAAGGTAAAACAAGATGAGACGAAAGCAACTTACAGTCGAAGCAAAAATAGATAAAAGGAAAAGCCGAGATGAAGCTTAAGCTATCACTTAAAACGGAGACGTTTTAAATCATCAAAGAAAGAGTAAAGTGAAAAAGAAAAGAGTGAAGAAAATTTGAGTTTGAGCTTTGTTTGTCTCTCCGGAAAATGTGTAAAGTAAGAAGCTCTTTCGATGAAGATAATATTTCCGAGAATTTTCTTTTCCGTGTGTCAGTCCGCTCCGACAAGGGCTTTAATAATTTTTTTTTATTTTTAAAGAGCGGAAAATAAAAGAATAAAATAGAAAAAATAAATTAAGGAAAAGGAGAGGGATAGTGTTTGGAGAAGAGTGAAGGGCCAATGATAGAAGAACACGTGATCATCGTGCCAATGCAATTGTCTGAGGTAACGTTATTAGCAAGTTGTTTTTATTATTTGTGATTTAAAGTTATTTTATTTGATTAATGATTATTAATTTTTAAAAATTACAAATTATTATATTTAATATTATTAAAAATTAATTTTTATTTTTATTTTAAAATTTAAAAATAATCTTGCATATTATAATTATTATATAAATAATAATTTTAATGTTATATTTATTTTGTAATAAATTACAATTAAAATTTTATAAAATATATTCTATTGATAGATAAATTAAATTTGTAAATATGAATTTGTAAAAAATATTTAAAATTAAAAATAAATTATCTATTAAATTAATAATATAAAAATATATTATATAAAATATGAAAAAGCACAAAATTTATTTTAAATGTTGTTATAATGAATATTAATTTGAAAATATAAAAAATTATCATATAAAATAATTATAATTTTAAGAAAAAATTTTTAATTCATATATTAAATAGATAATATTAATTAAAATTAATTTTACATATCATTTTACTTTAATGAAAATTTTTTTTATTTTTTTGTATAAAAATTAAATCATTTTTTACAACAATGAATTTATCACTCAATAATTTAAATTTACCATCACTTATAATCACTAATATTTATCAAAAACAATAATTTAATTATCATATATAAATCACAATAATTTTTAAAATAATCACTTTATGTTAAATATTATCTAAAAAAATAAAAATAAAAATACCTATGATAAAACACTCGTGCAAAATAACAAAGACATTCTCTTCTCTCGTAACTCAATTTTACTACTTCATTAATAATAATAATAATAATAATAATAATAATAATAATAAAAACATAGTTATTATTATTAAATAAAATATGATGGGATAGTGAAAAAGTTACTTGTATATTTTTTATTACTTTACTGAAACATTATGCATTTACTTTAATGAGCTTTCCTTAAATTAATAACATTAAATATTACTTTTTCCTTTACATATAATTTTAAAATATAAAACTTTTTCTGCCCTATACATTAATTTTATTTTGGGTTTATCTAATTATTACTGGATTTATTAAAAGTTAAGATAAAAAACGTGTTTCACATGCATATAATAAAACTAAAGTAACAATATATAAAAAAGAAAGGAAACAAAATAGAGCAGATGATAAAGAGAATAAAGAAAAAATATGTAAAAAGTATGATATTTATATAATTTGATCTTTATCTTATATATATATGTATTAAATGTGATTAATAGGTTCGATATATATAAATTTGATTACATGATAATCAAAATTATTATTAATGTAATCACTAAAATATAATAATAATTTTTTTGAGAGATAAAATATAATAATTAAATACTCCATTTTCATTTTGTTAAATTAATTTATATACAAAATTAACATCTTTAATCCTTTTAGAACATCATCTAAATTACTCTTTCAGTTTTTTTTTTTTTATAATGTCTTAAAATTATTTTTTTAATATCTAAAATTTTTATTTTTTATATTTTAAATTTATTTTTTTGATAATTTTTTTATTTTTTGATATTAAAAATTACAAAATTTTAATTTTATATAAAAATTAAATTTTAATATTAAATATATTAAAATTAAAATTTTTTTAAAACTTGATAAAAGCCGATAACACTCAAATTATTTGAGACCCTACCAATTTTTCCACCAAAAAATATCAAGCACGTGGAGGGGCTGCTGCACGAAGTCATTGAGCAAGTGCGAGGGGAGAGATTGTTCAACATAGGGTGAGGTGGGGTCCGGCTACTCCATAAAAAATGATGAAGGTGGGAACCACGTATATCTATCGGCGCCAATCCACCATCTGATTAAAAAAACAGAGGAGCCCATTGGTCCGACGGCTCTGACACTCATCTCATCACGCTTGTGAACTTCGTCCTTACATGTCACACTGTGGGCTCCACCTTCAATTGTTTGTAAGTTATTTAACACGTGCCAAAAATGAAGAAAAATGCACATGACTCTATTCTCAATTATTTTTTATAATGCACACGAGAAACACGACGACTCTATCATTATTGACTTGACTTGATTTTTTATTTTTTAATGAAGTAATAATTTTTTAATAAAATTAATTATAATTATTCACTTTTAAATAATAAATATTTTTTCTTTCAATAAATAAATTACTATTAATTATTTTACCTCACTATCATTCACTGATTAGAAAATATTTATTTTAATTTTGTACTACAAATGTTGTCAATTTTATATATCTTACTTCCTCTATCTCTTTTTTTCTGTTACTTTTTAATATCCCAAAATTATATTTTTATACATTTAATGTTTTAAAAAATTTTACATTAAAAATCATCAAATTTTAATTTTCTAAAAATTTAATTTTAATATTAAATATATTAAATTTTTTAACTCTGTAAAAATTAATACTACTCAAACAATTTGGAATGAAAAAAGTATATAAATATACAAAATCAAAATTTTTGATAAAAAATAATTATTGTGAATAACCTACTCGTTTTACAAGAGGATAATTTAAGTTAGAGTCATGTATCCATTAATTAATGCATTTTCAATTTAAAAATAATTTATCTTTGCCTTCTATGAATTAATTATGATTAATTTGGTTATTTATACAAATTAAAATTAATTAGAAAAGTTAATTAATCTTAAATATTTTTTAAGAATATTTTATTTATAATTTTTTATTATAATTATTAATTCATAATATAAATTTATATAAATATGTGTATATATTTTGAAAATAAACCATGATAATCTATTCATGTAAATTATGCCCAAACTAACCTTTAAATTTGTGGTTTGCTCCACACAACATTATAACTTATATATAAATTTAACCATTTATATATTCGAATAATATAAAATATCAAAATTTATATATTTATATAATATTTTAAATTAAAATTATATATTATAATTTGTATCGATATTAAAATATAAAATATAATTTTTTTATTAAATTTATATATAATTATAATAATTTTAAATTATATTATATTTATATTATATTATATTTTAACTTATTAAATTTACTTATATAAGACTTCCAAATTAATTATGTTGTATCTTAGAAAAAAATCTCTAATATAAATAGGATATCATGATATGCTAAACTATACGAAATGATTTGGTTATTTTTTTACAAAAAATTAATTAATTATTTAATTTTAAAAAATTAAATTAAGCTTGGTGGTTTTCAAGATTAATTGAGATTTAAAAAGCAAAGATAAGCACAAATCTTTTCACTAGTCATTGATGAAATTGGACGTTGCAACTGCCGTCGTGGCCACGAACAAAATCAAATGCTGTTGAAAACAAGTTTTTGTTTGATATCCTACCTGGCATCCCACGAAGGGAAGAGAGGTACCAATGATGGGTCCCTGCGAAGACAAAAGATAAAAGAAAAAAGCAAAGGACCCCAAAACCAAGGAGCAATGATTGTGATAACAGCGCACACGTGTTGAGACAATGTGGATGATAACGCGGCAGGAGACAATAGGTCGCTCTTATGGTGATAGGATAAGGTAGTAACAAAAAAAATTTTGTTACTGGGTGTAAGAGAGTAAAATTTATTATATTTTCATTAATTTTTTAATATATTTAAAGAGTATATATTATCTTATTAATTTTGTTTGTAAAATTTAAAATTTTTATTATTAATATATTTGATAATTTTTAATTAATATAATAATAATTTAAATAAATTTTAAATCTATTATTCCCAATTACCTAATGAACAGTTAGTCAATACAATTAATCCTGTCACTTAGATAGTACACATTTGGATCGTCATGTCATACGTACTCAAAAAAATGACTCATCTCTTTTAAGGAAAGATTCGTTGAACATTTTATTAATGTTTCGTCAAAATATTATTTTAAAATTAAATTTTTAATTTTTAATTCATTTAAAATTATTAAATATAATTCGTAATTATTTATATAAATTTTTTTTAAACTTCACATATATATTTAATTAATTATTAATTATTTTAATCAGACTATCGTTTATGCCTTCAAAATAGAGGTAGTAACTAAAAAACCTTCAACAAAATTTTATGGAATTAATACTCAAAAATGAATTTATTTATTTTTATTAAAATCATAACAATTTCAGCAAACATAAAATTTTATATAATTAACACTTGGTAGCATAAGATTTGGGGTTACTTCCCAAAGGTCCATTGTCCAAAGTCCAAACCAACCAACCGGTTTATTAAGAACAAGATGCAAAAACGAGCGAGCCAGGTGTGTAAGAGGCAGGCAGGGAAGGGGGTGGTGAACGACATGTCAGTGAGGACCTTTGATGTGACCATCCCAACTGATTTCTCAGCTGACAAAAACGTGAACAGATTGCTGTGGTAGTTGTAGTTGGGCTGTCAGAAATGGGACGTTGTGGGTCCCAAAAATCATTTGTCCTTGGAGGATCTTGTTGGGTAACATAAGGGATTTTTTTTTTCATTTCAAAACAAAAATATTAGTTTGTAAATAGAATTACTTACATATTTGATATCTAAACAATTATGATCAAATGCTCAATTTAATACTTAAAATAAAAAATCATCATTTATTGTTCACAATATATCTCATTTTCCTAATTTTGTTTGAAGAAAGTTTAACATAACCCCCTCAACAATTTATTGGAATGAGGAAACTTTTATTTAATGTTGGCTTTTCTACATTTTGCATGTATATATTAGAAGGATTAAAATCACATATTTTTTTATTTATTGGATTTTATCCGTTAATTTTTGTGAAAATTTATATTTAATCAATGAAATATTATTTATTTTGATATGATGATCTCATTATTTTATTTTATAAAAAATATTTCATAAATTTTAAATTTATATATTACAATAAATATTCACATTATTTCAGTTTGAGATTAGGACATCACATTTTCAATCATAATTTTTGAAATTATTAGGTTTATTTCAAATATAATATAGAAGCATGTATATTTATTTAAAAAAAATCTAAACTTATCTTTCTTGTTGAATTCAACTTTTTTTTATTGTATTTTTTTTATGAAGAAAAAGTTTCAAAATAATATATTAGTAATTAATTTAGAATAAGTCCAAGATATTTTTTTTATTTTAATAAAAATTACGTTGTTTAACAAAGTAATATTTGACTTTTAGTAACACTTAGCAAAAAGAAAAACTCCTTAATTTATATTTATAGAAAGATTATTGTAGTGTCATTAATTAATTTGTAATTTTTTTAATTTAATAATTAATTTATTAATTTTATAAATATATTTTAGTGAACATATATATCAATTTTCTAACATTGCTATAAAAGATTATTTTTAAAAAAAGAAGAAAAATTGAAAAATATAGTATTTTTTTTATAAATAAGAAAAATATTGCAAGTAGCCTTTACAAAGGATGAACAGTTGAACACGTAGTGATAAACTGACTTCTCTTACAGCTGAACACGTAAGTCTATCATTCATAGCATTCTTACATCATTTGCCAAGGTCAAAGCCAGCTGCAAGGACTCCCAACATCCAACATCTGATCTGATCTATCTTATCTTCTGTCTCTTATTTATGACCTTTGTAGAAACTCTAATGTTTGCAGCTGTAACAAGACCATACTAAAAGGCTTTCTTTGGAGCTTCAAGCAGATCCAATAGGTAACCAATAAAAAAACTATAAATCCCTACAATTTTCTTGAATTTCCATTTTCCCTATTAAGTTTCTTTTCTCTTTTATTTCTCAATCAGTTGCAGGTTTGCATTCTGGGTTTTCTTTTCAGATGTCTGTCAAACAAGTGAGGTAAGATTTTTTTTTTTAATTAACTGACAAAGTGGAGACTTTTTCCAGTATTTTTTATTTTTATATTGTGGTTTACAATTTAGAGAAGATAATTTAGATACAGAATATGGGTTTTGATTAGTTTTATATTTACTGAACTTTTGGATTAATAAAGCAATCAAACAGTGGAGTTAGAACGGCTTGAGTTCGTTGTAGTATGTAGAATTTTTAGCTGTTTTTCCCTCTTTCTGTGGAGGAATTTAGTTTAGTAGTAACCCAAAGCAGGCAAATTAAGTAATTAACTAGCGCTGATTGTTGTTCAATTTGAAACGGAAAAAAAAATACATGAATTACCTTGATTGATCAAAGTTCTTTCAAAGGAAACTGTACCTTAATGTCTTAAAGGTTGTTGCCATTGGTTACTGATTTAGAAGATCTGCTTTGTTGTCTTGTTTCATCGAATGGAGATGGACAATATGTTATATGTTTTGTTTCGATTGTGGTTGATGCATTATACCTTCTCAACATAGAAAATGAGGGACTTATACTACATTCTCCGATACAGATACTTCATACAAGTCTTGGATGATGGAATCTTGGGTATGTGGCTTCTGGTTGATTATGGTGTATGTAAAATTTGGTACTAATAGAATTTAGTTTAATAGCAAATCCGCTCTTGAATAAGATACACAAATGCTGGAATCATTAGCTGAAAATTGAAATTGCAGGAAAGTGAATAATTGCTAAGTAATAATTGTTGAGATTGATCAAATTAAGTTTTTCGGGTTGAGATTGTACCGATTGGTATTAGAGAATTGAGTGGGATTCTATTTACCATAATTGAGTTAGATAAACCATTTATAGGATGTAGCATTCAACAATTTTATCTTTTTTATGTTCAGTTTCTTTCCAAAGGTGCTTGTACTTTGTTTGGAATACGAATTCCCTCACATAACCACCATTTCAGCTTTTATGCCCTCTTTCTCTTTATCTGATATATAAGGGTAAAAGTCAGTTGAAAAAAAGTGTAGTGTTACAAGTGCATCATTTTCTTACGACATAACAAAACAGAACCACGAATCCATGATCGATGAATTACCTTTTATCTAGATTGAAACACAACGTACTATGTAAGAATTCAAGCAGTCCACAAAAGTCCTGTTTGTAAATAAAATAAAAGTATAATCCTGTCATTTCACTGTTTGTTGAGAATGTTTACATTCAACTTGTCTATATTGACTTAAGTATCATCCATCTAGCATTCTTGGAAGCACTTGTTTTCTTCTTTATGATATGGCCGTTGATCAATGCTTTCAATTCTTCTCACATGAACTGGCCGGTCATCGTTAAATTTTTGTTTCTCCAATTTTTATTTCAACTTCTTCTACAGTGTCTGTCTTCCATCTTAGCTTATCTACCTCTTGAACCACCGAAACCATAGCTCTACCTCGATAGCAACTATCTCTTTAACTTCTTGAGTATTAAATCTTTTGTCATGTGGGTGTTGGGTTTTTGGTCCTTTATTTACTGCAGTACTTTGTAGGAGATGCAAATGTTGGTTGTCTAATCCTGGACGCTTCTTGGGCAGGTTTCTGTTTGCTAAATCATTGAAAATTTGATGAACTTTAGAAAGTAATACTAGTATGGCTGCACGATAGGAAGTGTAGTGTAGGCTGCATAATGGGCATGTTTAGCTTGTTTCTTTCTATCTGAAAAAAAGGATGGTCTTGGACACTAACCAGCACAATTCTTAGCTCTTATCATGCTTCTATCAAAGGTCCAAAAAGGGAAAGAAAAGAAAAAGGAACCTCTGATCCAATAACCCTAAGAACTTGCTGGCGGGGGAATAGTTCACAGCACGTAGCAATTTTCCTGCATCAGATTATTTTAACTTCTTGCCATATTATTCAACAGGCCGGAAATCTAAAAATTGTATATCACAAGTCAGGGGCAGTTCTAGTTGTTTTGTTGCTTCTGACTCATTCCTTCTACTATTTCACTGATATTTCCATTTTAATGCTATTCATCAGCTTGCTTTTGTGTATATTTTGAATCATATAACTTACATCTTTTGGTAATTGGGGCTACCTGTTTATCATATTAAGTACAATGACTACTTTCAGAGTCAGCTTTTCTTATGCAAATTAGAATATAATATATCTTCCATAACATAAAAGAAAGATTTAACGGTCCTATATGAGGCCTTAATGAATCATTTATTTATTTATTTATTTTGGATGATTCAATCAATAAATTTAGCATTTGTTTTAGTTTTAAGTCGTCAGTGCTCTGCAAAATCTCAATAGAATGATATCTTCTACTGATTTATATAAATCTTGTGTCACCCTGAAAAATTATGTTAAAAGGCTATCAACCAATTTTGTATAGGAAAGTCAATGATCTGTGGTAAGTAGGCTGGTTTCTAAATCATCTTTGCCTCCTGCAGCTAGGGTCAGCTCATCAGCCCGCTTAGCCTGGTGCTTCCAATCGGTTCGAATCAATGTGTACACCATCATGCAAACACATGACATCTGTGCTGCTAGAAGCCCAAACCATAGACCCTCAAAGCCGAATTTGAATTTGAAAGTTGTGAGAATTGCAACAGGCAATCCAATAAGGTAAAAAGAACATAAATTTATGCGGACACCATCTTTTGGACGTGCAGTCCCTGTTAAGACCCCACAAGCTGCTGTTTGTGGAGAGTTACCGACTTCGCATAACCCCAAAATTGGAAGCACATTTGAGATCAGATCAAGTATTTGTGGCTCATCTGTAAACAACTTTCCCCACCATGATCTCAGGACAGTCATGACAACGAAGGCTGAGAGGCCAAAAGCAAAGGCCATGAGGAGTCCAATTATCGCTGTCCGATGGGCACAGGATGGTCGGCCAGCACCTAAAGCCTGACTAACTCTTGTAGTAATGCTGGCGCTTAATGAGAATGGAAAATTATATAATAAGCCTGTTGTTTGGATGAGGATGCCCATTGCTGCAACGCTAGCTTTTGGGTTGTCGAGTAAGCCACAAAGGAACAGCATTATCTCATACCACCACCACTCCAAGCACACTGAAAGGAGGCTAGGCAGTGCTAGTGCTAGCAGTGGCTGCCAACCTTGAAAGATTGCGAGAATTGAAACCCCATGCCAAGGTTTTAAAGGAGCTTCTGACATGACCATATAAATTATCAACCCCAGGTTTAGATTGAATGTATTACAAGCAAGAGCTAACGCAATACCTTTTACCCCTAACTGAAAATATATTGTGAAAATGTAGTTGACCAGAGGGTGCAGGAGGACCGCGCATATGGCAGCGATTGTAAGAGGGGTGGTTATGCCCTGAGCTCTCAGAAAAGACCTCATCGGATGGAGGAGAGACTGAGCTACCAGTTCCGGAATGAAGGCAGCCATGTAAACTTTGGCGATTTTTGTAGCTTCCGGATCCTGACCTAAGCGTAGAAAGATGGGTTCCACATTTAGCCAAAGGATCGAGATTGGTATGGAAATAAGTAGCAGGAGACAAAATGTTCTGTGGAAGGTTTGGTTGAGGACTGAATATCTCCTGGCTCCATAGGCTTGACCGCAGATGGGATCCATCCCAATGGACAGACCTTTGATGACTGACAGCCCTGTAATGTTTCCGAATCCCATTGCAAGTGATCCTCCAGCAAGCTCTTCTTTTCCTAGATGGCTCAGGAAAAGCATAGAAATAACTGATCTGGAGTGAATCAGCAATGTTGTTATCATTATTGGGCCAGCTATCTTTCCAAGTGACATCACTTCCTCTCCTACCTGCATGGAATTCAAGTTCACTCATTGGCTTGGACAAAAATCATGTGCATATTCTCCCAACTCCATAGCTTCCTTTCAAACCCTTTTTTTATTATTGTTTTTAATTTCACATGGCCAGCTTGGAGAATGGAGGAAAATAAAATGAAAAGAAAAAACGCAAACTTTTAAACTTTTGCCTTGTTATTAAATTGCAGGTGGCCAAAAAGTGAAGTGAAAATGAAGTTTTATCATAGGACTTGGTGAGTTGTTCTATACAACAAAATTTCAGTAGATCAACTTTTACTGAAAAGTGAAGTCTTTTGGAAAAAAAAAATTCGTAAGACAATTTTAGTGTTTTACACTGTCATTAATGGGTTCCACTATACCCATATTTTATTGTTAAATTCTCCGAACAAAATTGCTCGTATGAATAAAAACTGGTGTTTTATATTCTTAAAATAAAAAAGTAAGCTACAAAATTAAATCCCATGATGTTGGTTCCATGAAATGAGCCATTGGCCCCCAAGCCTCCAGGGAAAACAAGTGTTTGTGGTGCTAAAGAAGAATATTAAGAAGAAATGCGAGTCACAATTTTCAAATTGTCATTAACACAAAGATTAAGCACAATTTCTTATCTTAAAATTCAGACATTCTCTGTATACGAAAGAAAAAAAAAAAGAAAAAGAAAGGAATATTTGCTAAGCTGGTATAGTCACTTTGACGGTCCACTTAACACTCTAAAAGCCAAAAGGCAACAACCTGAAAATGCTGTCATATATGTATATATATGCATTGTACGAAAATGGTTTCTATAAACAGGCTAAAGAATCCTTTTCATAAGAACCCCAAAAAAGGAATTCAAATACCATTCGTTTATTAATGCAAAAAAAAAAAAAAAAATTGAAGTAGAAAATAAAGAAAACAACTCAATCTGATTCTTTCCTAAGAAGAGAAATAGCAACACAAGCTAAACAGGTCTCAGATTAATTTTACCAATATGAGCAAAAATTAGGAAATGAAATGCAATTAATTCATATGAAGAAAAGGACATTCACACCACTTTCCTTCTCACACTAATCTGATTTTATGAAATTCAGATGGATTTGATGAATAAAGAAAAAGAAAGAGCTTGCCTGGCTTAAAGGCTCTCTTGTCTGGTTCAATGGCAGCCTTCTAAGAAGTTGACTGACTTGAATCTTTCGTAAAAATCCATGGATGAATTTATCCCCATCATTTTCCTCATTGTAGTTCCTCAAATGCTGATGCTGCTGATCACCATTTACAGCACTACTAATTCCTGGTGACTCAATATCACTTGCTGGGCACATGTTATTATCCGACAGACCAAAAACCTGAAAACCAAGCCTCAAACTAAGAAAATACACACAGTTTTGCATATTTTTATTTTGCAATGGCAGAATTAACTTATATATTAATAATAATAATAATAATAAGATAGACAGTAACCTTGATTTTCCAAGAGCTTGAACACCGTCCACAGACTTTGCTGTTGTTGGAGTTTGTTCCTGGTTAAGTGGTTATATACGAACACTGAAGAAAAGTAGGAAGGCAAATACTGTAGCTTTAACATCAATTATATATAATTATACTCTTCTTCAAATGTTATTTCCAACTCTTTTTTTTGCTTGATCCACGACTCTCTCCGGTTTATGAATTGTCTTATGCAATGTCAATCAGCTTATGACAAAAGATTGATTAAACTAATGCACAAAACAAAGATTGCTCAAAGTTGGACTGTTCTTTTTTCTTCGCCCCTACTTTCTTTGGGTCAATAAAATATAGACTATAGGACAATTAATAATTATTACACATATATTGTTATATGAGGACAACAAGCACAAATTTTTGACTAAATTGCACCATTGATCCGTAATCTTTTTGCAATGTTTGCTTTTCATTTTTGACTTTAAAACTCAGTTTTTTCATATGCGACATTTTGATATTGTCTCAAATCAACTTGTCTATGAACATGTCATTAGAATTCGAATGAAAATTTTTCACTAGTGAATCTAAATTAGATTAAAAAAATTCATAAATAAAGAAATTGAGTTTTCAAGTACGATATATGAAAATAAACATTATGAAAAGACACCCATGAGTAGAATTTGCCATGAAATTTTGGATGACTTATGTGAATAATAATTAAATTGCCGAGTTGCTTAGAATTCAAAGCTCAAGTCATGTGAATGATAATTAAATTGCATCAATTGTTGTCCAAGTTACTTAGAATTCAAAGCTTAAATTATAGGTTATTTTTAAAATATGATATTTAATAAATTTAAAGTTTAAATTCGAGTATTTATAATTCTTTTTATTTTAACACTATTATATTTTTTATTTAAATTTATCAAAATTTAATATCTAATCATTAAAATTAAGAGTTTAATATTTTATCGACACACTAGGTGATTATAAGCAGATTAAAACATCTTTTGTAAAAGAAAAAGTTAATGAGGTTTTTATTATTAAAAAGGAGCTTTTACTTGCATTGGAATTGATCAGTCCTAAGAAGTCAAGTGTAACAAGGAGCTGATTCTTGCCCATGTCCCATTGTCTTGAGCAAAACACGAGACTGATTACTTGAAAACTTTTCTTTGTCTAGTTGATCTGTCAGAGTAACCTAGGTCTCATTACTTTTATCATTATCAGATTCATGAACTTTTTTTCTCTTTTACTTATTTAATTATTTTACATGCAATTAAGTTAGCTTTACAGGGTTGATTCCAACGCGCGTGTTAGCTTAATTTGGCTTGTAGAGATTAGAAGGTATATAACTTTTTAATTAAAAAAAATTGTCCGTACAATTTTTGCAGTAGAGCACAATATTAATTTTAAGATTTTGCTAACAAGTACTCTTAGGATTTTTTTTAAACTTAAATTAATATAATAGTTTTGAATTAAATGTAATAATTGATAATTTTATTCATGATTCGCAATACATTTAGTTAAAATATATAATAATTTTAAAGGGCAAAATCCTTAATTTTATGTACTTTTTCCTTTTGTTTTTGCAAAACTTATTGACCCTTTTATAAAATAATTAATTGGATGAATTAAATTAAGGCATAAAGTTGGTGGAGTGGGGACTCAATTCTGTGTGGCAATTTGATAATTTTTTTTTATGTTGGAAAGAGGGAATAAGCTTTGTTGTTTTTGGTGTTAAACAAGAAAATAATTAATGTATACATTTATGCATGGACGCATTGTTTTGAGGAAATTATTGATTCTTGATTTTCAACAGCTTAAGCAATAGAATAGTTAGGGTTCTTTCGAATACCCTCCTATAACTCCTCAACGTAAAAACACAATGGATTATTGAATTTATTAGTTGGAACAACTATTCTATTCAAGTCTCATAAAAAATTTGATAGAGATTTTTTTTAGATTTATTAGATATTATTTGAGGAAAAATAAGATTTATAATAAAAGAATTCTAAAAAGAAATGAATTTTTAATAAGTAAATTAATATGCTATTTATAAATTGTGAGAGTTTCAATAGGAGTTAAGTATGAAAAAAAATATAAGAGAGTTATAAGATTTTATTGAGTAGACACCCATATCATTAGAGGAGATTGAGAATATTTTTATAAATGTGTACGTGAGAGAATCCATATAAATATGATGAGTCACATGAGTACGGTGAGAATTTGCTTGGATTGATTGATTTGTATGTTTGAGATTGGGTTATGAGATTAAGTGTTTGATTTGATTTATTTGTAATTCCTAATAATTAGTAGATATTTTCCTTTATCTATGAACATAAGCCACTTCGGACTGATTCGAATTATGTTAAATTATTATTTTTTATGTGGATGGTTTATAATTTAATTATGATTCAGCTTGCTTGATGATTAATTAACTAGGGTTTTTTTTTACTTAATAGCTAAAATCAAAATTGTCGTGATTTTATCGCTTGTTGTGTACTTTCAAATTGTTTGTCTTCTTTTGTCAAGTTAATAAATTTTTTGTCAATATTTTTAAAGTTATAGTACGTGAAATTAAAATAAAAATAAAATCTTAAGAATTTTAAGTTTAAAACTTTAATTTTGAAATAAAATTTAATACTAACATTCAAAAGATGAACTAGTTTGATTATATACAAAACAAATAGGACAAACATTTTGAGAAAGAAGCCAGTCTAAGGGAAAGTTCCAAATTCATTGACTATTTAAGTTCTTTTATGATAACAATAACTATATATTCAATCTCAATAATTAGATTTTAATATGCACAAAATTAAGAAACCCTTGTAATTTAGTCCTTTAAGTGTCATGGAATTATTAAAATTTAAGACTCTATTAGAAAAGTTTCAATTTTGAATATCTTAATTAGGATAAGAGGTGTATAATTATTTACCTAATAGAAACTTTCCTTTATTGCTACATTTTAACAAAAAACATGAAGAACAATAACAATTCATGCATTTAAATATATAAATCTAAATCAATAATATTGAAATCGACTCCAAAATTAAAGATTTCAAATTCAAACTTTAATCATAATCTTAAAAATCAAATATATATACGGACTATACATTATTGATAAGGTCGAAAAGCGAGGTTTTTAATTCTTTATTTTTCTAAACAACTTAATTTTTTTCTTTAAATTATTTACATTAATGGAACAAAAGTATTAAATTATATGTATCATCTCTCTCGAATATTATGGATTAATTTGCAGCGGCCGGTGGTTTTAGGTCGGTTTTGATAATTGCCTACAATAAAAAGTGTCACCTATTATAAAATTTTTGTTAGTACAAAATTTCCACCCAATATGTGACGTTTAAAGCATAACATTGATTTGAAAATTTATATAAACTAACTTTATGGTGGGTCTATTTAATTCATAGATTAGTCTCATAATTAACAATAAGAAATAAGTAACTAGTACTATATAAAAAATAAATAAATAAAGTGCACGAGGAGAGTTGAGGAGTGGGGACTCATTTTCATATTGAAAAATTTTATTTGGAATCAAGGAGACTGTCTTTGGGGCTTCACCACATTGTGCTATTGGCATCAAACGAGGAAACACCCACGCACTGCCTCCACCAACGCTGTGGAGTGGAGACCCTCCTTTTTAATATCTTCTTTTTATACATATCTTACATTTTTTTTCTATAGGA